CGTTTATACAAGTTTCAATGATAATCTCCACAGCATATCAAGACAAGAGCGCTTAGATATTTTAAAAACAGCAGAAAATGACTTTGAGAAGTTACTTGTTAAAAAAAACCCATCCTTGAAATTATAGTATTTTTTATTCGAGAACTACTTGATCTCAAAAAAAAAATGTTTAATGATCCTTTCACTTATCATCGATATGACTATTGCGTCTATGTACGCCTCTTTTTCATACATTTATTTTGAATGTAGTTTGTGACGATGAATTCATATTCTTGAATACTATTTATTTAGTAAAATGCTTCGTATAATAACAAAAGATATAAGCAAGATAATACCTAGTTTGCAATTTGAGCAATGAAATTTAATCGAATACGACAATATACAATGCAAAACGGTCCTAATATAGTGCATCGGATTTTAACGGGAACGATTGTGAACAGCGCTATTCATCTTTGGGTGAAAAATGGGCCGAAATTTGAGCTGATAAGAAATGATGAGAGACAAAGATCGTTTTACATCATCAAAGATAGTAATGACGCCATTTTTCTACCATTATAGACTGTGTAAGATGTCGTTTAAAACGGTGGGAATGACTCATTTCGGTCTAGTTAAATTTAATAGATATTTAGAAAAATTTCTGTTAATGATACTGTCATTTGAAAAGAAAGACATAGAGAAATTTCAAAAACATTAATCAAATAATATTATTCAATATTAAATGAAAATAGATTTCAAAATGCTTTCTTTGATGTTAATTGATAATTAAGATTGATAAATTTTTATTCGATGACGAAACTAGAGGAATATTTAAAATTATTTATATACTAATATATATTTTAACATATGATTCATGATACAATTTTTGAAATAGAGGAGATATTAAACTATAAATTTAGGATTGTCTCAGTTTGTTTTTGGCTACTATTTGCTTACTAACCTGGAAGCGATTCTCTAAGTGTCAAATTGCTTTTGATTCCGAACCCCATGCATTATGTGCATCTTAAAAAATTATAAATAGTCTGAAAATGTTTGAGTCTAATAGCTTATTCATTTTGAGATACTTTATGGTTTTAATAGAATGTCGTGACCCCCGTTAACGGCACGAACTCTTTTTAAGGTATTCGTAACTCTTTAAGATGTACATGATGCACATAATTTCAGCTCAACAGCAATTTAAAATTTACAAACGTTCCCATCAGAAGCAAATTCTGTATCTACGCAGTAAATTGAATGTTAAATAAAATTCTTAAACGCTGAATTAATCAAAAATTGTTCGATAATAAAAACTTTTGCTTAGTTTGATAATTAATATGCAGTTAAACATATTTTTCATTAAGATAATAAATTGAACTTGTGCCTATAAAAAAAACTCGAAAAGTAAACATTATTATCAATAAATAATTTGCACTTGAAACAAATTAAGATTATCAGAGATAAGGTAAAGATTTTTATAGATGGTCATATGGTAGGTATATTCTCTCTGTTGAGCTTCTGTTTTTTAGTTAGTAATGTTAGAAAAATACTCTTTAGAAATAAGACAACACGGAGAAAGAATTTTCAGAATATTTTGTACAAAATAATTACATAATCATAATTCGTGCTATCCAGGATATATTTGTTTAGCAGAACGTACAAAAAAAATTCATTCGAAGCAACAAATGAAATTATTAATGATGAATGTACATTTAGAGCATGACATAGACTATAAAGATTTTTTATAATTATAAATGGTATTGTACATAAATGATTCAAATCTCTAAATTAGAATCAACCGCGTACAATGATGTTTTTAATACGATCAACAATTAGACTGACGCACATCATTTTTCAGAAGCTTGAAAAGACATTTTACAAACAATATTCAAAACAATGGGTTTCATTAATTAATACAGCATCAGCTAATTGAAGCATAAAAATATTGCAAAAAAGAAAAACTGAAGATCAATTGTTCATTCAAAGATTTTATATTTGGAGAGCAACCTTACCAGATAATATATTACGATAGAAAAATAGAATTTATCATTGTCGAAATATATTTGTAAATACATGATTGAAGTGACAATTATGTTGAAATTTTACAAAACACTGCCAGCAGTAAAGTATATATCATCGAAGAAGAAATGCAAACAAAGAAAATAATAAAAACTTCATTACTATAATAATTGTTTAATAAAGTTTCTAATTTAGATATTCATGTTTACTTTTTTTTCCTTAATAAAATTTCTATCAACCACTTGATTTACAATATTTTGCATAAACAATGTAATCATTTCCATTTAGAATTCAAATAAAATACTTAGTAAGAATTTCTTTTTTTATGTTAAAATTACTATGCAGTTAAACAAAGCCTTTTTTTAATCTAAAAATAACTCGTCTAAGAACGCATTAAATTTTCATTTATTTTAATGAAGAAAAATTACGTAGCTTTTTACAATGAAGCAGGATTTATACTCTTAATTCAGTTGATCTCTCAGCATGATCAAAGGAGTTATTCAAGAAATTTAATTGCTATGATTCAATTAAACATTTATAACGGATGTCGCAGATTACATGCAACAGTATCATTGTCTCTTTTTTTTGGATAATTCCGGTACATTTTTAGAAAAGAGCATTCACTGGGAAATTTTTCACTCTAGAAAACTGTTTTGTTTGTTTTTAAAATAGATTTTTCTTGTTAAGGCAAAATTTTAAAAAATGAACGCTTATTCAAATATTTATATATGACATTCAAATTTCTGCAGACATTTATCCATTAGTGAAAGTCTTTTCTTCAAAAAAAGGCAACACAATTAGCATTGATGAATATGAAACTTTGTGCTCGTGGTTTCTTCGATTTTACCAAGGTTTCTAGTTTTATCATTCATGAGAAAAAAATTTGTCATTAAAACCTACTGATATTTTTCTATGCATGTCGCAAAAGAAAACATGTTTTCCAATTGAGACTTAGTGTATGAAACAATCATTCTTGTGCTGTCGGATATGGAATTTAATTTTGAACATGATGCTGTGACTACTAAGTTAAAGAGTACAAATGATGAGATTGTATCGAAAAAGAACAAGTACGTAGTTCTGTTAGACAAGCCATTTTTTTTCCAGGTTTTGCTTTATGATTATTTTCGTGAATATTTCTTCTGAAATTCTGATACAAATATAAAACAATGCAAAATTTTGTGGCATGTTTAATATTTTCGAAATGCGTTGTTAAAAAAGATTGCATCATTTTCCCGCTTTTCTATTGACTGTTGCAATTGGATGATTGAGCAAGTGTTAATATTTTGATATAAGCTGCAATAAGACAAACTTGAAAAATTAACTGCAACAGTTTTGTAGAACATCAAATGAATCTTTGAAACTACATCAGAGAGATCCAAAATAGGAAGAGAAATTAGATTTATTCTGTTTAATCTGTACCGCTTCGTTGTATTATTTTATTTACGCTTTGCGATATAAAAACTTTATTAAATTCATGAATATTCTTATTAGTTTGATTAATTGCTAGAGTCTTGATTAATGATTCAATAGCTGTATATTCACAAATAATTATAAGAATCTTTTGTATTCTATTGTGATGTTAAGATATTATATTTTTTCGTACTTTGTATGTAACAATACTTAGTTTCATGCTAAATTCTTGCTATGATTAATATATCGTAAAATTACATACAATTTGTTCTGCAATTTTTGTTTTAGTTAGACATTTTTTTTTACAAAATTAGTCAACAATCTGAAAAATATCATGCACAAAAATATTTGGAATTTTTGTTGAATAAAATCTCTGTTTTCAAGAATTCTTTATAATACAACAAAAAAGCAATAACATTTATATATTTCTAGGTGAAACCATTTTCAAAGTCGTACTTGAGAATTGTGGAGTTGAGGTAAACTCTTCTAATATTAAAAGAAACCACATCAGAAATGTTTATTGCATCTGTCAATGAGTAAAAAATTTTTTATAGAATGGAATTACTCTATTCTTTGTTCTACTGATCAGCCTATCTTCGTTTATTACTTTGCATATACATGTTTTTTAAGTAATTTTCCACAGCTGTGATTATTGCACCAGTTGCTTATTTAAGAATGTATTTTAATGATAACTATCGTGTGAGTCATACATTTACGCAGAAGTTTTAACATTGTATCATATATAAGAATTTTAATAATAAAAGGAACTGTTTTCCGATGAATTTAATTGTGAATAAGGTAATTATGTATTATTTATATTTCAATCAGAAATTATTTAGATTATTCAATGAAAATTTATGCACCATATGTAGCCTACGAATTATTTCAAGGGGCAAATTTTTTTTTTCTTTCATGTTTGAGTAAATCTGTTGAAAGAACTAAAAATAGTATATAGAACATTAAAATGTAATGTAATGCATATTTATTATCAAGTTGTTATTTTGACCTTTGAAGATAAAAAAATGCTTTTTTTTGTAGATTATTGACAGAGGGGTTAGTTAATAATGTTATTTTTATTTTTGTTTTCATATTAGAAGTTTGATAAGATGCTGTTAGAACGTGACTAGTTTAGAGATAATCTCTAAATAAGATCAATAATACTTTTACAAAGTAGAGCAGGAATGAAAGATAAAGTCAGTAAAATCAAGAAAAAAAAAAGAAAATGAAAATGACGTATTAAATACATTAAAAAAAAGAAAGCAAAGAAAAAAATTTTTTTTTGTAACGTTGATTCGCTCTGAAAGCATGTGAGTGGTTGTCGCGACACCATTAAAAAGCTAATAATATTTGCTTCCTCCATTTATCGTATTTCTTTTCTTTTCTTGTCTATATCGTGTACTCTCTCAATGGAAGATACGTAACTATATCATTGTTTTTTTTTCAAAAACGCTACAAATATTCTTCCTAACAAAAATTCTAAGTTTTTTCAAAGTATATAAATTATTTTCCTTTTTTTTTTTATATATTGAAGAAATATTCTTACAATTATGGAAAATCTACAAAAGTTTTTATTAATTAATCAAAGCTAAATGCTAAACATGGCGATAGATTCTGAAAATGATTTCTCAAATATTTTGCTTGATGATAGTGTTTCAAATAATTCTTCATTGGATCGTAATCCATTATATGAAATGAATAACAGACATAATAAATCAACAATTACACATCCAAAACCTACTTTATATTGTGTTGTTTGTGGTGATCATGCATTTGGTACCATAAATAAATTGTTTTTGTTTTTGTTCTTTATAATATTTATTTTAATTTATATTAGGATACAATTTTGATGCCATTTCTTGTGAATCATGTAAAGCATTTTTTCGTCGAAATGCATTACGACCACCGGTAAAATTTTCTTTTGTAGTTATAAATTTATTAAAATTTGAGAGTAGAAATAATAATGATTATATCAAAGAAAAAAAACACAAACAATTATTTTTATATTATTTTATCTAATAAAAAAAATAAAATAGCACGTAGTACATTTTTGATCTGTTTATAGGGTTATTCACAGTGAATGCTAGGAAAAACAAGAAGATGAGATTCTGTTATTATCTCATATATTTGGAGCTGTAATTTTTTTTTGTATTATTAATTCAAGAAAGCTTTAAGATTTATAGAAAAGCTGTGTGAAAAATCTTTTACCTACAATTATTTATTATACTAAAAGCATGATAAAACAAAATATTATACAGTAGTGAAACCAAAAGCTCAGTCATTATAAATGCTGAAGGTTTGAAAATTTTTGTGTTCACACCTGATCAAGAGTGTATGTGGGAAACAATTATGCTTCGATAGGTGAAATACAAAGAGCATCTGAATGCATCACATATTTTTTTTTTTGCACGGAACTTGTTAACTTGAAAAGAGTTTTTCGCATAATTTTCCATTTCTTTCTTACCAAATCTATAATTAATTCTTGATATTTTAGACTGAAACTTGAGTTCAGTCTATGATTGTTGTTTACACAGAAGAAGAATTTATTTGCTTGAATATTAGTGTTTCGAAATTCTTCGTCTCATCAACACGATGATCATCCCATTAGTTCATAGTTTTTATATGAAACTTGTAAGCACTGATGTTCAACAATAGATATAACTTTTCTAAGAGTCTGAACTTCATTTCCTGAATTACTACGTTCATCTCTCAAAAAGAAACTAGATAATTTTCTTTTATATCAACAGGTACAGTAAAATAGTCACAATGCTAGAGAAGATAGATAAACTTCAATGAAATTAGTTACGTAGATACCTAGAATATAAAGCTGTAAAATGAGGCATTAGTTGACCTAGAAAACTCATGTTTTCTGAGATTATGAAGTTCAAAGGCGACATAGATGCCATCCATTGTTATCTATCGTAATTCTTTTTCTGCTTAAGTAATCAAAGGAAATTTATTTGCGTTTCTAACCTACATTTTTGATGACTTATGTGAATACAAATTTTCAGACCTTTATTTTTGATTATGACTGAAAACTTCTAGAGAAGAGACTTTTGTTCGCTGCTATATTTAAATGTACATCAAATGATTTATCCACATATGTATCTCTGGTAATATAAATACATTTGATGAAAATTGATTTCAATTAATATGAAATCCAATGCCTAATAGCAACTGTCATCTCATGTTATCGTTCGCGATTATTTTTACGACAGAATAATTAGACCAAGATAAAAAAATATTCTATTTGAATCAAAAATAATTTTTTTAATGAGAAAATACAACTGGTTGACCAGATTTACCTTTATTATCTGTATTGTTAGTTTTTTTGACACAACAGAAAACTAAATCTTATTTTATAAAATAAAATAATTTTAAGCCAGTATTCTTGTGACAAACCATAGTTAAGGTTTCATTTTTCAGAAATTTTTCTTCACATGTTACGAGTTTCAACGTAGCCCAACAGATATTCAAGGATCACTATGTAATACCGTATTATTGCAGACTGGTAGTAAAATTTTTTAGCAGCAAGTTAGCACGAGATTTTATAGTTTTTCTTCTCATCTTATGACACTATTGTTTTGTAAGAACAAAATTAAATTCAAGAACGAACAAACTAATTCCTAGTGATTATTTTGTTAGCAAAAAATCTATTTCTTCTTTATTGATCGTAAATCAAAAGAAACCTTTTGAAATTAAAGAAAATCAGAAGAAATCATTACAACAAAGATTAAACATGAAAAATATTGGAAAACATCGACATTGAGAGACATCTATAAAAATTATTAGAAAACAACAAAAATTAAAACTTCAATTTTAACATTAGTATTAGTTATTTTTTGAATGATTTCTGATAGTTTCTAATGATTTACGCTAATATCTTATGGCTTCAAGTCATTTTTCATGACATTACTAGGTTACAGAGATTTCTAATGATGTCTAGCACTAGAACTAGTTTATTTGATCTTGACTAAATCTATAAATATAAATAATTGTTATTAGTTGTATTCTATTTTAAAACAGTCCATATGTATTTTATTTACTTTATTTGATATCATGAAATAAAATAATAGTTGAAACGTATATTCCGGATGAAGAACGGAATATCAGAGGATACGTATGCTGCAGAACCTGGTTTGCAGATAATATGTTATGTCCTGCACATGTGCGAACAGGACACTCTTTTATTAAGATGCAGGATTTGCAGACCGGTCAATTCACTTAATTCATCGTGATCCAATGAAGTTCTGGTCTTTGTAGTGAAACTCGTCGTGATATTTTATTGTTATCAATAGTAGCCAGAAGAGTAGATGCTATACCAGCGACTACTGCTTCTATGGCTTCAAGTCGAATGCGTTTTATCACCATGTCAAATTGATAATATATTATTTATTCGTTCATACGAGAAAACCAAGAAAAAGTAATAAAAACAAAATCTTAATTCTTTCTCACTGCCTATCTCTTTATTTTGATTACAAATTGAATCCTATATCTTTATATTTGTTCATTATTGGTTTGTTCATCTCACGGGTGTCAATTATTTTTTTCATTGTTCGTTTCATTTGCGCTGGAGAACATATAGTGAGGTTTATTAACATGATTACATTATAAATAATTTTTCTATCAATAGTACATCTATGATATTTGACATCGAGCTCTGTAAACAGAAAAGATTTTTTCCTTGTCAAAGAAATATAATGCAAAGATCGTTCTGCAGACTGGACACAGGACAATACTTTACCCCGCCAAGACAAACAATTTGATGTCTTACAGAATGAAACGTAAGAGAAAGAACACTGTCTTTTGACATTCTCTGATGACGTATACAGAGCTTGTGTACATTGATAAACAATCATGTTGCACCGTATACGCCCGAATTTTCGGAATTCATATACTTTAGTATTACGATTGTATACCTCTGTGACCGTATTTGGATCTAGAGAATCATCAATAATGAACTATGAATCAAGACTGTGACTATATACAATCTCTACATATGAGAACAGCGAACAAACATCTTTTGTCTGCATAAATGATTGAGTGTGTTTGAATATAACATGAAGATATACCACCATCATACTTGTCATGCAAACTGATGTATCTCTAGAAACACGGGTGTTAAAAACCGTAATTGTTTCGATTCGATGCTGAACAAATTTATTAAAAAAATCACCTCTCAAGATAGGCGTATACTAATATTCTGTACATGTATTTTCTTCCAACTGGTTTTTGCTTTACTAATTTCTCAAAAATTGTCCATCCATAGAGGTTATACACGAGATGTTATCTATCGAAAAGAAATCCATATATTTCTTCTGTGCTTTAATGATAGAAGAATTTTTCAAATGTTTTTATAAAAACTAAAATTTAGAATAATGTAGAACAGTATTACTTTCATCATCGATACAAAGACGAAAGCTTTCTTCCATTACAAAATTTAAAATACAATATTGTTTTTTAATTGCTTTGATTACGTTTTTGACATTATGTTATTGTGGAGTTTTTCAAAAAATTGATTCTTCCGCTATTTCTTTTTAAACATCTGTTTCTCTATGACCTACTGTAAGGATTATGAACTAGTCTTATCTTTTTCAATACACTGAATATTGAAGTTTTTATTTCTATATAAACAAATGCCACAAATATTTTTAGAAAAATCTAGACTATGACTCGGAATGGGATAGGACACGACGAAAAACTTGTTTTATCCTATCTCATCGATCGTAAAGGACAAATCGTCTAATGAAAATATTGTTTTGAGTCTTGAATTGACTTTCACCACTTTCTTATTATATCGTTTCAGTTTCTCTCTATCTACTTCTTTTTAAGTTAGTTAATTACACAATTCAAGTTTTATACAAGCCACATAAATTCTACTTGTTTGCACAAAAAGAAAATTGTGGATCTATGGTATTAGAATTTGATTAAACTCGAATAAATACACCAGTGAATTCATTGAGCTCCGTTTGAATTAAAAGGACTTTGCTTGGATTCAGAACCTACTATTCCGCATAAAAGACCTAAATTTCATGTCTCTAAAAAGGAACAATTCTCAGGTGTTCGTTTACTTTTCAGTCAATAGTTAGTGCATCTTGTAGGCTATAATGAACTATGCTTATCATGAAAGAGTTCATGATCATAGTTTGCTTCTGAAGAAATAGAACATTTTAGGTGAATTGTGGCTGTAGGACCCCAAATTTGCAGCAAAAGCCATGCTTTCATAAATTGACCTGAAATTTTGTTTACACAAAGACACCAATCAGAGTAGCTCGCATAAATGTATTCCGAGTTTTTGAACGAAGTGTTTCCGAGTTCTGAGGATGTCAAATAAAAATACATGTAGTATGTATTCTCTATGGAAAAGAACTTGTGCTTTAAAGTTCTCTATCTCGGAGAGATTTAGTCCGAAAAGTTTGGAACCTTTTTATGCAAGCTCGTCTAATTAACCTATTTATGCAGGAAAAGTTTCAGTTCGAGATTTGAAAACATGATCATGCTGCAAATGTGGGATCCTACGACCACTATTCACTAAAAGCTTCCGACTTCCACAGCGACAAGCCATGGTTACGAACTCATTTTATGGTAGACGTGGATCCCTCGATCTGCAAAATTCACTAAGAAGGGAACATTTTCAATGTACCGATCGCTTTCTCATCGACAGCTAGGGGACCACGGTTTACTGATTATGTTGATACAGAATATGACCATGAGATTTTTTCCTTAGGTTTTCATATGCTGGTTTTCTAGAAAACATGTTTTTCAAACTAACAAATTTTTTAAATCTGTCCAAATTATAGAACATATTGAATCGCCTAGAAAACAGTAACTTTTTCTGTTTCAAATCGTTGTTTTGCAGAAAATGCAGTCATTTTAATTCATGCATCACATACATGTCAACATTTTACTGGAAAATCTTCAAATTAATATTATTTTAGTTAAACAGCATACTTTAAAACAAAACGATCACTGTCATGTAGAGAACTTGATATGCTCTATAATCTAAATAGATCACGTGCGATTTTGGCCCAATTTTTGTTGACCTCGAGAACGAATAAATGAAGACCTTTGAGGCTTTATTATGGATATACTTGAAACCAGTATGATCGGTAACATGTAATCCACTAGTTTTTTCTGAGAAAGTAATTTGCTAGTTGAAAACGTTTCTTCCTAAGTCTCAAATCAAAAGCGAAGGAACATTGGGAAATGTCTTCTTGTACGTATTGAAAAGTAAAAATATTACCTCTCTAGTACATTGTCCATTCATGATTCTTAGAATTATATGAGTTCACTTAGTTTACCCAGATTACTAAAGGTCATTGAAGATTCTTTCATATGCTGGTGCGATTCAATGGATTTCTTCAGATTTTTATGAGCTCTGATAAATTCTGTTACTGTTAAAGCTCATTAGAATTTAATAAAATTTTCTATCAATTGATTCGTTTTCTCACAATAAAAACTTATAAAAAATGATATTGAAAATGCATTCGAAATAGAAACCGTAAAAATTCCTTGAGAGTGAGGTATTTTACTCAAAATACTCGACAGTTATGACGGGAGAGTCATAAAAAAGTTTAACACGCTTGAAGCACAAAGCACTTCATAAAATCAGTGTTTTGTTTTCGTTGTTTTAGCTTTTATAATATTACTGAAAGCTTTTACCTGAATAAAAATAGAGCAAGTAAGAAACGCAAATATTTTTACTGACGAAAGAGACCACGAACTACAGTATAATAAATCCTATTGATCACTGTACCTATGAAGTATCCTGACTCAATATTTCATAAGTAAAACAAAGAAGATAAAATCGCACGAGAAGAGAACTTTATCTTCTCTTATAGAATATTTCAAAAAGAAAATTGTCACATAGGATCGAGTGGAATTATCCAATCACATTCGTTGTTCTGATTTGGACAATTCATAGTCCATAATAATAATAGAAAGAAAATTGAAGCTATTGCAACAAAAAAATGTTATATTTGATTTTGAAGAAATGGTGAGAAATACTTCTTGAAATTAAAGTTAAGAATGATAGTTTTCATCAATCATGCAATTTTATTTTATGAATAAAACCTTAATAATCTTGTTTATCACGAAATAAAAATATCTATTGACTTGGTTAAAAGAAAATGCAGTTATTTCATCTCATTATAATATATGTTGATATATAAACTCTTTATGTCAGACATTCTATGATAAAACTGCTTCAAAGAATATTTTCTATGGTTTATGTCTAATAATGAAAACAACCAACAAACATACAAATTTTCCTTGTTTAAGATAACTTATAAATAAATTATTAAATTTAGAAACTATTATATTTATTTTTAGAATTGATTGAAATCTGTAAAGAGTTCGTTATTATGAGAATAATTTTTTTTCGTCTTGTGTAAAAATTGAGTAAATATTAAGTTCCTAAAAATAGGAAACACATTTACAATATCATCAGATTATATTCATTTACTTTATTTAGAATATGATATAAACTCTCTATATTGAACATCCTTCGGACGTTTTAAAAGTGTTTAATATAAGAAGGCGAGGTCTTTTTTAAAAGCAGCTTTTTATAAGGAACAAATACGTTTTCTAGATATCAAAAGGATGTTGGTGAATAAAAAAACTGACTATTGCTTATTGTCATTTATTTTTTCATGCATTTTTTTCTTAAAAAATTCATAGTTGTTAAAATATAGTAAAAGCTCCTCATGGTAGACATCATTAGGGCTTTTCAAAAGTATTCATTATAGAACTGATTTTTTAATAATTCTTTCTAGAATGATCTCAAATGTCGTGGTAATGGTCATTGTGAAGTGACCGTTGAAAAAAGAAAACGATGCAAAAAATGTCGATTAGATAAATGTTTTAGGATGGGTAATTTGATTTGTTCGCCTTGTTTGTAGCATGTGTACTTATTTATAATTGTATATTTGTTTTTTAGGAATGCGCAAAGAATGGATTCTTTCCGAACAAGAGTATTTTGATTTCTTTTTCTTTTTTGTTACATCTCATGTAATAATGACATTTCATAAATTATAGATATTGATTAATAGAATAGACGTTCAACAAGTGAGATTCTCCTGAGGATGATAGGAACATAAACATTTGAAAAATATTTATCAATTTTTTCTGACCGTAAACAGAAGTCTACCTTTAGTGTATCAACAAAAAATAATGAGCATATTATTGTTTTCTTTTTAAAATATCGTTGCAAAACAATTCAATGTAGATAGTAGAATACTTAATAACTAGTCTATTTTTTCATCGCAAATTATCTACTCACCGAAAAAAAGAATTTATTTTTGAAATTGCATGACTTCAGATTTACATTATCTTTTTAAGATTAAATCAAAGCATGAATTTCTGTTTAGTAAACAAAGAAAAAGAAATAAAATTGAACAAAATCGTCGTCAAAGACAAACAAATGTAGGCATTCTAGGACGCCGTCGACGTTATATAAAACATGTAAGTATCATTGAAATTCACTGACAAATTTTTATTTTATAAATTTCCATTTATTTATTTCTAGTTGAAATTTTTTGAAGAGAGTTCATCTATAGATGAAGTTCATCCATCAATAACTAATAATATTCCACAAATGAACGAATCAGATTGGTCAAGAATTCATCAAGTTCAATATGCATATAGTCAAGCAACATCATTGAATAGGGTAATTGGTGTTCCATTGTATCCAGCAACTCAACCAATACATTCTACACTTGAACTTATTCGCATTCCAACTTATTTAGCATCCATACGTCTTATAACTTTTATGAAAAAAATTCCTGAATTCGATTTATTTAACCCAGAAGATCGTGTTACACTTGTTAAACATAATTTATTAGCAGTTGTTTTTATGCATGTTGTTCTATTATATAATCCGCTAGCAGATAGTTATCATGAACATGATACAGAAGATCCAATATTTCAAGGCAAAGATTGGATTGAAATACTTGGTGAAGAATTTTATCATGAAGTAACTGACGTCGCAACAAAATTAATTGAGATATTTCAATATGATCGTGTTATTGTCAAAATATTTTTATTACTTATTCTATTTACAAAAGGTTTTTGTGGGTATGATATAGCTCATGAACCATCATTGAAAAATTATTTTATTGTATTTAACACACAAAATCTTTATCTAGAATCACTTTATAAATATTGTTTACATCATTACGGTATAAGGAAAACCATTACTTTATTTTCACGTTCTCTTAATCAAATACTTGCTATACAACGTTTAGCTGTTCATTTAAAAGATTTTGTACATAATCATATTAATGCATCCCAATTATCGCCATTAATGCAAAGTGTTCTACAATTACCAAACTCAAATCCATCCGTATAAAGTTGTGTTTGTATATATATATATATGTTTATCTTTTGTTTTTTAAATAAAAATAACATGACAAGTACATACAAACCCATCGTACTTTTTTTCTGTAGATTCTATCTTAGATTTGTCATGCGCAATCTTTTAACATATTTTTGTTTTCCTTGCTTTTCTTTTATAAAGGTTGCTTTTGTGTAAAGTAGTTCCATTAGAATACACTGTCATCATGTAACAGGTGAATGTACCCGTGCTTCAATGTGTTTATCGCGTTCTTCTTGTCAACACGTTATTCAAACTGAAAAAAAAAGTTTTTTTTTTCTATGAGTCAACATTATCAAAAGGTCGGATTCTCATTATTATTACAATGTAAAAAAATAATCAATTGAGTCCTATATATTTCTTTTATATAGGCGAATGAAGGAGAATAAATGTACACATATAAATGTTGTTTTGATGAGTTATCAATAATTATTGATTTCTCTATTTTAAGAACAAGATTTATCGATTGAGTTAATCGTTAATATAAATGTGTGATAAAAACAAGAGATTTTTTTACATTAGTATTTTTGTGGTATGCAAAATGTTGATGAAATTACTTATTATGAAGATCATGGTTTTTTTTGGCGCCTGGCAAATGAAAGACAAAAAAAAAATAAGCAAATTGAAGGCATTCAAGACATATTAAAACATAGTAAATCATGTATTTTCTATCTGGAATCTGTTGTTTAGACAATTGAAATAATTGATTTCTTAGTGAAAAACTGATTGCACTAAATATTCAGATGTATTTAATATTAAAAAAAGTTTTTTTTTTGTTTTTTTGCTATCCAATTAACTTTGTTATCGTTATGTAATATTTCTATAGAGGTTTTGGAGAAATTTTCGGTACCTAGTAAATAAATATATGCTTCAAAAGCATGTTCGAGAGAAACAATATGATTGGTTGGTTAGTATTTTTCCTTCGTATAGTAATCGTTCTCTTTCTTGATATTATTAAAGGTTTGTTGTTTTTACATATATTCTTTTTTTTCTCTTTCTCGTCTATCCAACGACATTAAGCGAAACCTTGGACATGACGTTTATGCGCACACTAAAGTTTAATAAGAACATTCATCTGTTCTGTCCTATATCTCGTTTCTTATTTTGTTGTCTTTTTTTTTTCTTCTTTCTTTCTTTTTTCTTTCTTGCTACCCCGTTATAATGTAGGTTATTATTATTATTTCTATCTTATATAATTTTGAAAAAAATCATGGAAAAAAATATATCAGTTCAAGAAGTTTATCTATAATTATTTGATATTTTCGGTAATTATGGATTTTTAAAAAAATAAAACGATTTTTGAAAGAAAACCTATACTAAATATTTTATGAAAACCTTTATACACATAGATTTGCATCTTTGTTTCTTTGTTTTTGCAATATTGAGAAACAAATAGTACGATTGAAAAAAAAAGTACATTGTTAAAATTGGTCTTCATAGAGTACCCAGAAAAATCACATACCAACTCTGTTACCCCTTTCTCTTTCTACGTTTTTTTTCTTTTGAGAATTTTTTCTTCGTATTCTATTTTGTTGTCTGAGACATTCGAGTCTATTTACTCAATGTTTTTTTTTTCGTTCTACTTTTCTATTCTATTCTAATTTTTATTCACCTCCGTCGATTGAAAGACAGAAAGTTGTTTGTACAAATCATTATTCACAATCATAGTTACTAAAATATATTATGGCGGAAAATCGTGTCCGAAATCGAAAACAAGTTTCACATCCTTCATATGCTCTTAATACAAATACAAGTGGTAATACAAAAAATTATTTATATCCTGTCTTTAATAATGATAATAATAATAATAGTGAACTACAACAACAACGGTTGACCTGTGCTCGTAAAAGACCTGACAGTTTAATCTGTAGTATTTGTGAAGGACCAGCACATGGTTATAATTTTGATGCCATCACATGTGAATCATGTAAAGCATTTTTTCGACGAAATGCATTAAAATCTAACGTATGAACAAGTTTAAAGAAACTTTTTTTGAAAATAAAAATATTTTTTAATATTTGTTTATGTATTTTTGTTTTTAGGGAGAATTTAAATGTCGAATGACTAATGGTCGATGTATAATTACAGTTGCAACCAGAAAACGATGTAAAGCTTGTCGATTAACAAAATGTTTGGAACAAGGTATATTGTTTATTTTTATTGTAAATAGATTATTTCATATATTTTCTATTTAGGTATGAGAGCTGATTGGATATTAACTGATGAAGAACGTTTAAATAAACGAAAAAAAATCGAAGACAACCGTCGTCTTCGTCAAATGCTTTATCCAGATTCATCAGAAACAGATGAAGTTCGATGAAATAAACATGTCAAATTTATTGATTAGATTTGTTTTTCTTTTATATAGACACAAATGATAAAAACAAAAGATGAACTATATGATGATGATGATGAAGTAGATCATGATAATAATATCATTACATCATCATTTATAACACAAGCAAGATCATTATTATCATCGGAAGATTTAAATAAAATTCAACAAATTCAACAAGCATATATTGATTCTGTTCGTTTAATATCATTACCACGTGAACTTCCATCATATCCACAATCAGTACGAATAACTCAAATATCAGATATGATTAATTTTCCAACAAATATTTTAGCAACTCGTCTTATAACATATTTTAAACTTTTGCCTGAATTTTCATCTTTAAATGAATATGATAAATTAATTTTAATTAAATATAATACATTTCCACTAGTATTTATTCGTTCGGCATTAAATTATGATCCATTAACCGATAGTTATCATGAACCTAATACAGATGATTGTATTTTTTCTGGTCGTGATTTAATTCAATGTTGTAGTTTACATCAATATGAACAATCAACACATTGTATACGAAATTTAGTAAATGCTTCATTCAATGATCGATTTTTATTAGAAGCATTATTAATTATTATGTTATTTTCTAAAGGTTCATCAATATGTACATTTACAGATGAAGTAGAACCAATAGCTCAAGATATTTTAACAATATATAAAACACAAAATGTATTTATTGATTTATTATGGAAATATTGTGAAAATAAGTTTGGATTTTCTAAGACAATAAAAATTTGGTTAAAGCTTACAGCCTTATCCATGGATGCACATTTACAAGCATATAACACACGGCATGATTACGTTAAAGCTAATTCTGTTGGTGACCAACTTTCGCCATTGATGAAATCAGTTGTGTTAATTATTTAGAAAAACAGATACTCATTAGAGTTTTGTATATATATATATTCATATGTATCTTTTTTTTATTGGTATTGTTTTCTTTCTGTTTTTATAAGAAAGAATGAATCTCATATTTTTTGAGTGATATATTTATATTAATTCAACAATATTTGTTAAATTAGTTTCTATAAATATGAGATTCAATTAAAAATAGATCTCAGATTTTTTATTTATTTCTAGAAGATGACTTTTTTTTAGAAACAATCGATTTAAACGATATATTCGTGAATTCTATTCTTATTTAATATATTATAATAGGCTAATCATCGACGATATTAACCAGATGAATGATAATTTGAAGAAATTATCTCTTAAAGAATTCTTTCTTTTTTTGAACTAAATGTTATTTTTAGATGAGATAATGCAGATGTAGTTGTTTCGTTGAGTTTGTTAACTCATTGACTTCTTATTCTATTGTAAAGAGGAATATTATTTATGAAAATATTTGTCGATTTAATATTTTTTATGATCATTTGTGCTTCAGATTTAAAAAAAGGATTAGCTGCGTATTAAAATTTTTGTTATATATATAGAGTCTTAATAGAGTCTTATTAACGGAAAAGAAAAAGAATAGGTCATGGAAAGCGATACTAGCATTTTTGATTAATTTATACTTCCTGTTGAGAGGTCGGGATTCACAGTGCTTTTTTTCCATTCTGAGCTTGTGTTTTTTTAACATAAGAAAAAGAAAAGATAAAATAGATTATACTATTATTCTAGCTTTTTCATATTACAAAAAGAACTATATAATAATTTTGCTTGCTTATAACTAAAAACCTGACCTACATAGACGTTTAATCTCTTGTATATTGTTAAATCTAAGAGTAAAATGCGTCTGCTAATATCTGTTGATATTTATCTTTCTATCAATAATAGTTATGTGTTGTTGTGTTTTTTTTTGTGTTGATTTAGATCTGTATATACAATGGTACGAAAAATTACAAAATTACTCTCCGTCTTTGACTTCTTTTGAATTTTATTCTTATACAAATGTTAGTTTTTCGTTTCCAATTCACTGCTAATGTATAGATTCATATGTACTCTTTCAATATTTATTGCAATAAATACTGAACGAACATGTATGAATCTCAATCTTGATGATGAATTGGAAAGGCAAAACATAATATTGATCAAGAATAAAATTCGAAAAAAGTCCAGGACGAAAAACAATTTTACCATTGTTTATATTACAGCATATTGAAGGTACCTGTAAGTAACTTAAGTCGTTTTTTTCTTCAATAAAATTTCTTTTGATTAAAGGAGCATGTTGTATAAGCATTGGCCCGTGTTCTTGACACGTGCATGTATCTCAATTTGCTTGTGTCTCTATTTTCTCTTTTTCTCTTTCTCCTATTCTCTCATTCTATATTTTTCTTTTTCCTCTCATCGATCACCCCATACAGCCCTTCGTGCGCTTATTCCGTTCTTTCTTTCTTTTCGCAACACACCAAAGACTAACTGCGTTTCTCTTGTTGAGCTGATGTGAGTATGCACGCATATGTAAGCACTTACGATTTAATCATCATTTAAAATTATTTGTTTTTTTCTTTTTTTATTTTAGTTGATTATTCAATACAAACATATTTTCTTTAAACTAAAATATTTTATAATTAACGATGCAAACGGATCATAGAGTACCTACAACTAATACAGCAGCAATGCGACAACAACATCGTAAACGATCAGTTTCAAGTGTGAATCCTCGTAAACGTGATCGTCATGATCTGATTTGTGTTGTTTGTCATGCGCCAGCTATGGGTAAGTAGAAATGACATGTGATATTATATCTTGTTCTTAATATCTATTTTCTATTCTTGATCTAACGCTTTCTTTCTTTATTTTATGGTCTTAGGCTATAATTTTGATCAAATAACATGTGAAAGCTGTAAAGCATTTTTTCGTCGAAACGCATTAACTAATGCAGTAAGCTTCTTAATATATTTTTTAAAATTATTTATTTATTCTATGTCAAAAATTTTTTAATTAATTTTAGGGCAAATTAAAATGTCGTTCTGGCACTGATGATTGTATTATTTCTTTAGACACACGAAAAGTATGTAAAAAAATTTATTATTTAGTTTTTTTAATTATATTTTTTAATTTCAGAGATGTAAAGCATGCCGACTTAAAAAATGTTTTGACAAAGGTTTACGTAAAGAATGGATTATGTCCGAAGAAGAAAAACGTACAAAAAAACAAAAAATTGAAGATAATCGTCGTTTACGTGCTATGTCACAAAATTTAACAATGTTTTCAATAACACCATCAACTTCACCATCAATTGTTCCTGAAACTGAACCATTTAATTTTTCCATTGAATATCAAAAACGTTTCAGTAATGATGATGAAGACGCGGATGATAATGATAACAAAGATAATATATATCTTTTTGATGATAATAATGATACAAATGATATTAAACCATTTGAAACATCATTTAGTCATAACAATAATATAAATCAAAATAAATTTGATTATAAAACCTTATTAAATGATCATGATAGAATATTATTAATAAAAATTGATGAAAACTATACACGTGCTGTTCAATTAAACATATCAGTTGCGGAAGGTTATGATTTACCATGTTTACGAAATCTCAACCATATAACTAATATTGTTAATGAACTAACACAAATGAGTACACTACGAACGATTACTTTTTTAAAATTAACACCTGAATTTAATGTAAGTTTTTATTTTTATTTATTTATAAAGAAAAAAAAGAAAATCTTTTTTTATTTTGTTAGTGTTTACATGAAGATGATCGACTTGCACTAGTCAAACATAATTTATTAGCTTCTTTATTTGTTCATTTATGTATGTGTGTTGATATACAAACACAAATATATCATGAACCCAATACTTCAAATGATTTTTGTTATCGTGCTGGTGAATTACGTCTTTATTCAGATGAAGTTTATCAACAATCAATGATGTTTATTCACGAAGTTCAAGATATATGTTCAAATGATCATTTAATTATGAAAATAGCTATGTTAATTATTATTTTTTCAAAAGGATCCGATGTAAATGAACCATATTGGCTTCATCCACATGAAATATTTCATGCACAAAATGTTTTTATAGATATTCTCTGGAAATATCTTGATGTACGCTTTAATAGTGACTTGACAGCATCAATTTTTTCACGTTTGATATTTGCTTGTATGAAAGCACAAATATTAGGACAAAAAACAAAAGAAGCAGTATCTAAACAGACTGTTTATTATGATCATCTTGCTCCATTAATGCAATCAGTTTTACTCAGCTCCTAGTGACTGTTTTATCACTATCTGCATATGAGTATATAGAGTAGTATTTTTCTCCATTTTTCTTTATTCTATGTCTGTTTTTCAAAAAGTTTTATTAAAAAACCAAAAAAAAAGCGAAATAAGTATATTGTACTGTTGATCTGTTCATTAAAAAAAAATATTTTAAACCCAAAAAAATTTTGTATTTTTCTTTTGGGCAAAAAATATTTACTGATTGTCAATAAATATTTTGTCTAATATTTACATTTATATATCAACTCTTTGGCCTTGTAATGTATGACCAAAACTTCAACTAATTTTCATTAATTTTTGACTATTATTAGTTATCAATTATATGATAAATTAGTTACCGCTATGAAAAAAAGACAAATAATTTATCGTTGTTAAGAGTAAAAAAACAAATTAATAATATAATTTTTTGTGTCTTATGTTAAAAAAATAATGATGATAAAAAAATTTTATATTAAAATCAATGAATTTTAATAATTCAAAATATGATTCTATTCGAAATAGTTCACCAACAAAAGAGCAACTTATAATTAAAGGTATTCAACAAGCATGGAATCGTCGATTTTTATCTAATATTCATTCGGGTGTTCGAGTAAAAATACAGCAACAAAAAAATAAAAATTCATCATTAATTGAACCAATACATAAAGATATTCATTATCAATCATTACCATCATCATTTAAACAAACAAATCCTATAGAATCAATGCTTAAACGTTTATGGATTGAATCAGAAACATCAACTTTAAGTCAAAATGGTCGAAAATCATTAGAAAAATTTCAACATTCATCATTAACTTCCGATCAAATGAAATCTATTTTAAATAATAATCTTTTTACAAAAAAAAATTCATTAGGCATAAATTATAAAAATATAAGTATGAATAGTATTGGTATACAAACAAATATAATAAAACGAATTGATCAACAAACATCATGTAATATTCTTAGACTAAGAAAAACTTTTAGCAAGAAAAATCGTTCATCATCTTCATCAACAGTTTCAATTTCTAAAACATCTGTATCAGATGACAATTCAACATATACAAATAGTACTTCAATAGAAACATCAACAATTACTAGTAGTTCTACTGTTAGTACAAAAGAAAATCATCATTATTATAATCAATGTAATAAAAATCGAAATAATAATGCTATTGATACTGAAAACGAACAAAGCTTTAATCATATCGAAATAAACGAATTTCAGACAGAAAAATCATTCAAACAACAATTGGTAATAAATATTTTACAATAATAATAATGTTTCATAAAAAAAAAGCTGAATAATAAATTTAAATAAATGAATCAGATTAAAAGATGTCATCATATATATCTAATTATAGAATTACTCATGAAACAAAAGCCAAGCAATAATAGTCATGTCTCCTTTAGAAATCAGCTTGTTTAAGTATTTATTATTACTTGTCTAAGAATATTTGATAGCATAAATTATTTAAAAAAAGCTTGTACTTAATATGTATCAATATTACATAGATTAAGAAATTTAAGGAAATCCAGAAAATTCTATAGACATTGCATGATATTTTTATTGATGATTGTAATCATCTAAATGATATTATTTTTATAGAATAATGAACAACTATTGCACGATATAAGCATAAACACGCAATGTAATCCTCAACCAAAATCATCAACAGTATTATCGACAGCAAAAAACCGATTTTTTAGTACGTTCTTAAATTTATTTTCTTATCTTCGATTATCATCATTTAAACATGATCGTATTTGGATATCAACAACTACTGATGAAACTTCAAAAGTTATTCATATTGATCAAAATGAAGAAAATAAAAATATTCGATCACCAACTTCTCGTTGTCGACGATCTACAGCTAGAAATTCTAATTATAGTTCATTAATCGAACCAGAAAAACATTATTTACAAATAAAATCCGAAGACAATTCGTCATCGAAATTTAAACATTCAAATAAAAAAACTTCAAATAAATCAAAATCAATAAGAAAGCAATGCCAACAAGGTTATTATATAAGAAACAACTTTGTAGTAAAATACGATCTAAAATGCGTGTTGAAGTAAAGAAAGAGAAGTCTGTATTCCCTACCGACATGTCAGACATCTTAACAAAGAGTCTTTTAGAAACGTGACAGACACGTGGGAACGGCTCATCACAGGCATAAGCAGACACATTAGAAACGCCTGATCACACACGTGACAGACATCTTTTATAATATATTGCCTTCATCACAGATGTCTTACGAGCGTTCTTGCTCTTCACCACATCGCATACCATGACAGACAACATCATTAAAATTTCAAAGATTGTGACAGAAGCCGTGGCAGCGCTCTTCTCCTTTCTTCCACATCATAGGTCATTGATGAGAATAATGTCTCGTGACTACTTCTTTATTGCGTTTCTGTATGATTAATTAAAAGAATACTGAAGAAATATGTTTCAATATAGTTTAAATAAAACAATCTCTTTATGATTGGTAACAGCAACTACATTATATTTCACAGTTGACTCCCGAAATGATTGTGATAACAGCTGTTTTTGAATATCAATTATTATGATTCTATATTTAAATAGTAAATAATTCGAATTTATCTATTGTTGATTCTGAACATCGATCAAAGAAAAATTTAAATAATAATAATCAAAGAAAATATTCGTGTAGAAAAGAAAATTATACTAATCAACATAATGAGCATAGACATCGTCATCGAAAAAAACGAAAACATATTCGTATATCCAACAGATCATCTCAAATGAAAATTTTATCAAGTTCATCTATTGGTATCGGAATTCAACAATTATCATCTGATGATAATTATTCAAAAGTGCTTGTTGAAGAAAGTAAGTTTCATAACATATATCAAATTCAAAATCTTGGATTCGTTATATTCTATAGTTAATATCTATTGTGCATAGGTATAAAATCATCTATTTGTAATATGGAATGTTCCAACAATACGTGTTTATCATTACATGATGATGTCAAGCCAACATCCATTAGATTTCCTGATAGTGAAAACAATCAATCACACAAAGAAATCATATGTCGTGAACAAGAAAATCTTTCCACAAAAGTCTATAAAAAAATATCATTGCAATTAATTATTCTAAATATTTCTGATATTTTTTTTTGATAGTCTATTGATAATCATTCAGCAGAAATTGTTCCATGTATAACAAATAATTCAATCTGTCAATCTAATACTTTACCATCATCATTTGAAAAAATAGTAAATGATAATAAACAATATTTTTTTAATCCAAAAGATTCAATACGTTTACATGTCAAAAATAAAAATTTAATTTCAACATTATCAAAATCGAAACTATCACTTTCATCTATCTATCATGTTGATGATTCAATAGCATGTCATCAAAGAAATATAGTCAATGAATTTAAATCAATTCTTCAACAAACAAAAAATATTCATATGAATAATAATGCTTTTGATCATGATTTAACAATTAATATTTCTCCTCCATTAAAAATCGATACAAAAGAAATATTAACTTCAAATAAATCGAATATACAGGTATGAACATGTACTCTTATACATTCCTGCAAATAAATAGCGCATAGTTTAAAAAAAGAATAATTACATATTCTGAAAGCCCCTGAAAATTTCTATTATCTTGCGTATTTATGTTTTAGTTTGCACTTATGCACGATCAAAATATATCGAGCGTAATGAAGCATTCTCAAAATGAGGCTGGCACAGCCTTTATATTGTCACTAGTGGCAAAATTAGTTATTAAAATTTTTCATCACTGTAGAAGAACTTTTAAAAAGAAAATTTATTATATATTTTGATAGATCTTGAAATTTTCTATGATATAGTGTCTTGCATTTATATGTCGCAAAAAATAAATGGAAAATAACTAGAAATATACAAGGAAATGGAAAATTTTAAGCTTTGTTCGAATATAAATTACGTTTTTTAAAATAGTGATTCTGTAGTGGTATGAAATTTCAGAAATATATTGTCTATAAGTAAAATCTAAAACATAAATGTACTGGATAATAGAAAAGTTTAAGAACTTTCAGCATATGTAATTATTTTTTTAAGATATGATTTAATAGTGAATATATATTTAAAATATGGGCTCTCACTATTCATTTTTTTGAAGTACATATTGTGAAGCAAAATTTTATAATTTAGCCAATATTTTGCTCAATAACAAACCGAAATGATAATAAACCTGAAAGTTCATCTGTTGGTTCTTCAGATAGTGAAACAAAATCAATTAAAGATAATCCTGTAGAAATTCATAAAATAATACAACATCAAAATGAAATTATTCGAGAAGGTGTTGAACAATTAATGCGTTATCAAAAATTATGTGAATCATATAAATTAACAAGTAATAAAGCAGTTAGACAATTTCTTATGAAATCCACAGTTTTATCTCCAGAGTCTCTTTATAAATTATCAATTATCAATGAACCAAATTCAACACACCAAATAAAGAGAAAAACAAAATAGACTAATTTTCATCTATTTCTTTTGTACAAATTATGATTTAATTTTTTCTTCTTTTTAGAATTTCAAAAATTACGATTTTTATGAATAATAAAATCAGTTTTTCAAGCAATAAATTTTAATTATGATTTAAATATTATTGAGTAAAATTTGAAATAGTAAAACGCAAAGAATAATTCTCCATGATGCCTAGGTCAAACAAGAAGCTGATAAGGTCTTACAAGATCATATCTCTGCTAAAGCCTGTCAACTTACTTTTGAATCCAACAGACTTTAGTCGGCTGAGGAATGTGTAGGGTGCACTAGACATAGAATACAAAAATCGGAAAAAAACTATTTCGTATTTTCGGAGGCAGTTATCCAATTTCGATTAGAAAATTTCATGGAGAGTAATAAATTACGATTTCACTGAGACCAAATCCGAAAATTTTCAGTCTAACGAGCGCTAATTTCTGGTCTTGTCAGATTAGAAGAGAGCCGGCCGAAACGTACCACTCTCAGAGGTCGTACACTCAATCATAATACACCCTGCTTGGAAACTCTTACCGCTTGACTGTTTGACCTGGGCAGATACATCGTGTTAGACTGAGTAACGTTTATTTTTAAAAAAATCTTTATCCATTTTAATGAATATATAAACTTGGGAGATTTTTGCTGTATTATATAATAAGTTGCGCTTCAATTTTTCTCATACGTCGGAATATTTTGATTGATATCAATTCTAATAACTAAATTTAACGCAAAAGATAGAAATTCTTGCAAAATAAAATTTGTTTCCATTCAGTAAATAATTGGGAAATTGGCTAAAGCAAATTTTTTAAATACTCAATTAGTTAAATATTTCTTGGTAATCAAAATAGTTACTAAGTCTGATTATCAATATGCAAATCTAATATTTAATCATTAAAAAGATTGAATAATTTGTAAAAATATTCTGAATTTTTTAAATGTAATTAGGCTAAGATAAAGATACTATGAAAGATGACTATGAGGAATAGGTAACGTACAGTTATAGTAGAAGATGTCTCCTTCAAAGTTGTGGATGAAAAGTGAAACATATATAGGTTTCTTTTATTCGTTTTTTCTTGGTTTCAGTTATTATCCTAAAGGTTTTTTTTCTGATGTAGTTTACGTACTTCATCCTCTCGCTGATGTGCCTTTCCTAGTATATTTAGATTTTCTCTAGCTTGTTCATATATATATAGTCATCGCTTAGAAAATACAATTATTCATTGCTGATCCGCTAGATCAATGCCTCGATAAGAAATAGAAAATTTTATAGAGACACAGTGAGATGAGAGCTCACCAAAAACGAACAACTATATCAAAATAAACTGGTAAGTTGCTTCACAAATGGAAACAATCAGACGTACAGTTGATTAGATAAAAGATAAACGGTTTTCTAATAGTTTAGGAAAATGATCATAAAAAGAAACAAAGCTTTATCGATCTAATAACTATATAAGTAGATTTTTAACTGATACAATTGTAAAACCAACTTTTCCTACTTAAAATTAGTTTTAATAAGTCAATTAGAAAAGCAATTATATTTTTTTCACACTTGCAAAAAAAAAGCCTATTTAATATTTTCGCCATAGCCTTTGTCTAATACTAACATCCGATACAAATGTGATATAGAAAAATCAATTCGCAATAATAATGTAGTAAGAGACCAATAAGAAGTATAAATAAGTATGTTTAAAAAAATAAATAGTTAGATACTATTACAGTCATTCGGAGAACCTTATGAATTATTCGTTTAAAAGTATGAAAATTATTTGAAATATGGAAATTTGAAGGACATAATAGTCGTATTTTTCTTATCAGTCTTGGTATTTAAAGCCTCTGTGCAAAAGACGATTGTCTGTGTTTCAAACTGTAGTAAGAACAAAATCACGGCTTTCAGCCAGTGTCAGAACAAATATCTTGAAAAATTCCAATCTAAGCTATGTACAAAGGCATGATTTCTAATATCGGCACGAAACTCTAAAGGTAATCAGTTATAAATTATATAAGTCGAGATTGCAAGTAGCTATCGATCTGTGATTTTTAGCAATCGACAGAGATGAGAACGTCTTTTTCTTTGATAACATATAAGACAAAATCATTTTGAAATCATTGTTTTCCGCAAAATGTCCAAAAAAATGCATGAAAATGATGTTTCATTTGATGAAATTTTATTTTTTATGTACTTTTTAGATAGAGAAACTTGAGATCTAAAGTTCAAGAATCAAATTGAATGATTATCGTCGCACATACTAATACTGAACAAGTAAAATTCTATGTCTGTTCAATTGAATAGCTTTGAACTTTGCTGATTTATGTGCAAATTTTCTTACATATGACAAAATTTCATTCAAATGTTAGACTATTCCCATCAATGATTTTTGAATGTTCTATAGAAATCATTGAGCTGAAAATCATCCCCGTGCATTTTCTTTCCATTTCTGAAAACTACAGATCGCTGGCTGCTCGTATTCTTGATTTGCTCAATTTTTAATCAGACAAATATCGCTCCAATATTAGTAGTATTAACAGGTGGTGCAGATGAAATGATACAAAATCATTTTCTTTTTGAGTAATGTCGATACGGTTTGCACAAAGACATTTGATAGAGAATTGTTCTTCCTAGAAAACCGTTTCGTTTGTTTTTCAAATAAATTTTTCTGGGATGTAGAAACATTTAAAGCATGAACACTTGCTCAATCGTGTAACTGTAAGTTTAGATTGTGAATAGAAAAGTTTGTTTCCTTCATTTCCACGACTTTTTAAAAAACTTTCAGGCTATCATTCATGAGAAAAAAAAATTTTGGAACTAACATCTAATGATATTTTTCTATGTATCTCGCAAAAAAAAGCATGTTCTCCAAGTTGAGACGTAGTACATGAAACAGTCATTCTCGTGTTGTCTGATGTAGAATTTAATTAAAAATAAAATGATGTGACTTCTAAGTTGAATAGCACAAAGGATTAAATTGCATTAACTTAAAAAGAAACAATCACGTTATTCCGTCAGACAATTTTTTCCGTTGTTTCTCTTTGCAATTTTTACTCCATGATCATTCTCACAAAGATTTCTTCTATAATTCTGAAATATGTATATGAAAAGATGCAGAATTTTGTAGTATGTATGATATTTCAACAAACTATTTTTAAAAGAAATTTGCATCATTTTTCATTTGTTTTTCTGACTGTCACAATTACTTTATTGAATAAGTGTTAATATTTCATATTTCGCTTCTAATAAGGATAATTTATTTGGAAAACAATTGAAATAGTTTTGTAGAGAGAGAAAAATTCTCTGTCGAATAACTTTCTGAGTGTACATTTAAAAAGCTCAATAAAAAGGAAATAATATTGCCTTGTTCAATCTCCGCCACTCGCTATACTTGTAAAATTAAAATAAGAATTGCTTTGTTTCAAAAATTGACTTGATCATTTATTACATTTAGATATCCATAAATGTAAATGAAGTTGACGATTAACATTGTTGTTTTTTCTTATTTTTATTCATTGGTAATTGATTTTGTTATTCGCTTAAGTCCAAATGTTTTAATAACATTAATAAGAGCTGTAATAACCATAAGAAAAAAGAAGCAAGCTGTTGTACATATAAATATAATAATAAAACATCGATGTTTATCTTTTCTTCTTTTTGATTGTAATATTTGATGTAAATCTAAACCACCTTTTTCTAGATTTATTTGTGTTTGATTTATTGATGTTTGAATTTCTTCAACATGTATTTGTTGATCATTCAATGTTGAATATAAATTATGATACAATTCTTCTATTTTATTTAAATTATATTGTAATTTAAGAATTTCATCACGTGCTTCATAGATTTCTGATGATGAGTATTGATCACTTAATTGAATTTGCATGGAAAAACAAATCAAAATAATAAGAACATAAAACATAACAAAAGTTAATATTGGATTAATAAGAATTTTGATACATTGGTACAGAGGAAAAGTATTATATTGAATTTATAATTTGTAGCGCGTTGAATTTATGATAATAAGTTATTTTTATATTAGAATATTGAATAATAGATTTTTAAAGTTTATTTTTCTTTTATAAGAAATATTGATGAGTTTACGTTTATTTTCTAAACAATTAAAAAAGATTGACGTGATTTTTTTATTTAATTTTTTTTTTAAATTTTTTGTTTGCTGCTTTTCTTCTCAAGTAAGTTGCATTCTGACTTCAAATTATACATCAGAAAATAAATGGTTTTATAGGTTGTAGGTAATCGAACAAGATTATATAGGAAACCAATATATTTTTAGACAAATTTAAAGTTCAAGTTTTTTTAATTATTGTTTGATAATGTCGCTTTAGATATATTAAGTTTATCATTGATGACACTATAAAATAGAAATATTGACCAGAAAATTTCTCTAAATGTCAAATTGCTTTTCGATCGAGGCGATTTTTATTTCATAAATGCTAGAAAGTAATAGAAAAATCGAGTATTATTCGGTTTTCTGAGTTTTCATTCTTGAGATGTCGAAATTTTATTCGGTTTTTCCAATAAAGAACTGTGGTCTCTTCAGTTTACGTAGAAACTCCACTTTTGAGCTTCAACTTCAAACTTTACATAAAGTAAGCTCTCAACAAGATTAGCTCATTGTCTAAGTTTTAGCTTTTCTAGTGTTTCATTCCAGGAGATGTAAATTCGTGAATACATTTGCTTTTAGATATGAGAAAATTTTGAAAATTGAATATCCCACGATAGGAAATGCTTAAAAATCTAAAATTTGTCCAAGGAACAAATCTTATTGAGAATTCGGTTCGTGTAAATTTACAATTCGAAAGTCGATATTTTACGTGATCTGAGAAAAACCACAGCTTTTTGTTGAAAAATCCAGTAAAATTTTGATACCTCAAGAACGAAAACTCAAAAATCCAAACCATTTTAGACTTTTCTATTATTCAATAGTACTCATCAAATGAACATCATTTCGGTCGAAAGAGCAATTTTACACAACAAGGTAGAGTTTCTTTTTGTAGACATGCATGTTAGTTTTGAGAAATAAATAGTTCCTATCGATATTGTGATTTCATTTTCAAATAAAAGAAAATTATTTACAATGTCTGTTTCATTACTGATTCAAAGTGGTTTCTTAATAGTTGAAGATTAGGATAATTTTCAAGTAATGGACATGATTCGATATTCAACAGTATACTGTTGTAAGGAAAGTGGTTTCGAGGATTGATTTATACTGCAATATATCCAACAGAGATTGTATACATAGACGACGAAGAATGATTTGGTGAAAGATTCTTTTTTAAGACTTGAAGCATTTTTCGTAAGACAAAAGTGCTAATGAATATTCGTTTATTTTTTTTAATATACCATACTGTTAGTACTGTAAGTAGAAGCTAAATCCAAAGCAATTGAAGAGAGAACTATCTGATTAATATTGAATGATTTTCTATCAAATTTAATTGTTTTCAAATATTCTCTTAGATTCAATTTAATCCGTCCAAACTAGTTATAAATAATTGTTTTTTCATGATCATTAGATGCCTAATCAAATAGTACTTGGAAGACTTAGTGTGCTTTATCACACAGAACAAGTTTTTATAACTTAAGTTACCTAGTTGGTACCATGCTTTCGTACATTGAAACGACTCTTCTCGCATGTATTCACTGAAATTATTGTAAAATTGTAAACATTAAGAAGAGAGTTTCCTTTGTATGATAACAGTTGACATTGAGAATGCTAGGCGGATCAATATTTATTAGAACGGGTACACATATTATATTGGGGTCATATTAATACTCTTCAACAAATACAGAAGAAACTGCTCTGTTGAAGTGCTTAGACAAGAAATTATCCAATAAAACTTCTCCACTGATTGTTTACTTTAACTATTTAATATCTAATTAGAACAACAATTGGCCATACTACACAATCAATAATTTGAAATAACAATGGCTAGAGTATTTTTCGAGGTAAAGTTGGGTAATATGTCTATGAAGATTATGCACGATGAAGCTCATTCTAATGACGATGTTAGCTTTGTTGGTACACGAAGTTCTATTGAATGCCATATAGAGAAAACTATGATATGTATACTATCTAATCAGTATATAATCTTGGTATTCTCATTCGAATGTAATGATTTTTTTTTTCTGTTTGATAACATTGTCAAGCAACAATTGTCCATAATACGCCATACAACCTATCATATGTTGTTAATAAAAATCGATTGCCAATAACATTGTTTTTCAGATTTCAATGCACATAATTGATTGATCAATGTGATCTAAATCTAATACTCATCGAGGTGAAAATAATCAAGACGGAATCATGATCAGAGAAGCGTATGCATTTTCTGTTCGCACGTTACAAGCAAACGACATGTCTGTAAAAAAACATCTTTAACTCTGGGTCATTGGTTTACACATTGTCCTTATCTTGTATTATTCTGACAAAAAGACATAGGCGAAATCAGCTTGAAGAATATTTTAAACAAAAAAAACACTAAATTGTTCAAGTGCACTAAAAATAATCATGAAGAGTTTTTTTTTCTTTTAAATATCGATAATAATATTGATACATAGATCGATATTAAACAATGTCTTATGAGTTCTATCGAACATACAGCAACTGAAATACTCCTATGCTAGTCTGCACCAATGAAATACATGCATTTTTCTTTGAGTTTTTTTTCATATCAATGATTGTATTAGCTGGTTTTTTTGCTATAAGCTCTTTGTAATATTCATTTCTTAGGTAAATAAAACGAATAATAATGAAACAGTAAGAAATAATAATAATAATAATAATAATAAAACAATGTTTACTTATTAATAAGAACGTAAATAACATCAAAATCTTATTGTTAAAGAATCTATAATTAATAAACAAAAGAGTTTCTGGAAAAGGCATTGCATATTTTTTTTCTCTTCCAACATTTAAAGAACTTCTTCATCAAATGACATTTAGTATGGTATAGATAAGGATGCAAAAACTAATCTTTATTATTTCATAGTGGGTTAAAATGATCTTTAAGTATATATATCAACAATAAGGAAAGACTACAACATGATAAAATCAAACACTATTAGCATCCATATACACGACTAATGTGTAAAAAAACGAATAATTCACTATTTCGTCTGTTAAAGAATACAAAACCTTCGCTGAAGATGTACATACAAAAATCAAAGAATCCTTTTTCGTGTTATTTCAAAAGAAATACTTGCATAGATATTTGTTCACTAAATTTTTGTTCTATATTGGTATATCGAATTCTGTTGATGAAATTCAGAACTGAGCAACTCAATTCAACTCAAAGAAATTTCTAAAGATTATTGTTGTAAGATAAAATTTACATAGTTTAAACCAATGAAGGATCAAATTATGTCTATGACTGATTCTGTATAATTTTTCTCCCGAGTTTCTATCTCGACATAACTGAATCATAATCATATTTTGTAAACATATATATTGTTTTCTGTTCTGCTCGCATCATCTTATCACTATTTTCTTTTGCTTTCTTTGTTGAGTGGATATAATTTATGTACTTATGCTCTCAATGTACCGAGGATATTTTTCTATTCTTTTCAAGTCATCAGCACAATAATTATTTGTTTTAATCTATTAGCATAAAATCATGGATATCTTTTGTTTCGATGAATTGATATAGTTATTTATTGTTTAATAAATACCTCTTATAAAATATTCATCTTTTGTTTAAGATTATTTTACTCAGCTATGACCTTCTCTTATAGTTTGCTATTATTTGTTGAATGAATACTACTTCAATTTATTTTATAGTAAATAATCTTCGTGAGATTGTCACGTGAAGAAAACGAAATTTTTCTCTTTTTATATGATGAAAGATAATAAAGTTTTTTTCATAATTCGTTCATTGAATGAAAGCAAGAATAAATGTATTGACTAAGATTTTCCAATGGGACTGAGTTAAGTTGCACCTTGTAGAATATTTGTATTAGACTCTATTATTTTATTTCTATGGTTGTTAGTAATGAGAATAATTATTAACATCCATGATGAAGATTCGATACTTTTGATTTGTGTGATTAAATTTTTTTGTATGAATTCCTAATTATGGTTAACTTTTTGGAAGATAAATTAGGATGAGACAATGCAATTGTTTTCTCAAACTCATTGCATTATTATTCTATACATATCGTTCGTATTTCTCTAATGGCATACACATACACCCACAAGCACACAATATATTCATAAAATCTTTTCATTTAGAAAAGGAAATAATCTAGTTAATCGGAAAATGATCTGAATGATAAGCACGAGATTGTTTTTGAAACTATATTCTCGCTTATTATTTACGCACCGTTGGTGTATGAGAATGTAAAATATATCGTTGTTTTTTTTTCGAAATGTTAAAATAACATACATAGACGAACTTCAGCGTTTTATTTGATATATAAATTTTTCTTGTTTGTATTAGTTATGTTATGCTAGACAAATAGATAGTAATATTTAAAATTCATTCATTAACAATAAAGAAATTTAATACATGTACCTATTCAATGTTGACTTGTTTCTTGTTTTCATTTATTGTTTTAGTCGAATATAAAATGAATATGATTTATAAATTTTAATTAATAATTTTGTATTTTTGGTTTTACACAACATATCCGATTTGCATTAATCAAATAAGAAAAGTCTTCATAGAAATGAATTATTTATTAATAATGAACATTCGATATGCCATTAGGCATATTTTTATAAGAATTTAAATAAGACTTTCGAAGTAATCGTGCCTAATTTTTCATATCTTCAAAAATATCTTAGTAAGTCTTTACATAGCAATGATAAATTGAACACTATTATTCCTACAGACCAGCTTATAAACTTACAATCTATTATGAAATATTTGTAAAAATATATCAATTCCTTAATTTGTCTTAACATAACCACGTCCGATAAAGCTTCGTATACAAACTCTTGTCATATAAATAAGATGAGAAACATAGCTAACAAGATCCACTCCAGAAAATATCTATAATATTCTGAGATCTATTTCTATTCCCATGTAACAAAGCAGACATTCTCTAAAGAGTACTCCATATAATTTAAAAAACATAATACAATCATATTTCATTATGGTGAATATTTTCAATTAATATATCATTTTAAGAGGAATAATTACATATATATTTATATATAATATATTTATACATATAAATAACATTGGCTCAATTAACAGAAATGACATTGCATCATTGAGTGAATGAGTGTGTGAGACGAAAAAAAATTGAGAGTGGAGACTCTACCACAGACAACACGGAAAGAAAACATTAGTGTAAAGTATTGATTTTCATACTGCTCATAATAAACAAATAACAATATTAATAGGAAGATTAGAATCAATATTGTTTTACACAAAAAAAGAACAAAAAAAGAAAACAACGAATTAATACACTTACAAAAAAAAAAACAAAACAAGAAACGATTTTTCTGATTTGTATAGGTATAAAAAGGGAGGTGCAGAAAAGCTAATAAAGAAATTAATAAAACATGCACATACTGAACTCACCTTACAAACGACAAGCAAGGCAGCAAAATATTTTTTGTTTTTTTTTGCACAATGAGCAGAAAAAAAAGGAAGCCAATGAGGAAAAAACATTTTCAGATCTTAAATTATATATCGTGAGAATTAAGTCAGATGAAAAAATTAAAAAAAATAATAATCGATGCAAATTGTTTATAAATTAACTTTTCAGCAATGTTTTAGCTCGTTTATTAGCTCCCTCAATACGACTTTGACTTATATCCGTCTGGAAGAAAATAAATAAATAAATAATTATGATTATAATTATTTTGTTTTTTTCTTCTTCTTACTTTTCCTTTAATACGTTCAATTTGATTATTTTGATTGGAAATTTCATTACCCATATCGCAAGCCATATTTCGTAGGTTACCAATCATTGTACTTACTTGTTGAAGATTTTCTTCCATTTCATCCTCACGTGCATCGTTCGTTATTCTTTAAAATATAACAGAAATTTTGAATTTTATATTTTTGTCTTATATGTTTGTTTTCTTTACCTTTGAATATAACCGGAACCGGGACCAACACCATTCTGTGTAACAATTTGTCTTGGACCTGATGCATTTACTTTTCCATCTTCATTATTTTTAAATGTTTTGCTATAAGCAGCACTTTTTTCAATATTTTTCGTTCTGAAAATATTAATCATGAAGAAAAAATAAAATAAAAATATAATTTTAATAAGATATATTTTTTAGACCTTTTCCATGGAAGTACACATAAACCACAACATTTTTCAAGACCTTCAAGATTTTTTTCTGCATCACGCATTTCAGCATTTATACGATCCATTCCGGAATCAATTGCATCAAGTTGTTCTAAATGAAAGTATTTATATTAATTTCTGATTTCTTGGTTGTTTTTTCTTTTGGACGCATTATATTCGAGAATTTTTTTGTGTTAAATTTTTCGATTATTTGAATAAAAGAAGTTTACAGTTCATCTATCAAATTTTCGTTTTCTTCTTATTTTAGAATATGAAATGATTGATTTAAAAGGATTTCCAATTCGACAGCAATACGATTAATTTTTTGCATGTTGACTTAAAGATTTATTATGTTTACTATCTGAATGATGTTATTAATCTAAAGTATATTTTAGTCCAAAAAAAAGAAGAACAGGTTCATAGTAGAATAATCAAGTTTGAGAAAATTATCGACTTGTTAATTCAAGGAAATAGAAGAACTTGTTGTCTTCTACTCGATATTAATTTATACAAAAAATAATATGAAGTATATTTCCAACTTATTGTGACAGTCTGTTCAATGTACTTAAGAAATAAGAAAAGCCCATTTCTCGGCTTTTTTTCTATTGTCCTTGAGTTGATAAACTTGTTATGTTATCGAAGAAGAGTTCATCGCTACATGTAGAAATCCATCTACGTTCATGAAAAAAATAAAATTCAAATTCAAGCTTAGTTTTTTGTCTTTTTCTTATTTTAATCAATTATATCCAAAAATAGAGAAGAAATCGATGAAATTTGATCTTTCGGAATCTTTAGTGGATTTAATGTCAAGGATATTGTAAAAGAAAAGGTTTTTAAGAAAATGAAACTCATCTCTACTAATAAACAAGAGCCTAGAACGTTCTTTTGGATTAATTTTCAAATGACTTGTATAAAGTTATTAAAAAAGATGATTTTCTTTCTTTTTTTGAATAAGTAAATTTCTACCTCCTTGTTCATCAAGCATAACCAATGTTCGTATTCCAGCTTCTTTGCTCTAAAAGATTGAAGAAAATATTCATTTAAATAATTAAAAAAGTTAATTTTCATATACGTACTTCTTCACAAAAACCGAGCATACGACGAGTAGATTCCAGTGACTAAAAGAAAAAGTATACGTAAGTATTATTTAAATGATTCAATAGAGTGCTTTGTTTTAAAATTTACAAATACATTTTTGTAATTAAAATTAAAAAAGAAATCAATTTATTAATGCCTTTTTTTTGTTGTTGTTCAAATGAAATACAAACATGAAATTTAGTTTGATAATTTTCAAAAACTTTAATCGATTATGATATTTAGTAAATTTCTTACATTATTAAATCCATTGGGAAATCATGTTTATTAATCATTTGTATTTAAACATAAAAAAGAATATCTTGAAAAATCTATTGAATAATTTAAATAAAGTTATAATTTTATATTATTCCATTCAATTGACCGTCTTTTTCTTTCATTATTAAAAGAAGTTTTATGTATAGCACCAAAAAAACTAATTATTCTATGTTTTCTAACACAAAAAATAGCTTTCCATCTCATAGGAATTCAAATTCGAATTGATCCAGTTTTGATCACTGTGTTCTATCTACGACACCAGCATATTCATGTCATTTTGAATAATCAAACTTGTCATAAATAAAAACCAAAGAAAAGAAACTATCAAAAGTCTTTGTTATAAATACAATAATTGGAAATATTCAATACAATTGAATTTATTCATATGTAAAATGAAGAAGTTTTATCGAACATGTAATAGTATCATTTATTTATCGATAAAATCTCGTTTTCTTTTCTAAATTGAAGAATGATAAAAACTAATTTAGAATTTTCTTCCTTGTCTTCTTCTTTTTTTTTCTACAACTCCTCCTCAACACTATTCATCAATCATCGTATTATATAGCGCATATATAGCTATATACGGACGAGATGCATCTTGCTAATCGAATCGATCTCGCATTCATGCACGCAAAAGTACTAAACAGAGGATTTGTGCCTCACAGAGTAGGAAAAAGAAAAATATTAAATTAAAATTATTCAAAAAATATCACTTGAAAATTGTTGCTTTACCTCATGAACACCCTGATCGATGGACAATAATATTTGTTCTTCTTCCGTAAGTATTCTTGGTGGTTCATTATTAGGTTGAGCGGTATTGTTCGGTTTTGATGTGAACGGTAAGACCATGTCTTATATTTAAAATATAGTCGAGGACGCGAAAAGAAGACCTTTTCAGATATCTTTTATTTATTATATTGTGTGTGATTTTCACATTTTCGAATATTAAAAACCATTGACAACGTAAATCGATAATGATGAATAATAATGTCTTTTTTTTTTATTAGTAGAAAATTTTTAGTCACTCACTGATTGCTACTTGTTGAACAGAAGAATAAAGAAAAAAAAGGAAATTTTTATCCAAGAGAAAGAGAGAGAGAGAGTGAGAAAGAATAGTTAACGCAAGACTTCGCTCGCTAACTTGCCGTTGTTTTCCTGTTGATTGATGCCGGAGCAGAAAGAGAAAAGCAATGAAAACTAAGACTATGTTTTTTTATGAACAATGTCGAAAAAGAGAAAGCGTAATAAGAAAAAAGAATAGAGAAAAGGAAGAGGAACAAGAGAAATAAAGTAACAAAAATAACAAAATCGACTTCGTTATTTCCAAAAATCGTCATTATGACAATAACAAGACATTTATATATAAAAAAGAAAATAACATGAAAAACTTGAAGATTAATAGTTTATGCCTGTTTCCTTTTTATTCTTCTCTTTTTTTCTCTCTGTCTCTCTTCATTTATATATATATATATGAATACTTAAAGTAAAACTTCATTTGATTATGCATAATACAAAATCTTTCGTTTGTAGTTTTTATTCAAACAATAAATATTGTTATAAAGTTAATCAAAAATGTTCAAAGACAAAGAAAAAGAATTTTTTATATCTTTTTCTTTGTTCTTGTCTGATTTCTTCGTTTCTTAATTCATCGAACTACGTAGTAGATTAAATGTAGGGAAGAACCCCAAGCGAGCAGGTTGATGCATCATTAAAAATACTACTATAGTTTCTTTCTATTTGGAGTGCGTGTGTAATTCTTGTCCTAACAACAGTAAGGTCTCAAAGGAAAAGGCAAGAGCTCGTGTACTGACTATTATCTTGATCGAATTTTAGTAACAATAGACAAGAAAAAAAATGATGACAAGTGTAAAAAATCATGCGCGCGCGCTCATATATAAAAACAAGTTGGAATAGAAGAATGCAAGTGATTGAGAAGGGTCAGCGTGTTTTCTCGATAATAATTAAGTAAATATAGTTCTGTGTCAATAAGAAAAAAAAAACAATAAAGAAATTTAAATTACACGTTTACAACCAAATAAAAAGACTAGTGATTGCAGTCGATAGTTTCTTTTCCTTTTTTTCCATTATTATCGCTACTCTTCTTATATTAACATCCAATCAGTTAGAAAAAAGTTGTAAGAAACAAACTACTTACTTCATTCGTTGTTTGGTTCATCTGCATCTGAATAGTTGATAATTCCGTGCGCATGCTTTCATCATTCATTTTGATAAGTTTTTAGTTTTCGATATTTTAATAAAAAAAAACACAGATATATTATATTAGGTCGGTGGCTTTTCACCGATAGTTCTATACTATCTGAAAATAAAAAAAGAAAGGAAAGAAGAACGAGTAACAAATATTGGTAACGATGACAGGTGAGGGACGATAGGCAACGCCATCCTTTTCATATATATTTGGTAGAAGCTCAGTTTTATTGATTAGAGAGAGAAAAATATAAATTAAACGAATAATGTAGCCAAAAGCAATACACAGAAGTATGGTAGAATACATAAGTACTAACATGGCATGGTGGTAAGATGGACGATGAGTGTTTGTTTTTGAGTTTGTTGACTAACGAGTTGTTCTTCACTATTGGTCTTTGTTTATAGCAAATGTTTCTATATTATTTAACCTGGATACTTTTTTTCACAGATGTTTAATGTAAGAAAATTATTAAAGCATTGTTTTGATGAAAAAATATTTATTATTAATTTAATTGACTTGTAAACATGACGATAGAGGACGCTACTTGATGTCAATATGCTCTTTAATTCTTTTATTACTAGGAGTCCACTGATAAAAATATGTATATATAAATACATATATAGCACATAACTGTCATTTCACAAATAATTAAAAAATCATTTAAGAAATCAAACAGATATAAAAAATAAGTTTTTGAATTGCACCAAATAAAGCTCTACCTTAGAGAATTATTTATTATTTATAAGAACATACACAGTTATTATTTTATATAAAAAAAGAGAATAATTTGAAAAACAATTCTAAATAAACCCATACTACAAATGACTGAGCAATGTCGAATGTATTCAGAGATGATCTGACTTAATGGTGTCAGAGGTATAGCAATTTCCTCAGCTCATCGATTCAAGAAAATTTTTTGGTCTTTCCTAGCAAAATTGAAAATTGTTCCTGCATTTTTTTTAGAAAAAAAAATTTCGACATTCTCTTCTCCCCGCCCTTTCTAATGTTAGCTGCTCTAGATCAGCCTTGATTATACTCCATAACCTATAGTGAAAGTGTTTCATTATATGTCTTATCATTTTATTGATCAAAAGAGATAGATGATGTCAGAATCATTATAAATCATAGCAAAGCTTTTTTTTTGATGCAATTGAGTCTTATTCACTAAAACATAATGAAAAGAAAATCGATGAATATTATTATTGTATTAGGAAAATTTGTTGTGCATGACTTTTTCAAGATTTCGATAAAAAAAAATGCATCGTTTTTCTTTGTTTTTCTATCAATCAAATAATTATTTATACGATTGAGTTGGCTAGATTTATTTATTCAATGACATATATTCTTCACATCAGCAAAGCATATATAAATAAAAGCCTAATCTTCAATTGAAGAACAGGTTTGTTAACTTTTCATTACCATAAAAACTACTATTTTCATATAGAAAAAACAAAATTATTTTATAAATAATTTATTCAAAGAAAGAAAAGAAAAACAGAAAGAGAGAATAAACATAATTAAATATCAACATGTTTTTCACATTGATTTCCAGTAAATTTGCTTCGGCATAAACATGCAATTTTATTTCCTCGTGCCACACATGTACCCCCATTAGTACATGGGTTCGGAAAACAAGGATGAACACCTAAAATAATTAAAACGAAACAAATTCTCTTTTTTTTATATTTCTTTTTTCTCTTATCTTACGAGTTTCACAAAAGACACCTGTATATATTTGATTACAATGACATTGAGCATAACCATCAAAACCCATATAACATGTACCGTAATTTCGACAAAGGGTGTCATTACATTTATGTAAATCATACTGACACATACGTCCAGTAAATCCAGGTAAACATTGACAACGATAATCATGCACAAGGTCAATACATGTACCATTATTCATACATGAATCCATTCGACAATCATCAATATCTTTAAATGAAGGGGAAAAGAAAGTCAAATGTTAATTAGTTTAATTATTATAGAAATAATAATCTTACTTATTTCACAATACTTTCCAGTAAAACCTTTTGCACATTGACATGTATATGATGCAATACCATCAATACATGTTGAACCATGTTGACATGAATGACTAGCACAATCATTCCATTCTAGAGATTAACAAAAAATAGATATGTTTGAATAATTTTCAATACAAGACTTACTTAAATCACATCGCTGTCCTTCATAATCGATTGGGCAAATACATTTAAATGATGTAACTGTATTAACACAAACACCACCATTGAAACATTGAGGTGATGAACAACTTTTTTCCACTAGTAGGTGTCACAAAATAAATTGTGGATATAAACTATTAAAAAACAAAACATTTTAATTCAAATACTTCTTTCACATCGATGACCCATAAAATTATCTGAGCATTGACAACGATAGGACTCTCCATCATCATGACATGTGCCATTATTAAGCTAAAATTTATAAAAATAATATAAAATAAAAATATATCATGTAAAAAGATTTCTTACACATGGATTGTATTTGGCACAATAACTGCTAACTAAAGAAAAAAATTTCAATGAGCAATGTGCGGAAGTATTTTTTGTTCTGTTGACCGAGACTAATTATGAGAAAAAAATTCTTTGAATCGGGAACTAAAAATTGTGCTTCAATTTTCTATAAATTTTAACGAATTATGTTATAAACGACAGCAGTCACAATAAAACGTATGTGAAATGATCAGAATAAACCGATGAACTTCATTGACTGAATCAGAATTGGTATCAACACAGATTTTAGATTTATTATGTCACAGAGGATGTGTAATGAAACTTTGTTGAAAGTTAACAACGTCAAATATCACTATCTAGAGATGAAATACTACGACAATTTGTTAGTCCAGTATTCATATTAGTTTCAGACTGATTTCATCATCTCTGAACTGAATTAATTCAAGAAGGATAAGTAGGAATCGGGACTAAAAAAACACATTTGGTCGTATATATCTCTACTTTTGATACAAAATGTTTCTATCTGATAAAATATTTCTAAACATCAATAAAGATTATAGGTGAAACAGAAACATGTTAAAATTGAAATTTTAATTATAATACATTTAAAATAGCAATGAAGTTGATTTATATCGCTACTCTATTCTATATAGAATTTTTCGCTCTTAGAATAATCAATTCTTGCTTAATGATGACGTTTTGTTAGAAATACAGGAAGATAAACTTATGTAACATCTGACTTCATTTTTCAAGGGATTCCTCAACATTAATTCTATTGCTACTATCAGTCCTTTCTCTCAAAATTATATTATTATCATGCCTCATTTTTAAATGTAACACGTACTGACATTTAACAATATCTTGATGTCCTTTTGTATTGATGGTTTTTTTTTCGTTCACTATCATACCTAAATACGTCCGAAACCTACTACACAAAATCAGAAAAATAAAACTTAAAAATATTACCGATCATTTTAATTCTTTCATCTTAAGATCAATTATATTTTCAAAAAATGCAAACTTCAGTTACAGAAAGTAAGGATATTATTGTATGTCAAAAACTTCTATAATACATATCTCACGTGCCTTGATCACATCGACGACCTGTCCATCCTGTACGACATTTACATTGAAAACCACCACGATCATTTGAAATACAACGACCATTTCGACATGGATTATGTGGTGCACATGGATCCAAACGAGCTAGAAAAATCACAATTAAAAAATATTTTTACAATAACAAAAAGAAAAACTTCTAACCTTCATCACAACTTTTTGCAGCAATAACACGATTTTGACATAAACATACATATTTATCATCAGGCATTGGAATACAAACCCCATCAAGTCCACATGGTTCTCCAGCACATGGTGACGATTCAGAATCTAAAATAATCTCATCGATCATAAATCAAAAACATTTTTTCTTTCATAAATATTTTTCTACCTTCTTCAGCATTATCAACTGCTGCTTCTTTCAATAATAGTGGAAGAAGTTCTTCTGGAACTAGACCAGTTACTAAATAATACATATAGATATATTACTATTAAATTCTTGAAGATAGCAACCAAATCATATTTCATACATGTTTCACAATTTATTCCCGTATAACCATATGGACATTCACATCCATATGAACCATAATTCATTATACATCGACCACCATTTTTACAACTACATCCAACTTGATAAGCTACCAAAAAATTAAATAACATAAATTCAAACAAATCATCAAATAATTCTTTTCATATACATACATCTTGTACAATCATCTTGCCATGGTGCACAAATACAAGTAAAACCTTCTTTTGTATCAAGACATATTGTTCCATCGTGACAAGGATTTTTCGAACAATCTTCAAATCCTAAGTAAATGAAACAAAATTTCTCCATAAAACAAAATTTATATTTGTTTCTATTCAACCTCGTATTGAATCTAGATCACCTCCATTACACATATCTGATGAACACATACACCAATAAGTTTGCATATATGTTATACATCCATCAGCAAGTAATTCTCGTGCCCATTGTTGAGTTGTACATTGTCGTTCATTGACTAAATTTTCAATAGAAGAAATTTTATTTAATAATTATGAAAATATAAAAGACAAACTAGTTGCATTAGCGTGTTTTGCTTTAATATAACAACGTTGTGTCCAATGACAAGGTGAAACACATCCATCATTTGCATCTTTACATGCATAACAACGTTTATCTTCATCAGAAACATATAATTCTAAAAATTTTATATTTAAATATTTCTTTGTATTTTTTGAATTATTTCTTTTTATACCAGATGGATGATTTGTTTTTTTCTTTATCATTGGTGTTGATGTTATAATATGAATAAAGAAAATAATTGTAAAAAATTGGAAGATCTCGCAAAAAGAAAAATAATAAAACATATTCAAGAATATTACGGAGAAGCGAACAACCTTACCATCATTTATACATTGAGATTTTATCTTTCGTTATATCCTTGTTTTACGAACCTGATTATGCGTTTATGTGAGTGTGATTATATTTGTGTATAACCAAACGTCTTCATTGAACAAACAAAAACGTAGGTACCTATTGTATTATATGACATTTTCACTAAACGCTCTCTTATTCGTATACAACACCTAGATTAGAACACGATGAGATTAAATAACACCATTATTCATTTTTCTATCGTATTGTTGTACAAGAAGTGAGAATGAGACAACATACTACAAGTACTCATGCAGCCAGACAGTTGAAGCCTCTCAATCTCATTATTACTCAACACTTTTTTTAGCAGAAGAAAAATGAAATAAAATGATTGAATACATCAAAGCTTTTTTTATTTACATTTAAAAAAATCAAAACAAAAATTTATGCTTTACATCAGTTTTTCTTTTGCGTTTCAACTACTATCAATAAGTTCTAATGACAAGATAACTAATATAGATTTTGGAAAAAAAATTATTAAGTTTTCTTTGATTGATATTTGCCGCCTTTCCCAATCTGCAAGATGGAAAAAAATGATATATCTAACTCGTCTGCTATTTGTACTGTCGTTTTTTTCTTCTGTATGCTATCTTGAGAACGAACGAACACTCAGTTATATTTATGATCTATAGTCTCATCATCTAAACGGATTGGTTACTGATATATTTATATGATGGAAAATATATATATCACTTATATACGATATAGCAAAAGAAGAAAAAAAGCCAATCATGAAACGATGCGAAATTAGTATTGTAGAATGAGAGAGAATAACTTCTATACAATGGACAGAATAAATGATCATTTGAATGATGATCAAAGTTACTGGATACATATATATGTAAGAATGATTATGGTGAGAATATTGAGTGTCAGTTACACAAGTTCTTTTTTTGATTTAGTGTAACAATCATATTCAAAAACAAAAATTATTATTTTAATTAAGAAATAATTTTTGAAGTAGAATTTACTTGTGAAAGAAAATCTTCAGAACTGACTCTCACTCCATTATTTATCTTTCAATGTCAGTTAGTCTTTCATAATATCTTAATAATATTTTTCTTCATATCCTTTTAAATATTAATTATTGAAAGATTTCGTATAAATATGTATCACTAAAATAATCTAAAAACTCTGTAGAACTAAATCTATTACATTTATTTCTTAAAAAAAAAAAAAATTTCCTGTTTTCTTTCAGCAAATAATTTCTTATTTAGTCTAATAAAATAAATGGATTTACCATATCATAATTCATATCACTATAATCATGAATGGTCAATACCTTCAACATCTGATCATTGTTCATTATATTCATCACAAAATCATTCAACAAGTTGTTATAATATAAATTCTTGTCCTCCTCATACTCCTTCTTCATCATCTTCATATTATGATTATTATACTCCATCAAATTGTTGTCCATCAACATCTAATACTTATTCAACTCATTACAATACTTATTCATCATTTAATCAACATAATACAAATCAAATAGGTCCTTCAGCTCAAACAAATAGTATTTCAATTGCATCTGAGTAAGACAAAAAAATACAAAAATTTTCAAATTTTTTTTTCTTTTGTTGTACCTTTTTATTTTTTATTGAATATTAATTAAGACTAACAAAAACTAATAATGAAACAATATCTGCTAGTATTATTTATCCTTGGATGAAAAAATTACATGTTAAAAATCTAGTACAAAGTACTGATGGTACAGAAACATATAAACGTATTCGTACAGCATATACACGTAGTCAAATTCTTGAACTTGAAAAAGAATTTCATTTTAAAAAATATTTAAATCGTCGACGACGTATTGAAATAGCACGAACATTGATGTTAACGGAACGACAAGTTAAAGTAAATATTATATATTCCAAATTTGCTTTTATTTTAGTTTTAATTTTGTTTTTTTTTTTTGTGTATAAAGATTTGGTTTCAAAATCGACGTATGAAATGGAAGAAAGATCATAATTTACCAAATACAAAATCAAAATTAATTGAAACAACAATAAAACAAGAACTTAATGATTAAAAAATGCTCCTCTTTTTTTTTCTTTTCATTTATATTTGATTTTCTTTTTTTTCTTCTTTTTTTGTCTATCTATGATCTGGATTGTTCATTAAATATGTACACGTTTTAAACATATGTAAACAACACGCACAATGTTACTTGTTCTGTTCGATCATTTGTCGTATAAAAAAAAAACAAGGAAACAGATATCATTGACACAGAAGCGGAAAAACGAGAAGGCGAGAGAGAAAACGAACGCGACGTGATCTCAATTGATAAATTGATACACATCTGCTATGATCACAGTTCAAATTGAGAAGAGAACGAGATCAGTGTTTTGATTAATGAGGTTTTATTCGACCTTTTCAGATTAAAAAACAAAAAAAAAAACAACAAACGAGTGTCGATACTTTTTGATCAATAAAAAATGATAATTTATCATTAAATATCATTTGAGATGATTTTTTTATTTGTTACAATAAAGGCAATCATATATATATGTAGATAATGATTAAGTGAAAATGATTGTCCATTAGTGTATTATTTGTAATAGACGTTTTCATATGTCAATAATCATCGTTGGCTAAATAGACACGAAAAATTTCAAGTGTTCCGTTCAAATTATTCTTCTGAATACTCTAGAGAAAGTACTAAGTTCAAAGCACCGATATACTAGACATGTACCAGCAAAGTACTTGATGTGAGTACTTTGAAAATTGTCACTAGTTATTCGAATCTAGCTAATCGCTTAGGTACTCCTATCAGTATGTGTGCTAGACGAGTACTTGTATGGATATATACACAGAGAAATTTATTGAGGAAAATCCAGTACAATACTCTATTTTTCTACTTTCTTGCATGATACACTGTATGAAAGAAAACACATTGATGTAATCTAGAAAAAAATTGAATTGTGGGAATTCGAAGCCACCTAGGCGAATTCATATTAGTTTCGTAGTACCCTCCTTTGTTTTTGCTATTGTAAATGACAATCAAGCAAACCGAAGTAATAGATCGTACATAATGGTAGTTGATATTTTCTTTTAAAGAAGACAATTGCCATGTATCAACAAAGAAATAAGTAACTGTTAAGTTTATTGATTTGTTTTTTTGCAGTAAGAAACAATAGACTTTTAAGAATTTGTAAATGTAAATTAACATACCTGTATCTTATAAGAAAGTAAAGTAATTGATTATTTTTTCCTTGACAATAATATTTATTGTTAATTACTATTGTTTGAACCGAAACTAAATAGCGAAATGGAAGAGAGAACTGCTAGAGATATAGCATTGATATGTTCCTCCATTCAATCTTTTATTGTCTTTATCCATAGTAGTCTTGGTCAACTGTGCCCATCGAATTCTATTCTGTATCGTAAAAATTCTTTTTCTAGACAGATTTCATGATTGATTAATGATCGATCATCTTCATACACTTTATTTTGAACCAATAGTATAGCTTCAGAACAATCAAACAATACTACTCTAATGCTTCATAATTAAGTGAAGATAATCTAATCATACTGATCTCGATGAATTATTTCGTGTAAATGATGTTAACTATCAATGTAGAATTTACACCGATAATTAATTATTATACGCAATGCCTGTGAAATAATTATAAAATTGTAATTATTTTTTTTCTGTTAAGCACTTATTTTTAATTTTTGGTTTCTTGTTCATCGTTAGATTTTTCTATTCTCAGAGATATGTTAAATCTATTTCCATTTGATATGATCTGCTACTTCAAAATCACAATTACAGCGTTTCTACTGGATTTTTAATTGGTTCTTTGAACTAACCTCTCGCTACCCCTCCAGAAAAAGTAAAGTATTAGAAGTAAAATTCAATTTCGAACATGCGGAAAATTTTCCAATTAGATACCTAGAATTAGTGTGCACTAGTACCCGACTGAGCATTTGAGCAGTATCGTCAAATATTTGTTTACTAGACATACCTTTGCAGTAGGGCACCTACAGAAAGTAACAATCAAGTAGAAATGGGTAAGTCGAAATTGAAGTAAATTTTCTTTTATTGAAGATAAACTATCGAAAGATTTGTTTCCGTGGTCTATATGAAATTTTAACCATCGTTTGCTAAATTTTCAGGAGACAAGTTTTTGAGAAATAAGATGATTAATAAAGATTAAGAAGAAAGATATTCAAAGGATTCTATAATCTTTTATTTTATTTCAACTCAAAATCACTAATGAAAATATTTGTTTTTTCATCATTTCTATCATGCCACTGCATTTCAAATTGAAAACCAAAACTGAAGTGAATAAAAAATCTATACAAGATTTATTTCAATGTTTTGTCGTAAGGAAAACTCGCATATAAAAACCAAATAGTGATTTGGATGGAGATGTTTGATTCTTTTGTTTATAAAAGGGACTTTTATTTTCGGGTTCTGACTACTGAAAAACTAGGATTTATATTTTGGGAATACTCTGAGGATTTTATTTCTTTTACATCTTTGCTCAAGAAATAATTCTTCTATTCAAATCATTATTTGGATTCTTTATGGCAGTTACCATTACGAATAAACATCAAAATAAAATCTGTATAGTCAATTTTTGGAGCTAATGTACCTATATTTATATACATCTTTATACTTGACTTAACTTTTCCATTTTTGTTTTCAACACAAACATTCATATATATCATTTTGGAAAATGATTTTTAACGTTAATAAAGAACTATAAACCTTCATAGGGTATTAATGAACAATCAATCTATTCTTGTGAGACTAAATGATTGACATGATAAGTTTGTGTTTTTTTGATTGATTCTGCATACTATTATAGTATAATTATTATATAGTTCAAAAAGTATCCTTTTGCATTTTGTTTCTTTTCAAAAGTGAACTATAAACTCCTCGTTATTAATAAAAGAGATCCAATTATATGATGTATGTATGTATATATATGTTGTGGCCGAAGTTAAAATTCAGCCCAATTCAGAATTCGCCAAGTCGAAATTAGAATTCTAATTTCGTCTAGACGAAATTGAAATCTTTTTTGAATGATTCGAAAAACTTAAAGAAATACCAACAACTACAGCACAAGGTAGTCACGAATGATGGTGATCGGGAGGGGGAGATCTGGGCAACGGTGAGGAGGGATCTGAGTGAAGGGAACGATGTGAGGATGAATGGAAGGCGAAAACCGTATAGAACCGTAATCTGACTCATATATTCACCCGCATAAACTCACTCTCACCCAGACCTCTCCCGCCGTTATCCAGACCTCCCCATCTCACTCACTATCATTCGTGACTCCCTTGTGTTGTAATTTTTGGTATTTCTTTAAGTTTTGCGAATCATTCAAAAAAAATTCCAATTTCGTCTAAACGAATTCTGAATTGGGCTGAATTCTAACTTCGGCCATAACATATATATATATATTCATTCTTCTATCTCTTTGAAAAGTTGAATTCCGGTTTATTCTATATAGACAATCGAAATTTTTATCAATAAGCCTACTCTCAATATATATATAATATAAAATAAAAGTAAGCTCTTCTTGTTCATCATAAAATTCACTTTGAGATTAATAAAATATTGTAAAACTCATCAGATATGAAAAACTTAATTTCCGGAACACTTGTGAAACTGCTGATTATACTATGGGTTGTTTTTTCTATGATCATTAAGAATGTTTCAAAACATGGTCTGATCAATACGAGAAATAACTTATGATTGTTGAGAATTTCTTTTCATATTCAATAGGAAATATTTCGAACTATTCATCTTTACTGATGAATAATAACATTTTTTATTTGTCTACTTAACAGACAAATAGATTCAATTATTTAGATAAGATTTTTTTTGAGTTAAAAGTTATCAAGAATAAAACTGTATTTAATTAATGAATTTCAAAAAATATGACAAATTTTAACAATTTTTTTTATTAAATATTCTCACTAGGTTTTCACAAGAAAAAAAAATAAACAAATTCAATCTATAAGATTGATTTACATATGTATCACCTTTCACGTTTAATTCGTCCAATTATCAAAATATAAACAAAATAGAATAACAAAAACTACAAAAAAGGACTAGAAAAACAACGATTAACATTTCAAATCACTATCTATATCATTATTTATTAATAATTAACAAAAGCTATATTTTCTTCTATAAATGAACAAAGTATAGCTTCAGTTATTGGGCGGTTTATAGCTGTAGTTACACCTAAAAAAAATAAATAAACATAATTATTAATTAAAAGAATTGGTAAATTTACCATCGGCTGTTGCTAAATAAATGAAAAGAAAAAAGAATTACAACAATTATAATGAAAAATAATTTTCTATAAATAAAACATACCTAGTGCAGTAGGATATGATTTATCGGCACGATGTCGATAAAAATACCATTCACCATTATGATATGAACATTCAATAATTTGATTATCATATTGATCTAATTCTGGTGAATAACGCATGAATGCGTATGGCTTTGACTTGCCATTTACAAATAGAAGAGCACTTTTTTCTTGAGATCGTCTAAAAAATAGGAAATTACTTTTCTAAATGAGGTAATTATAATTGTTTTTTTCTTTTGTTTCTTATAAAATAATTTGATTGAGTTTCAGCTATGCTCTAATATGAAATTAATTTTCTATTCATTTTTGTTTTCTGGAATGATGTTTTCCATTACTAGTAATAGTATTCGCTTTGAATCGATTAATCGGAGAGAAAATATAAATCCTTTCATGCATTCAGATCATCATCATTATTTTCTACAATTTGGTTTAATAAAAAAGGATTAGGTTGAAAAAATTTCCTGATATTCGCCTGAAATGCTAGAAATTTTGAGCATTTTTCTAAGGAAGATCTCAAAAGTGATTTCAAGGTTTCGAGCTCATATTTTGTCTATTAATAGAATAATTATATATTGAGATTTGCATGCTTCAAAATATTCAAAACTCAGCAAAGAAAGTCGAATCTTTTGAAGGTTGTATTAATCGAATGGTACTCTATAAGTGAGCAAAATATAGACCTTCAACAGTTCCATGATAGTTTTGATCTTGACAACTGTTCTAACAGTTTTTTGGAACAGTTCACAGAGACTTTCACACGTGTCCTATATACATCTAGAAAACCCACGGAAGAAAATGCGTACTTCTGTACTTCTTCATACTTCTCCAAATCAGTGTTTTATCTAGCATAGAAATCGGGACAATGATAACTCTCCATAGATCGAGTTTGTCTTATCACAAGTAGATGTTCATCCTTTCAAAGTTTGAATCGTTCCATCAAAAGAAAAAATCTGAATCAAATACTGCTCCAAACTTCTTCATATATCTACGTACTCCTTTAATTATTTTTTAATTATCTTTTGTAAAATAACTATAATAATCTTACAGAAAATACTTCATTTTCTTGTGCATTCGTTAATTTTTCATAGTACTCCTTGGCATTTCTGTTTACTACGGAAGTACAAAAGTAGGTTTTTTTTCATTTGTGCATAACCCTACTTGAAACATTATTTCTATATGTAATGTCAAACTATGATTTGCAATCATTTTATCACTAATAATATAGTTTCTATCGTTTATTTCAATATTTCACTTCTGCAATGATCAACAAATGTTTACATACCTTCCTCTATGAATTCTCAATCGAAAATCAATTGTATTATCTTTTTTCCATTTTAATACATGTGTAGATCGTCCAGATTGATAAGGCTATAAAATATTCAACTCATATGTAATTTTCAAAAACAATGAGAATGTTAACTTACATTTTGTACAGATTGAAATACAAGTCCATCACATCCATGAGTAATTTGTGATTGAAATGCTGGACTGAGTAACTAAAATAAAAATATTGTATATAAATATTATTCTAATATTAGCTACTTGATTATTTTGAATTTGAATAAATTTATTTATATTTTCTTACTTTAGATACTGTTGATAATTCCCAAAATTCTTTATTTCTTATTGAAAATGGTTCTAAATTTTTTTGAATAAAACCTTTTACTATAGCTTCATTTCTGACATTGACAATAGAATGACGTATAATATCAAGACGTTCTTTAAATGATCGTTGACTAACATTTTCATTCTAAAGACAACCAAGTTACTTTTAATAAAATTCATTTAATTCTATCTAACATACGTCATATACTACAATATCATAAACTAAATATCGATATCGTTTAATTCCATTATCATTATCAATAACAAATTCCTAATAATAAAAGAAAAAATATAAAAAATAAATTTATTCATTGTAAAAAATTTAAGAAAACATACACCATCAACCAATGTATTTATTAAATGTCTTGTACAATTTGAATCTTTTGGAAATTGTAGACAATTAATTTGAAATACATCGTTATTACGATCTAACATATAAATATTATTTTCACTTTCAATTAACATCATATATCTATAATTTAAAATAGAAAATATTAAAAAAAAAAGTTGTTAGTACAATATCCTTCCGGTATTAAAATATGAAACACGATGTAAATGCTGTTACGAATTATGAAGAGATTGGTTTATTCAATTTATTTTGTGATACATTTCTTCTCCATCCTTTTTGCCTAATCTTTCAAAAAGTGCAATAAAAGAAGGGGAAGATGAGAGGTTTCTAAGGCATCTGTCATGCCTGCGATGAGCTGCTTTCGACATGCCTTTAACTTTCTGTCATAGTTTATGGGGAGGGAGATGTGCGAATTTCTACCTAATATATTTCGAAATTCCATTTAGATCGTGTTTCATAAAAACAAAGCTATATATGTTGTTTTTATTTTACCTGGTGCCATCTGCCTTCCAGCTAACCATATAAGGAGATAAAAATATAGTTTGATAGTTTGTATAATCCATTGATATAGGTTGTGAACCTGGAAAACTTTTTCTAAAAGAAAATAAATAAAAAGTGAAATGAAAAATGTTTATTTTTCCAAAAGTTACCGATCCCATGCACACATTTGTTGGCACTTTAACCGAATATTATCAACAATAGATTGAGAACAAACAGGTTTAACATTAATAAGATCAACAGCAAATACATGATTAGAATTCTAAAATAATCTCATTAATAAAACATATTTTCTTAAAAAATAAATCTTACTTCTTGTCGAAATTCTTTATGAGGTTTTTGATCATCTATTTCATTGTATTTACGTTTATTTTCATTTAATGTAACAATTTTATTTTCTGAAAATAATTTATAATAAAATTGAAAAAGAAATATTCATATGATTGATTTTCTTTACCTAAACACCATGTAGGCCGTAATGGTGCAAGAATTGATATAAAATTCTTCATCGGAAATTTTTCAATAAGTTTATCTAAATAATCTTGTTTATAAATTCCTGGCGATCGAGCTTTAGCAAACAGATCGATAGCATCATTGATACTTGAAAAAATGAAAAATCAATTTCATTTTTATAGAAATAAACTATATCTTAATATCCTCGTGCCTCATATCAAATTGTTGACATAGATATGCACAAATAAGAAAACCCGTTCGATTAAAACCATGTGTACAATGAACACCTATGAGAACAATTTAAATAAAGTATATATATAAGATTAATCATACCAATGATATCATTTGGATTCGTTTTTATAAAATCATAACAAATGCGAATAAAAGAATGTATTTGTTCGTCATTTGGTGCTTCTTTATGTCTTAAAAAAAACATAATTACAGATTTTTAAAAAATTTAGAGTTTATTTTTGATGTGTAAATTAGATTAAATTCAAATTTTAGATTACTATCTCAATCCGATGGATTCTAATGTTCATTTATTCCTTTTCTGTCCTTTGGTCCTTTCGAGAAAGAGTTTAAGCCCATTCAGTGGTTTTGATCTTCCGTCGCACGTTGGAATTCAGTCTATTCAAGCTAGAGATATCTATCGCAGCAGTGTCGTCATTGCAAAGACGTCAGTAGAAAATTCCCAGTCGCGATGGGCATCGCTGATTCAACTCTTAAACGCTCGTGAGAGAGTTTCTCAATCTATCTGTACCAACTGATTCGTGAACGACCGACTAGCTTTTGTCCTACAGACATGACTTCACATATTTCGTACGGAAATTTTTCATGTATATTCTCAAGACATATCCTAACCATCGCCTTCGTTATCATTCAACTCGCAGAGATTTTCTTGCATTTGAAGTATAAGTTTAGTTTTAGAGTGTCTGGTCAGTTGTTTGCTGCAAGGGATTTTAATGTTTATCTGATTACTATAAAACTTTTGAAAGATTTTTTGTGCATGATTCAAACTAATATGATTTATTTTCAATCTATTAGAAAAATATAATTAATATTTCGTCGGGGTTTATTTGTTTTGATTAGTTAAATAGAAATTCTCATTTAAAATAATTCATATTCTATATTTTTTTTTTTCGTAATAACATATTTATAGAAGAAAATTCTTACCCTTGACATGGAATTTTTGCATAGCGTATATTTTTCTGAATAAATTCAATATCACTTCTATAATATCGGTTTGTATTTGTTAAATCAATAACAAGACCAAGGTTTTTCTATACACATACATATAAATATATATTACATTTCAACAAAAATTAAAATTATACTTGTTCATCTTTAACATGTTTAATTAAAATATTACATGTCCATCGTTTTGCAATAGAAATTTGAGTTTTATATTGATCATCTAATGGTGTTTTAAACGCAATAAATTTTCCTATGTAAAAAAAAAAAGTAAAAATTATTACTAATAAACTAAATTAATAATATTTACCAGCAATAATATTTGATTTTCTTGGGCAATCAAGCCAGTTTGATGGTATTTCTGATGGATTATATGTTTGTACGCTTGATGAAAAAGTATTTGTATTAGACATCTAGAATAAAACAAGAAAAACTTGTAAGAATGACGAAAAAAAAAACAGATTTTTGACGATGTGTCGCAATATATATATGCTTTGATGTACTAGGTTTTTTCCTAGCTTTAGTTGAAAATTGCGTAAGATGTGTGGGAATAAGATGTTTGTATGCATTGGTTAATAGTTTTCATAGCTCTCAAACCTTTGCCTCTAAATTGATTTGAAAGAAAACCAAAAAATCAATTTTCTTTTAATATATTCAATAATAGAGTGATAATTTCTATTCATAGAAATCCTATTGCGATTATTTGTAATATTGTTCTTATAGATTATCTTCATGTAATATCAGATACATAAGTATACAAGGTATTTTGACTGTTCTTCGTGTTTAGTTTCTTTTTCTTGCGTTTCTTTACATTATTGATCGTCTTGTTTCTTTTATCGTTCTTCTTTATAAAATACTTAATCGATATTTGCGTTCGTCTCGTACTATGGCCTCACTTGTATTTGACGTTTTTTTTGTGCGGTATTCTTGTTCGACAAGTCTGCTTGTTTCACTCTTAAATCAAACGCCATTTAAAAAATGTCATCGTCCAAAAATGCCGATCGTCAAAGTAATAAACGTATTTTTCTTAAATAGAAAGTTTGTTTGAAAAGAAAATTATTTCATTTTAGATTCGACTTCTACACCTCAAAAACGTATTAAAGTAGATAATCCAATTGTTGAATTGGATGGGGATGAAATGACTCGTATCATCTGGGCATGGATTAAAGAAATGGTTGATTGTTTTTTTTTTTTTAATTTTTCAACAAAACAAAAATGAAGAGTTTCCTTATAGTTAGTCTTTCCTTATGTTGATGTCGAATGCAAATATTATGATTTGGGTCTTGAAAATCGTGATGCAACTGACGATCAAGTGACGATTGAAGCTGCACATGCTATTCAACGATACAATGTTGGTATTAAATGTGCTACAATTACACCTGATGAACAACGTGTAAAAGGTAGAAAAAGCAATGAAATATATTTTTCGAAACAATTTCTTAAATAAATCATGGTGTTTTAGAATTTTCACTTAAAAAAATGTGGCTTTCACCAAATGGAACTATTCGTAATATTCTTGTAAGTCATATGTTGAAAATAGAACGAAGGAAGAAAGCAAGAGTACTCTTCGCAATTTAGGGTGGTACAGTTTTTCGTGAACCAATTGTATGTAAATCAATACCATTATTAGTTCCTGGTTGGAAACAACCAATTATAATTGGTCGTCATGCATTTGGTGATCAATATCGATGTCAAGATATGGTTATTAAAAATCCTGGACGTATTACACTTAAATATACACCAGCAGATGGTTCACCTGCAACAGAAGTTGAAGTATATAATTTTACAAATACCGGTGGTGTTACATTAGCTATGTATAATACTGATGAATCAATAACAGGATTTGCTCATTCATGTTTTCAATATGCACTTCAAAAAGTATGAAAAAATAAATGATTCATTTTTATAATGAATTATTATTATTATAATTACTTCTTCTTTGTAGAATTATCCATTGTATATGTCAACAAAAAATACAATCCTTAAACGATATGATGGTCGTTTTAAAGATATATTTGAAGAAATTTATCAAAAACAATATAAACAAGAATTTGAACAAAAGAATATTTGGTATGAACATCGATTGATTGACGGTATATTGCTATTTAATGGATAATCAGATGATAAACTCTGACTTGTTTTTTTCTATATAGATATGGTTGCTCAAGCACTTAAAAGTAATGGTGGTTTTGTTTGGGCATGTAAAAATTATGATGGTGATGTACAATCGGATATTGTTGCACAAGGTATTTAAGAAAATAAATTTTTCATTATTATTACTGGTTTGTGCTAGGTTATGGTAGTCTTGGCCTTATGTCTTCCGTACTTGTCTGTCCTGATGGTAAAACAATTGAATCTGAAGCTGCTCATGGTACTGTAACACGACATTATCGTGAACATCAAAAGGTTAAAAGAAGAATGAACAATTAAAAAAAAATTTCTTGACAATTTTTGTTTTTATTTTCTAGGGAAAAGCAACAAGTACAAATCCGATAGCAAGTATATTTGCATGGACACGCGGTCTTGAACATCGTGGTAAACTTGATGGCAATGAAGAACTTCAACGGTATAGGTTTTTCTTTTTGTTTAAATAAATTTTATAATTGCTTTTGAATCTTCTTTTCTTTTTCTTTTTATCTAGTTGGTGTCGTTTACTTGAAGAATCTTGCATAGAAACAGTTGATTCACAAAAAATGACAAAAGATCTTGCTATTTGTATTCATGGTCTTAATAAGTATGATTTAGAAAAAAAATATCGAATTGACTCTAATCAATCAGACTAATTGTAAATGCAATAGTTTCAATCGCTTACTATTTATATAAAATATTCACTTATATATCTTAAAATATAGAGAATTTCAAGCTCTACAAAACTGTGCACTTCAATATTACAAAGAATCGTTTTTCTAATTTCGAAGCATCCTACATACAGAGTTATGCTGTATTATCGCTACAGTAGAACGAAAAACAAACATCGGACATCACTACTGAGACTTTTACTAGGTTTCGAAATAACACGAAAATATTCTCGATCAAGTCATATATTATTCAAAACTTTCAACCATAGCTTCATCTAAAAACTCAGGACACAATCAATGAGAAAAAAAAACAAATTTTACATCCATTTTTGAATTTGCTCGTTTTCTTGTGAATTGTGGCGAAAACATGTCATACTGTTTGTTCATTATCCACGTATTCTTGTAGAAAACGAAATTATATTAGCGTCCTATTAAGGATTTTCCAAGTGAAATTTAGCTCAAAAAAGTTTTATTTTTGTAAAGTACGAGCAATGATACGTCATAATAGGAATGTGCACGACATATAAACGTTTAGATTACCGAGTAAAGACAAAATGTTCCTGTTAATAAGTGAACTTCTTAGTTTCGTAGAGCTTGATATTCTCAATCTTTTCTCATATACATGAATATAAATGAAAAGAAAATTGCATTTACATTTAGTTCGTTTCACTATAACCTATCGGTTATCTTTTTTTTCATTTTATATTATATTCTTTTTTCTTTTTTTAGTACTAAAGAAGGCATGTATTTAAATACAAGAGATTTTATAACTGAAGTAAAAAAGACACTTGATAGAAAACTTGGTGATATCAATTCGAAAGCAAAGTGATCGAGTTGTTTTTAAAATAATTCTTAATTGATATGGAATTGTACTATAACTTTTTAGAAAAAATAGTTAAGCCGATTAAACAGTTTTTATGTCAATCAATATTTTAACGGTGTTCTATTTATAATGTTAAGAGTGATTTTTTTAAATTTGTTTTTGCTTGTAATCTGTTTATTGTATTTTGTTTTCTTGAAGTTATTCTTTTTTTTTGTTTGATTAAGTTAAACTAAGGAGGTTGATCTAATATTTATTTGTAACGGGATTTAAACAATAAAAAAACGACGACACCTAATGTAATTAATACATCTGATATTACATTTAAATTCAATTTTAATGAGTTTAGAGTAAGTCAAAATGGATGGTTTTCTTCTTCGATTAAATAATAATATTGAAGATTGGATGGGTTCAGTATATATACTCACAAAGACAAACATGGATGGTACAGGATCAAGTTTCTTGGTGAAGTTATAAAGTTTTGAATAGCCCAGGTGGAAAAATGTTACGAAGATCGTATAAGATCTTATTGAGAATCGAATGTCGTAAAACTTATACTGTACCATCTTACAAATATTGTACCATGAGATTTCATATTATCTGATCCCAGAAAAAAAAATCAGATGAAATCTTACACTATATCCAATAATAAAATTCTTGAAAGATCTTACAATGGGATTGTTTGACCTGGAATGTATATATTCTCTCTCTCTGCTCAATAGACACTTAGGCAGCGAAATCGTTGTTGCTTGAATTTAATTTTCCTCGAAGGTATGATATATATAGAAAATTGAGTATTGCATCAATGACCAGGGCAGTGCGGGCTTCAAATTGGTGTACAAATTTGTAATGAAAAAAAAAAATATTTAAGAAAAACTCGGTTTTTTTTGCAATTACCTGCCATTTACTGAGTATTGTGTTCTCCTACTTTGATGTTCATGTAAAAATTTATCTGAAATTTGAATAATTATTCTTTTTCTTCAAAACTCACAGATGGTAACAATCAACTGGCAAGATAGAGGTGCTGTTCTTCAAATGGCTTAACTAACGAGTACGATAGAATTAATTAGCTTCTCAGTATATTGGCGATCTCTTTATCAATTTTAATAATTACGAACCAAATTTCGCCTTAAAAGACTTAGCATTCGGTTCTCTACAAAACCTTAGATAACTATGTAAAACAGAAGTAAAAACAAAAAATTAACTATTACCTAAGCAATTTGAATATGTGTTATGAACAGCTTTCATACACAAATATACAAACGAACTTGCCGTTTATTCGTACTAATTTCAAAAATGATGTTTTTTGAAAATCGAAAGAAGTATGGTTTACTTTGTACGATAGAAGTTTGTAGAAATCAGTGAACCTATATTTACGATAGACCTTTTCAAACCTTGAAAAACAGCTAGTTTCACTCTTCTTCTCTCAATGTCCGATTGCATTAATACAAGAAAACTGAATTTTGTGCTTGGAAGTTGCGAATGAGGCGTATTTGTAGTGTTTATGTAATCAACTTTTTGCATTCACTTCTTCTATGGCACATATTTGTTTATGATTTTGTAGAGAGTTAAACATTGGACTTTTAAGCTGAAATTTAGTTCATAACTATTAAAATTGACACAGATGTTAATTATATATAGTCTTATTTATTCTGGCACACTTTATTTATTTTTAGCAGCTAGTTGATCCTCTCTATAATTTTGAAGTAATATATTTAATTCTATTAAAGGGAAAATGAAAAGCTAAAAATGCCGAATATCTAGTCCACTTTTATTAGTAACAAACAATAAAGAGAATTAACCATTGCGTTTTGTTCATTATATGTTAGTTAATCAGACTTCAACTCTTTTGATGAAAGTCATTAAGTATCATATAGTCAATCTTAAAAGTATGTAAGCCGATTTATGATCATGCTATTAATCTTGATCAAATAGTAAACCTTGAAGATCGCTTATTCTAGCAAGAAATATTCAAAATCATCATATGTCAAATGTGTATGACGGAAAGCGTATTCATCAGGATAGCAATAGACAAAAGCATAAGACTACGAACCAATACTCTAACATGAATTATAGAATCCTATTGAATATATATATATATGTTCGGTTCAATAGTTTTGCTCAAGTATAGACAGAAGGCGTTGAAATTCAAAAATGTATAAGTTCCTGTTGCTTCTCCAGATCCTTTTTAGCGGAAGCAATTGCTACCCTTTGTAGTGTCGATGCATCATCCATTAGGATAGATGTAGATATCACCAATCACTTAGGAATTATTTGAATAGATGTAATTTGTCGTCTTATTTAGATAAATAAACATATAATTGTTTGAATTAATTAAACTATGTTTGCGTTTTTATCATCTGTTCTTATGTTCATAATACTATTGTTAATGATGATTGAAGAAATATTTCGTTTTCAGCAAAAAAAATGATGTTATTCAAAGATTATTGTAATAGATCTCGATGAAAATTCTTATTTTTATGCTTAATTAACGATCTACCTATTTTTTTCAATATTTAACTATTCTTGATAGTTGCTATTTGAATACCGACAAACGAGTGGTAGTATTAAACCCTCACTGCTCTCAATCGAAGACCATGATTAATACTCTTGATTATTTTTATTTTAAATTTACTAGAATTCGTTTAAATTTATTCTAATACTCGACATAAAAATAAGATCTTTTTATAGATAATATATTTATGTGATCCATATATATATTTATACTGTTTGACACTATTTCAATAGAAGCTCATGGTATTCTTATTATCTAAACACAATCATTTATTCATGTGAATGTTCTTTGTCAACGCATTATTAATCATTTTATTTTTATTATCCAGTTGTTGACATATTCATATTCTATTCAGGTGTATCTATGTTTCTTGATTATCAAAATTACTAGTATGGAGTCTTGTTCGTTATAAATTTTAGGTAAGACTATTAATTTAGTTTTTTTTTCTCACTAATGTAGAGAATTATATACTATATTATAATGGCCGTACTGAAAAATTCTAATTCCTATTATGCCTACAATTCCCATGCGTATTGTATTTTTAGATGCTTGTCCAACCATGATTTTCTATTGACATGTATGCCGTTCATCAGTGTCTGTCAGTCATAACTTAATTAACTTGACCATAGTGAATTCTTCTTTTAAGAATATTATGTTTTCAATTGATTATCATAAATAACATTATGGTTTTTTATCGATTCTACATAAATAGTTGCTTCGAAAATTGTTCATACAAAATTTAATTTCAACTTTTTTTCCCATAATGGTAACCGATATAACAAATTCTAATACTTATTTCGATCGAGAAACTAATTTTCGATAAAGACTTATGAAAAGTAAATCTTTCTCAGTATTCCTAAAATCCAAAGTCTACTTTTTCAGTAATAACCGCATCAAAATATTTTTTTTTGATTACATAAACGAAAAGGCAACTAATTCTCTTGAAAATGAGATATTTCTGTGTTCTCCATGACACATTTTTGACTGAACTAAATCAATTATAAGAAAAGCCTAAAAGTGGCTTTTCCGCTGTTTCCTATGGAAAGAAAGAATAAGAAGGACTTTTTTTGCTTTTCTTTAAATTGATGGAGTTCAGTCAAAAAAATGTCATTGAGAATGTGGAAACATATCATTTTCAAGAGAATTAGTTGTTTTATCTCCTATGTCATAAAAAAAGAAAAACTTATATTTTGAAGTACCAATTGCTGAAAAGTAGAGTTTAAATTTCACGAGTACTATAATGGATTTATTTCTCTCAAATCTTTATTGGAAATGAATTTCTCTATCCAAATAACGATTTAAATTCTTAATGTCAAATATCATGATGAAAAATATCGAAAGTAAATCTATATGATCAATATTTTCGAGCCATTGTATACACATTTATTTTACATTCAGTTAAATGTTTATTATCTTTCTGCTAGTTATAAGCACATGACAATTTATTTAAACTATTCTTCACTTTTTAACGTCAATGGTTCCGAGATTGGACCATTAAGCTTTTTCTCGTAACTATACATGTTAAACGGAATAAAAATGATTAAACATGTTAAATGGGAATAATCAATAGATATATAGTTTGACACTAATTGATACTTGATTTGTGTCGAAGTCTTTTTCAATTATTGTTCAATAAAAAGAAATTTATGCAAATAGTAAAAAAACTCAAAAGATCTCAATACGCACCGAATAAAGTTCTATTTTTTCTAAGGAGAAAATTCATCTAGAAAATTAACTTATAGTCTTTTCAAAGTATTTCATGCTATACTTAATGTCAAAACTATCATCGCAATTTTCTATATTATTCCATGCAGTATGAAAAATTGATAATTAAAATTTTGTATTTGTTTCCAAAATAAATTAATAAAACGAAGGTCTATTGAAAACAAAAAATCAATTTTGTTGACATCATCTTCTTTCTTTACTGTAATTATTTATAATTCTACTCTTGTAAATCTTTCTATATTACTGATATTATTCTATTTCTTCTTGTTTTTTAAATAAAATTTCATTGACACTGTCCATTTTAAAGTTAATAGGTCAACTTCTTTTTTTTTCTATTAGTAGTTTATTTATGTTTTTTTTTTTATTTCTTCGATGTTGTGTAAGTGAAATAAAGAGAAAGCATGAGTGAGAAGATAATATTAGTTATCCAAAAAAAGAGAAAAATAAACGATAATTGATTTTATTATTCATCATAGAATAAAACATTTCGACGTTTTCGTTTGCCAACATAATTTGCTGGACGTAATGATGCTCGTTTACCAGCAAATGGTCGAAGTGATGCACGTTTACCAGCGAAAGGTCGAAGTGATGCACGTTTACCGGCAAATGGTCGAAGTGATGCACGTTGCTGCAAACCATAAGGACGTAAGGATGCACGGCGATATAAGTCATCGAAATCATTAATTTCATCATCGGAATTATTATCTTCTTCAGTATTGTCAATAACATGGTGTTCTTCTTCATTTGTATCAGCATATGTTGGTTGAACTGTACACCAAAGAAGAACTGAAAACAATAAAATACGTTATTATTAAAAAAGAATAACTTATATTTAGAAGAATCTTACGTATGAATATTGTAATTCCGAGAAGCAAAATTGAATTTCTACTACTGTACATTTTGTAGTAATGATGCTTTGGAAGAAATCTGAAATAAGATAATTAATTCTTTTTGTTGATTTCATATATATATATATAAGAGACAGAGGAAAAATAATAATATGTAGGCTTTAGTGTATGAGAATGAGAGATTTGTCAATAGAAACAATCGAAATCGTACTTATTCTCAGTTATAATACTTAGTTTGGAAAACAAAAGAAAATATTCATTGCGCATATTCATTGAATTCAAACAGATATAGTGATAACAGAGAGGAAAAAATATGAGAAGAAAAAATAGAACAGAAAGATGAGACTTCTTTTTCTTTTCCTAATAATCTACTTGTTGTTTGGTTTATTATTACTATTCAAGAAGAAGAGAGAAATTTACAAATTATACTGTTTTCACTAAAAGCTAGTAACAATTTGTTTGACAAAAAGATTTTTTTTTTCTACATAATTAACGTCTGCAAATGTTCCGGTTGGATTCATAACTCTATGATTGGCGTGAACACACAATATCATATATCAGATTCTAATCAAGTTTTTCTCACGTTCATGAATATATATATATGGAACAACACGTATTTAAATTATGTATTTAGAAACAATCATAAAAGAGAAAACGTTTAAAAATCAATGAGACACATATGCTATACTTTTACGTGCCGTTTCTATATATTAACAAGATCTACATGATTAAATTTCGCTTACTAGGTTACGCTCCTACTGTCATAGGATTATGTTTGCTATGAGGTGTTACCGGCATTGTTAACATGTTTTTCCAAATGAATAAGCAGAAAAACAATGCAACAATTTTAGAAGTAATAATATGTTCGTTTCATTATCTATTTCTTTTTGACTCACTTGACAATTGTATGAATGAATAATGAACGACATCGAGCTTCAAATGATCGCTTCCGAACGATAGTTTCGAAGCATTATTATCGAGATGATTAGTGTCTTTATATATGCGTATAGATAAAGATAGAGAAAAAATCTATCCATTGATAAAGATTACCAATAAAAACTAGCTATCGAATTAGTATCGAGGGTGTTAAAGATAGAAAGAAACAATCATTTCCGCGTCGTCTCTTTTAATGCATGTGAGCGTATACTCGTAAATCTTTTTTCTTTTAGTAATAAGATCGATTGAGTATTATCACTATCTAGTCAAAATACTCTAAGGCATGAGCCATGAAGAACAAAAAAAGAAGAAGAACAGAAAAGAAAATAAATCTACTGATTAAAAGACTCAAACTGATGGAGTTTTTTATCTTATCTGTTGTTGCTTTTCTAATATTTCCCAAAAAAGAAACCTAATGTAATAATCGTGGATCTGCAAACATTTCGAAAGTGAAGAATAAAATAGAAAAAAATTCTTTTTTTTTTGGTTTTTATTTTATTTGCACGCGCATCTATTTGATAAATTAATAAACAGATAAATAAAATTAAATATATACTTAGTTTTATATCATGCATAGGAAATAGCTCATGTTATTCAAATATTCGTCGAAGAATACAAAATACTACATCCACTCTTATTGATTTAACAAATACTTCACAACGTGCTTCTCGTATGACACAATATCATATTTTTCATGATAAATCTCCTGTACAACATCAATACACAGATATGAAATAACATCAATAGAGAGAAAACAAAAACATCTTGTTGATTTATTTCTTGTACCTTATTATAATATAGAAATACTTGTAGATAATCTTAATAATGAACGAGAATGTGCCATATGTTTTGAATCTTTTCATCAACAAGATATTGAAGCAAGACTTGAATGTTTATGTAATTATCATAAAAAATGTTTAGATGAATGGAACCAACGTAAACGATGCTGTTCTTTACATATGGATAAAATGATATCATTAACTACTTTAAATAAATTTGTTTCTTCAACACAAATAATAAAAGAACAAAAACAATAGAAAAAAAAACAAATTATTTTTAAGATTTCAAATGAAAACTTCAAAGAAAATAAATCGAAACAATGAATACTTCTCTTTTTTTTTCTTCGTGCTTGGAAAACTGTTGATCATTGTACTAGAAACTATATACAATATTTTTCATTTCATAATCTTCTACGAAGCACAATGAGTCTAAAGATAACAGAATGATGGAAATACAGATAAGGTTAGAAAAAAAGCAAGAGAGACAGAGAGAGAAATCATGCACAGTGTAACAGTACGAATTTAACGACGAATAAATCTGAAGCTCACTTAAAGAAAATGTCACACATTTTTACATCTAACTAATAGTTCCTTCATGTACTGACTACAATTAAATAAAAAGCTGCAGAAGGTTATCTCATAGTTCAGATTGAATAGATTGTTGTTATTTCATTCTTACCAGCAAAGAGTGAGTTACATAAGTATTCATTCAAGTTCTTTCTTCACTAGACTTAGGGCATAACAAAAGTAGTGATTTTAGTATAATATCACTTCATACAAAGCTCAAAGCAAACTTCTTCTTCATAAGTATTTGTAGTTCTAACAGTACTTTATATTCCTCAGCTATCATCATCATCGTCATCATCATTCAGTTGTCACAATTATAAGAAAAATTTCAATGAGAACTATGTATCTCTAGTTTAGATCAATAAAGAAAGTTTTCCTTTTTAAATTAAAGTATGTACTCCATTTCATCTTAAACTAATAGATATTCATGAGGAATGATATTCTGTTTTCTGAGATCAATCTTTACCTTACATGACAGTCATCAGATGGTAAAAGTGATTTCGTGAAGATCAAGAATAGGTTGAACATAAATAACGATCTGTGATAAAAAAAATATCTAAAAAATATTGGAGAAGTTCATGGTCTTATTTATGATGATTCTCATCTTGCACTTGATGAAATACAAGTGGCTACTGTTATTAGTCTAGGCAACCTTGAGTGAATCATTTTTTACCACTTAAAGCTAAACTTTTACTGTTCGCTAAATACTCCACCAACTGATTGATGTTCAAGGAGCCGAAACAGTTCTCATATATGAAGAAAATTTAGCGACATTTGAATCAGGAACATGGCGATTATGTAACGTAAAGACTAGTAATGGATTTTGGTTTTATCATAAACAAACTGATCGACAAGTATCAAATACTATCTCGATAGCAAGCGAAGAAATTTCATCAAAAGTAGTTCGACAAAATTGCTTCAATCCCAAAATATTGTTTCCTATACTTTTCTAAAACCACTAGTCTATTATAATCCATCGTATACAACGAAGACAATCTATTGATCACTACTATTACATTAATAACTGCTTACAAACCTCTTGTCAACTAAATTAAAAACCAAAGAGCTCTATCTAGTACACATGCCATCAAATTCCACCATCATAATACCTAATCCTGTAGGTCAAACAATCCAACTATGAGATCTTGTATCATTCTTGTATGTCTTTCGAGAATTTGCACAACATTGTATGCCTGATTTTGTTCTATTTTCGGTTTCTGTTATCTTGGTTTCATACTAAAGTACATTACTTTTACTTCTACATAAATATTTAGAAAAATTACATGAACTAAATGAAACCAAAAATATTCACTTAAAAGACATCGAAAAAATTTTTGTTGAGTTTTATCGTTAATAGGATCTAAAATAAAAAAATAAATAATGTCACATAATAAAGTTCTTACTCCTTTGAACTAGTTGTTAAAATGAACTAAAAATAATAACACAAATAGTTCAAACAAGAGAAAATCTATTTCTATTTAATCGAATCAATTGTATTATCTGTGAAGCAGATATTCTCAAACAGCCGAGTCGCACTACCTTACCACGAAGCAAAGCAAGATTTTTTGACAGATAGGCGGGTACGAGATGATATGAGATTTGACGATTCGTTCCGTCTCCATACGAAGCATTTTCTACTGAATACATGTTGATTCTCTGACGACATCTATCAATTTTCTTTTAGATATTTTTTAAGTATTAGCATTGTGACTAAAATCGAGAAATATGCATTCATACATATATGTGTTCCTTTTTAGTCTAATATTTTTATTCTATATTTAGCAGTGCACATTGTCTTTCTCTGAAAGTCGGTTAAATAATTTACAATATTAACTCAATTATAGATATAGATAGAGTTTATGAACTTTTTGATTTCAACTTGAATTTTGAAAAATAGCACAGTACCCTTGTGACAAAAACTCGAGGATTTAGTGAATCTAAAAAAGCAACAAGTTCTTCAAGGTATAATGTACCAAACATCTCACAATCATACAAATAAAACAATGAAACACGTCCACAATAGTCATAGTACTTATTTTCACATGCTTCTTATATACATAACAACTTGACTCTCAAAATTGTAATTCATATTAGACGCGGTGTCTATCCTCTATTTTTATAGGATGTGAATCTTTAGCATAATCATAGTGATATGAATAATATATACCTCCTTTTTTTATAGGATATGAGCCTTTAGATTGATAATGGCGTTACATAGTTCTTGGGCATGGCTTTATGCTATACGTATATATTATCATGATAATTTTTGAAGATTTGCCAGATCCACACCCTATAAAAAGACTAGATTTACAATAGAGATATCGTGCTTATAATTATATCTTTCTTTTTCGAAAACCCTACAAAGACAAGCACTAGCATGGATAGCTGATGTATCAGCCGAAATAACTCTCATTTTCCTTTTAATGTGCCTAAGAGAAGACAGACATCGATACTGGTAGCCACAGATGAGAAATAGTCATGCATTTCGGAACGAAACACATTATCGAATACATTCGTCCTTCGGCGAATGAAGCACGCATGGTTTTGTTAGGACCATCTTCAACAATGTGAAAGAGAGATATTCATTATCGAAACTAATGATGATACTTTAAATCAATATTTAGAAATGTTTTTCTTACAGAAAAAAAAACTGTTAAGTCTCCTCTACCATACAAAAAGATTCCGCAGTGTGAAACAGTAGAAATACTCAAATTTTTTATCTCAAAGCTACTTATGAACTACTCTTTATGATCGTATAAGGTCTTATAAGATTTCGATTATCAGACTTTGCCAGAATTTTATAGAAAGAATTCTCCAAAATTTACAATGCCCAGGTGAAAAGATCAGATGTAAGTCCTTATATGGTCATTCATAAAGTTTTCCCACTTGTGCACATATTCATAAAGATGTATCTACCTATTCCGAATCGAAATGCATCAAAATTATAGCACAATTATGTAATTCTTTAGACTTAGCATCATGCGATTTCTTGTTATTTGACTTGATTGAAAAACAAATTCTGTTCGATTAGAATGACTTTAAATGGTTGCATCGTGCTGTAGTGAAGACAATGAAATTTTTAAATAAAGATAACTATTAAAAAAATTTTATAAAAAATTAAATAGTTAATGAACTTTTTTCCGACATATTATTGTCCATAAGTTTAGCACAAAGTAAATTCAACATTGATTTTTTTTTCCCTGGAAAATCTGAACAATGGCACAAGATACTATTTTTTATGGCAGATAATAATGAATTAAAAATACAATGAACATATACTTGTTATAGTTGCAAATATTAGCCTACACAAAACAAGTTAAGTTTGACCGTATTAATATTTGTATTTGTCCAATAGTTATCTTTATTATTGAGAAATTTTGTTGATAAAATAGAATGTTTTGTTTTACTCGAAATTCAATTATATTGATTATAATTTGTTTAGATTTGGAATAGTCTTTCTTTGATTCAAACGAAACTCTTTTTGAAAAATTTTTGAATGTTTTTCTTTTTGTTTGTGCATCTTTCTTGATAAAATCTTGATTAACTTGTATCAAAAAATGTTATCTCATTAGTATTTTTCTGTTGCTTATTTTTAATAATGATATGTAAAGTTGCATAATTATTTACATCATTCATTACGTAATGTCGATCTTTAACAAACATAATACTAGACAATAAAAATTGTGGCATGTTTTCTCAACTTCACCCACGTGAATATCATTTCGTATTTGTTTCACTTGATAGAACCCTCGATCCAATAAATACTGACGTTGGACTAATAAATTTATGTTGAGAAGAATATTTAAAATCAAAACTTCTATTTTCTATATAATCAATACTTTCATGATAATAACAAGAAAAAATAAAACAAAAATTTACGATTTCTTATTGATGAATAAACAAACAGATGAATACGTTTATTATACTTAGAGAAATGTTACTGAATAGTTTAAATATTATAATCATAAAAAAAAGAGAAACAAACATAATGATAAATCAAGCATACCATCGGTTTCGATTTTGATGTCTATGATCGTTAGAACGTCGAGGAAAATAACTCATGAGGAAGGGATCTGAATTACGATATCGATAATCATCATCATATTCCCGCGGTCTGGGCTTTCGTCGAATACTATAAAGTAATATTCAAGATTTATTATTAAGTCTAATAAAAACAAAAAGCAACATACCGTGGTAAACGAAAACCGTCATCATAGTATGGTGGAGGTGGCTGACGTGGATGATGACATGAATGATGACGTGAATGATGACGTGGTAATGGTAGAGGAGGCTGGACATATTGAGGTGACATGGCAGGAGGAAAATTGTGTTGAGTTGGACCAAGCGGAATAGGAACAGAAGAATGATTAAAAACGTCTGAACCAGAAGGAAGTGCAACTGGTTCAGATGTGCGACCTAAAGGAGCACGAGGTAGAGAACGCAAGTTGTGAAAATGATAAATTTTCGAAGACTGATCAGGCTGCATTACAGAATCAGGTGGATATTGTGGTTGAGCAGGATGAGTTATTTGATAATCATATGGTTGATTATAGGCCATTGATGGATGTTGTGGATGAGTAGGATGATTTATTTGATGATCATATGATTGATGATGCGCTATTGGTGGATGCTGTGAATGAGCAGGATGAACTGTTTGATGATCATGTGGTTGGTTATAGGTCATTGCTGATGGATCTTGATCATAATTCACATGCTGCATCGATGGATGCCAATGACCTTGTGGTCGGTCTATCCAAGAATTATCTGGATAAGGCGTTTGTGCATTATTATTATGAATTTCTTGTGGATTAGTTCCATGTTTTGGCCAGTTGTTATGTTCCAAATCACGACTATTAAATAACGTATTTTCTGTCTCTTTTTTAGGCATGTCGCAATAAACAAATGTTTCTTTACGTAAATGGCATTATTTTTTCAACAATACATGACATCACAACAATTGTTTCATTTAGTTTATATGAATATATATTCCTTTTCTTTGAATGTGAAAAAAAATCAAAAAAAAAATACAGAAAAAGAAATGAAAGAAAACAGTTTATTTTTTACATAGTTTATTCAGATCCAATAATTTTTTTCATGTCACATTTTCGTTTCTTATTTAAATATTTTAATTTTCTAATCATATGTAAACATCTTGTTATAATAATATGACTTTGAAATAAATGTTTATTTTGTTTAACTAAACGAATACATGTCATAAAAAATACATATTTACATTGATTAAGTAATTTAATAGATTTTTTATTATAATTAAATGCTTTCTTAATCAACATACGTAAACCTGAACGTATTGTACGAAATAGAAATAAACTTTTTGATTGTATATATTTATTTGAATAAAATTGTGCAAAACGATAACACATTGAATGTAAACGTTTAAGAAAATAACATGATAAATAATAAAAATTTCTTACTAACGTTTGATCTGATGTATATAAACGATCAAAATAATATGAATGTGAACGTAAATATAATGCATTAATTAATGAATGACGTAAATGATAACCTGTTTCACGTGTTATTTTTATAGTTAATTGATTGATTTTTTTTTCAATAGTTTCATTTTGATTTATTGTAACAAGTATTTCACGTGATTTTATATCAACAAGTGAACCCCAATATTCAACAGGATGAAATTTTTTCATTGTTTTATGACGAATATTTGTTTTTGTTTTTAATGAATTTGTTAATGAATTATTGACATGATGTAATTCATTTAATTTTTTAGTCATTTTTAATTTAATACGACGTAGACGATAACGATGTGGTGTTATAATTAATAAATCATCTTCATGACGTACAGCAAATTCATCTGATAGAGGACTAAAATCAATATCATGATCAATTTTATTTAAATATATTTGTCCAAGCATGGAAGCTATTCGTAAACCATGATTAATACCAATTATACGACGAAATGTTCTAATCGGCAATTTTTTTGGATGCATTGTATAAAGATACGAACTAAAATTATTTACTTCTGGTGTTGTTTTTAGTTTTGATAAGAAATTAAAAAAGTATTTACTTGAATAATTGAGCACGAGTATATTTAAGTAATTTTTCTTTATTATAAATTTCAACATGAACATCATGAATAATCATATCATGAAATGTTCCATTACTTACACGTTTTGTAGCATCAGTCATTATTTCAAGCATTTGTTCATTTTCTTTTCCTACCCAATAAATTGTTTTTCGACGAATAAAACGTCCATTCCGATATTGAGTTTTATACATCGTATGAATATATAAATCATAATTAAATTCACAATTGTCAAGAAATTCAACTAATGCCTGAAATACATGTTTGAATGTAAGATATATTAAGAATTAAATTCTACTTTAAACTATTGTATTCTATCTTTAAGAGCAGTGTGAATGAAAAAAGAATACAGCGGAATGAATACATAATGATATACTCATGATAAAAATAGAACGTAAATTATTTGGTTCGGATTAAATGAATTTAAGTATTAACACGAACAAAAGAGTTGATCTTTCAAATTATTTCTTTTTCATTGATGTTAATGTCTTTCTAAATCTTGCGGATATGTTTCTCAAGTTACAGACAAACAGTAAAACTAAAAAATTTAAGTTCATAAATCCTGCTGCTACCATCTCGAATTAGAACTGATAACAAGAAATAAAGTTAACTTCATAGAAAACAATAAAGTTGATGATCAGATGGATAATTAGCGATCTAATTTTGCTATAGAAGAATGCTTATATCTCTAGACTTGAATTTTTCTTTTAGCTGATTTTCATGTAACAAATATACGCTGAGTTATTCTAGATACTCAGAAAAATTTGGTCCTATAGACATTGGTTCTGCTCAATTACCATTGAAAAATTAGCTTTAGCGACTGCGTAATAAATAGGACAAAAGTTTTCACTATGTGCGTTTTCTTTTATAAAGTCCTGCAAGTTCAAGCAGTATTTTTGAAAACTAAACAGTGCGTTTCGTAGAGAACTCTTCATACTAAAACAATCTTCACGTTTAGCTTTTCCTGAATTGGCTTAGACTTTTGAAAATGTCCAGTTTAATCTATTCTGAATGGTACAAACCCTTCTTGAGGAGTCTCTAAATGATTTCCAAGCAAAAAGTTTCATCCCGAGATAAGATCAAATCTCTAAAAAACCGTTTTTTTGGAGAAAGAAATTTTTTTCTAAATAGTTGAGTACGTACATTCGATTGAATATAAACTGAAACAGCCAATATTCATCGAAAAAAAAGAATTTCAAATGATTACATTTCGTTTTTTGTTGATTTTTCTCAAAAATTTCCTCCCTCTTCTATTAAGTCTTAATGTAATTTTTGTATTTATTTTGCATAAATGAATTATACATTCACTCACCTTATCAAGATAATCAACATTAATTGAATCATAAAAATTTGAAACATCACTTCTCTATAAATGAAAATTCACATATATATCAAATATCTAGTCAAAAAAAAAGCAATAAAATAATCAAATCATACGAAAAAATAAGTCATGCTTTCATCATCTATATTTGGTGCAGTTCGACAATAATCTTGCCATCGTCGATGCATTTCAACACGATTAAATGTAGATATACCTATTAAATGTCTATTATGTCTTCGAAGATATTTTAATACTTCATTTGTATATTTTAAATGATTTATATTTTCTCTTGTATTAAATTCTATTTGTGCACATGCTAAATAACGTACATTTGTCATTTTAGGTACGAATCGTATTTTCCATAAATAACGTATACAATCATAATCATTGACATTTTCTTGTTCGACATTTAGACAACAAGATTTATAAAATAATTCTTTACGAGATTTTTGTTGTATAACATACCTTTATATATATGTCATTAAATTATAAAAAATAACATATGATGCAAAAGTAATGGGACAAATATTGAACCTTATATCTCTTCGATCGAGAAGGATACTGAACGAGAATTCGATTTACCAGAACATGAAGGATTATTTTCTCTTTTGAATCGTATACAACTTACTTTTACCTTATGCTTATAAATGAAATGTCGCAAGAGAAAAAAGAAGCATCTTAAAAATGGGAACAATCATTTTCTTTTATCAACTGATAGCTAATGTTCTTCTCTCTCGAACTGTTATAACTTAACTTTGATATACATTCATGAACAAAATGACACGAGAAGAAAGTGAAACTCTTGTAAACCGAATTTTCAATTTTATCAAAATAGTGATTCATTAAAAAATTGCGTAGAATAACAGTTATTTTATGAGGCAAGATATTTTAAGAACAATGATTTATAACATATTAAACAAATATTTGAAATATGAACTGGTTGTGATAAAAAATAATTATAACAAAATTAAGTTATATACAGTGCGAAAAAGAAGAAAATTCCCTATCGGTTGATAAACAAGTTATTGTTCCGACACGTTCTCACTAAACAGATATCACGGTTGAATATTTTGCACCGTTTCTCTACATTAAATGAAAAAAAAACAAGTCCAAATACGATTTGGAATGGAACAAAAATCTCTATCTTCTAATAAATCAAGTATTCTTTCAGTGCCCTTCTGTCGAAGAGAAATAAAGTTCGACATTTGTCCCATTACTTTACATGCTATGTTATTCCATAAGAAAAGTTTTTTTCTTACCAAATTTTATGTCGATAAAAAATAAGTTCAAGTTGATGAGATGGTGATGATGCTTCTGTAACATAAAAATATGAGCGAACTAATACAAGAACATATTGTATAAGAAAATGTATTAAATGACATATATATAATTGACATATAAGTGAGGATGAATTTAACATTTGAGTATTTGACCATTGAAAATGTTTAAATTTTAGTTTTCGTACAGCATCACCTACTGAATATTCTTGTATTCGTGGTAATTCAATAAGAAAACACATTTTATATATAAATAATTTATGATTATATCTTGAACCAAATAATTCTATTGGTAAAATATTTTTTAACCAAATGCAAATAAAATTTTTTATACAAGAAATCGGTGTTGTTAAGGGAGCTAATTGATCAAGTGTAGCTGTTGGCTCAGGAACATGATGTTTTGTGAATGAAAATGGTAAACGGGATCGACGTCGAAGATAAAACTGATGATGATTTAGTTGAAATTTTTCAAATATTGGTATTAGATTTTCACGAATTTGTTCCTTAATAAAAACAAAGTTTGGTCTACTATAAACATGCGTTAAAAATCATATTCCCATTTTCTTGCGTTTTTCGTTACATATATTTATTGTTGTATCATCGAAACAAATTCGTAAAATCTGTATAAGTTTTTCGTTATATAATAAATCTCTTAATAAGAAGTATTTTTTGGAATTGTAGCAAATTCAAACAAATATATATAACGAATAACGTTTTTTTTGTCTGCGTCCTCGACTTTATTTCACAATAGAAAAATTCCTATATCTCTGGACTTGAAGTTTTCTTTTAGCTAGTTTTTTATGTAAAAGATGTATGCTACGTTACTTTAGATATTCGGAGAAACTTAGCCCTATAGACCTTTCTGTCGTCGAATAATTATTGGAAAATCCAGCTTTAACTATGTAGTGCTAGAAAGAACAAAAGTTTTCATTGTGTACGTTATCATTTACAAAGTCTGCAAGCTCAAGCAATATTTTGCAATATTTAACAATGCGTCTTGTAGGGAGATTCTTCAAAATAAACGATCTCTACGCAGCATTTATCTTGAATATGCTTAGGCTTTTGAAAAAATTGAGATTTTTTTTTTTGTTGACGACATGATTCAGTACCAATATAAAAACGAAAAGTTCTCTCGTAACTGAATGAGAAGTTTAAAAGTGAATTTTAAATGCTACGAATGCTTTTTATAGATCGCAAAATGATTGCAAAACCAAAGGTCTCGTTGTGCGACAAGGCCAGGCCATTGTAAAATCAGATTTTTGAGAGGCTATGTTTTTCCTAATTAATTAAACAATTACGTTTGATTAGGTATAAACTGAAAGAGCTAATATTCATGGAAAAAGAACTCAGTCGAAACAATAGTCCTGCTAAAGAATCAAAGTACAACCGAATATAGTTAAGTCTCGTTTTCGCTCATACAGAATAAAATATCTATAGAAAAACATGAGCAAGTTGTTTTTTTGTGCAAAAATCTATGTATCTCATGCGTGTTAATTATGTTATATCAATATGTTTAGTCCTTTTCGTTACGTCCTTAACTAAAATAACAAATTCTGTGTTAAACAAAAATTTTTCAAATAATGTTTTATGAAGAATTTCTTCAAAATTTTTCGTACCACTTCTTCTTTTGGTCGATGATTAAAAAATGTTTTACTAAAATTTGATTCAAATAAAGCATCAACAAATAATTTTTCATTAAATGATTTTTCAATCGGATGATGAATATCAAATCGTTCATATTTCGATATATGATATTGTATCATATTTCTAGCAATTAATGTTTCATATAAATCTGTTAAATGTGCTTGTTGTCCTTGTTTAGTTGCATGTAAATGAAATTGTACTGTACGTTTTCTTCTATTGAATTTATCTAATCTTAAATTATTTTGTTGTTTTTCTTTTAAATTCCTTGTTATATAATAAGGTATATTAAAAAATGTTTCACGTGTACCACATAATTGTATAAATAATTGTCTTTTACGTGTTAAACATTCAATTAATTGAAATTCAGTTAAAAGATAAATTAATACATCATCAATTAAATATTCACGTCTTTTAAGCCATATATTTGATAAACAAATATGTGTAATCAACGAATTTTTATAAACATAATCATCATATTGAAATGTATTTTTAGTTAAAATTTTATTTTTTAAATCAATATTTGTTAAAAGTATATTTAAACGATTTTTCATATAACAATTTAGTAAAAGATTATAAAGAAATAGTTGTTTATCATTTATTATGGATTGTTTTCTTTGAAGAATTTCTTTCCATTGTATTTCTTGTTTAGGTGTCATTTTTTTTGTTAAATAAATTCCCTGAAAAATTTCTTTTTGATTTGAATCCATATTTGGTAAATATTTTATAAGTGAATCTAATTCAGTATAACAATTTTTTAAAATATTCATAATTACCCGCGTAGAAATAAAAAAAAAGCAGAAGACAAAGTCAAAAAATGTTCTCTTTTTTTCTTATCTAAAAATAAAATAAAAATTTCATTGATGATCTTAGCAGCAGCTGCATGTGCTGTGGCTGGTGCTGCAGGACTTTCTTATATATTTGATGATAATAGTGATGAACAACAATCAACTAATATGAAATATGAAACAGTTACTGTATCATCAACTATTCTTGATAAACAAGGTATTGTTAAATATGTTATACATCCGTATTCATATATGTATTATCCATTTATTAAACAAGAACAAAATAAATGTATTGTGACCTTTATCAATCAAAATAAATTAAATCAATTAAAATTACCAATAGAAAATTATAAAGAAAAAATGAATGACTCGATATTTAAACAAGATTTTTCTATTATTTTCTTTTGGTCAATACCATTAAAAGCTCATCTACTACAAACATCAACAAAATCATGTTTTATTAGAGAAAATTTCAATATTTTTGAACGTAGTGTAATAAAAATTAGTATTGGAATTCAAAATGTAAGAAGAAAACTATTTTATATTATTATTAATCCTTTGATTATACGTGAGACTTTTTGGCTGATCATAACTTTTACAATCTTCTTTTTTTTTCTCCTTATACTTTTACCATTATCGCATCATTACATGATCTCTAATTTTGGTTTTTTTGAACAACTACTAGCTTTCAATGTTTGAGTTATTTATTTTATTGTCTGTACATCTATCACAGACAACCCTGCAAGCCTTTCTTTGCCTTTTACTTCTACTTCGTATTTTCATCAATTTACTAAAAATGCTTGCATTGAAAACCGAGCCCGAAAGTCAGGCTCGCTGCATGTTTAATCTCATTGTATATGTTAATCTGGTGGGAAAAAAATGAATTATGAATTCATAGGTCTCTCAGAATTCATACGCTCTTTGTATCTAAATCATTTAAAATGCAATGAAAAAAAATAGAAATCGATAAGACTACGTAAAATCTTAGAATATTCAACATTACTAGATTTATATATTATGATATGGAACCATCAAATTTGTGCAAGTACTGAATTTTATGATTTTAGTTAAGAGCTAACGCAATGAGGTATTTATGCCTGATTGTAGAATTCTATACGGAAACCCACATTTTTGTCATGTTTCCGAAAACAAATCATAGCTAAAGAGTTAAACTAAATATCTATTTCAGAAAATAAATGAAAATATTGATATGTCTGATATTCCATCAGAAATAGCACTTTCAAATTATGATCCATATTCTTATGAAACAAATCGACGAAAACCATCATTAATTATAAATCATGATGAATATGATAATACATTGGATTCATTATCATATAATCGAATAACCAATGACGATATTATTCCAATCGGTATACTTAAAAAAAAGAAACCAAATATGAATGAAAATGATAATAATCAAAAAAGATTTTGTTATGATAAAATATCAAGTAATGTGAATTATATTGAACAAAAATGATTAATTTATTTTAAAAATTTAAGATTCTAATCAAGAAAATCTAATGAGAAATATAATATTGAAAAATGTAAATTTATGTGTAGAAAACTTATCAAAAATTTTAAATGAATCATGTTCAAACACTGAAAAACAATCAACTGCATTATATGATTCATCTTCATTTACTTCGTTAATGAATAATAATAATCAATCAAAATCATCTATTCGACAAGATATTTATAAAAAGAAGCATTCAGAATTATTCAAAGTATGAATGCCTATTAGAATCTTTTCTATTTTAAAATGGAGGATAAAGAGATGTCACATATGTTCAGTGTCCTTCATAATATCACAAGAAAAACAATCAGTAAAATATTCAAACTGATATTGGTCTATTTATAGAGAAAGTGTTTTTTTTATATGATCCGTCTAAATTGATGAAATACTATTTCGAATGACGTTACGGTCTCTAACGAACTACTAACAAGGGAAGTTTTTTAACTAATCTCGAGCTTTCTAATTCATCTTTTGGTTATAAGTACGTCTCCATGACACTAAATCGTTTATACTGACGACTTATCGTTTCCTAGCAGAGCCCGAAAACGAACCGAACTCGAACCGAACTAAGACGGTTCGGTTCGGTTCGAGTCGAACCGAACCGATCTCGATCCGGTTTTTTAAAATTTAGTCGAACCGAACCGAACCCGAACCGCTCTTTCAAAAACGTAGTGGAACCGAACCGAACCCGAACCGCCCTTTTTAAAACAGAATCGAACCGAATCGAACTCGAACCACTTCTTAAAAAGCGACCTTAAGCTTAACTGCGCCTAACTAATTTTTAAAAAGCGAATAAATATGGACAAATACATAAGCAAAATGATTAGCTGAGCTATAATCTTTTTTGTAAGATTGTGATGCTATATGGGATTATCAAACGATCTTTAATCGAACATTTTACATCAGGGATTGTGGACGATCAATTTATATTTACAAAAATTTATCAAGTCAAGAAATCAATTGTAAAAGATTCCATTTTATTTTGAATTTAAACCGAATTTATATAAAATTCAAAAAAATTCATTAAACTCAAAATAATTTAGATTACATCTAAATAAATTTGAAGTATTTTAAGCTCCATTTTAATTAATTTAAGTTTCACTTTGTATAGTTATCTATAGAAATCAAAAGAAACCTTTTATCTCTCAGGTCTACTAGCAATGGTATCTGTACAAGTTTTTTATAATAGTTAGAAAATAATAGGAACGGATCACCGCTGTTTTCTTACGGGATCTTCTATAGTGATGATCGGATGTTAACGTATAATAGCAGTTTCTCTCTTTATTTCTGATCTATTTTTCTTGAAGTCATGTATTTTGACGATTGGGCTGTTGCATTTTAATTCACAAAAAATTATTATTTCCAGAAATTAATTCTCAATAATTTAAATCTAAAATAATTTTAAATTTATTCCACATAACAATTTAAATTTAATTTAAATTAAAATTTTGGTATCAGAAAAATTTTTATTTAATTTAAATTTATATTGGCAACAGTTTTAGTTTAAAATAAACTTACAGGAAAATGCCACGCCTATCAGAAACCGAACCGAACTATAATGGTTCGGTTCGGTTCGGTTCGACTCGAATCGAACCGATCTCGAACCGGTTTTTTTAAAATTTAGCCGAACCGAACCGAACTCGAACCGATTTTTTTAAACACAGTCGAACCGAACCGAACTCGAACCCACTTTTTTAAGACATATTCGAGCCGAACCGAACCCGAACCAATTTTTTAAAAAATTAGTCGAACCGAACCGAACTCGAACCCGTAAAAGTCCGTGCGATTCGGGCTCTGTTTCCTAGTATATAGTTTATGTTATACTGAAACGAAAAGCTTTTTGTATTGTGAAATTAGCATCAATCGTTTATTTCTACAAAGATAGAGGCTCATTGTGCAAATTTCTAATGTTGTTAAAGCTTGCTTCTCTTGCGACTATTTTCGATATAATGACAAAAGATTACTAATGTCATTACGTTGTTTGTTGTATAAATCTGAGTTTAAATATTGTATCAGGTTTTTAATCTAATAAACAAGCTATTATATACTAGATTCCTCTTTATAACAGCTTTGAAACTTCATAGTTCAATCTAGTTACAAATTTCAAAAAAGCTGATAACATAATTTATTGATATATTTTTAGTCTCAAGTTATTAGGATCATAAATGAGTAATGATTTGAAAAAATGCCAGTGTTTTTTCATAACATTAACCATGTCTTAGGAACGAAAAAATTTCAACACGAACGCTTTTAGAATTTTCTTAGTCTCACTAATTCCTACTTCTGAACAAAAGATGAAGTCGCAAGTTCGAGATTAGTCGAAATACCTTTTCAATAAGCTAAGCAAGATCACTTTTTCATGAGTCAACTTAACCGATATAATTATGTAGATCATCTGTAAAACTAATTGTAACACCATATACATAATCAATTTCGTGGAACGCAATCGAAAAGGAGTGTTGAAGGATATCGGATAGAAATTTTGCGCCCCACACAAATTGTAACAGATGCTAATCAGAGACTATCATCGACATTGATATATGGTTACCGATCATACACCAAAAACGGCTTGTTACTATTTCCTTATTGTATCTTTGTAGGAGTAAGTAAAAGGATGGTGTAGAAACGTATCCCAAAATAGATGGAATAAAACAATCGTTTTGTGATTAGCGACAGCAGATACATCATGTTTCACATTTTAATCCTGCAGGGATTATACTAACAGCTTGTCTTCATAAAAATCAATGATATTTCTCTTGAATAAAAAGCTTTGAATCAAACAATTTTTAATAATAGTAGATTTCTTGTTTTTAATAATTCTTTTTTTTTCAAAAATTCAAGCATGAAAAAAGTCTTGATTCTCTGAACTATGGAAGTGATAATACAAAACCTATAGAACAATTATCTGATGGTATAATTTTACATCGTGGTAAACAATTTGGTATAGCCCTAGGTAAACCGATGATACGCAAATATAATGAAAATGAAGAATTTCCTTCAAAATATTCTCATTCAATTAATGAACTAAATAGATTATTATCGAAAACAAATTGTTTATTAATGCAACAACAAAACATTGAATCAATTGAAGATCTAATTCGATTATTTTTAGAACAAGGACAAAAAAAATTTAGTGAAATAATGATTGATTCATTTAAAGTTGATCCATTTATTGTTGAACAAATTAATATAATACTTATGAAATGGGCAAAAAGTTTGACTTAATAGAAAATTTCTAACGACATCTCTCTTTCGATATTTTTCTATTGTAAACTTTACTACAAAATAAATTCATAAAAAAATTACAAATCAACTTATTGCTTATAATTTCATCTTAAAAATATTAATTTAAAAAAAAAAACCTTTGATAGTTGTCAAGGTTATCCATAGAGATGTCAGTAAGAATGGCAAGCAAACATACCTTGCGCGCTTACTAGAAATCAACAGCCATCATTATTATTATTATTTCTGTTTCGAAATCTTATTGTTGTTGAATAGAACAGAATAATTCTGATCATGAGCGGATTTGAATCACTTTCAAAACCATTAAAACCTCGATCCGAAGTTGCCGTACATACACTTCATCCAACACTTGAACAAAAACCACGAGCTAAGTATAGTGTACCTGATTGGTTCAATCATAAGTAAGATTTTTAAATGTTTTATTTCCCTTTTTTTTTGTTTTTTTGTTTTGTTCTTCAGTTACGCCATTTCATATGATGCAGAACGTAGTCGAAATGTTTCGCATCAAGTAAGACAAGATGGTCGAAGATTGACTAATGAAACATATAATGAATCATGGTGGAATAAACATGATAAGTAAGTTAACTAATATATGGAGAGTATCATTCGTAAATGGTGTGACTTCGTAAAATTAAAGTATGTGTATCTCATGATGATGAACTTTTCTACAGTTACTTTTTATATATTATGTGTATGTCTAGTTGTTCTAGATACCTTTAAAAAAATTAGCGCTAGAGACCTTTGTCTCGAGAACTTATTAGTAACTAACTAACGTTTAAAGCAACATCGACTTTCACTTCATGTATTCGAGTTTTTTTTTCAAAAATGCAATACAATGCACCAGTTGTGAAAACAAAATGTTACATTCTGTAGACAACTTCTGAAACTAAAAAAAATTCTAGTCAAAGTATTTTCTGAGCATACCTAGATTTTTCAAAAAATTGATTTCATTTTCGTTAGAGATATGATAGGGTATGAATCAGAAATGGAACCAGTACGACTTTTAGACCGACCGGTAACCGGTAAACCCACCTGTCTAACCTTTTCAGACCACTGTCAGTTCTAGTTGTCAAAAATTCAGACTAGTTCCATCTCTATATCAGGTATGTGATACAACTTGGCAAATAAAGTTTGTCACACGATGAACCATGTTCTCCATATCTGAACCATTTCTTTTCGGACTGTGAATTATCGATGTATCATGCGTTACCGGTAGACCGGTCGGTAGCCGGTAGACCGGTCAGTTGCCGGTACACCGGTCAGTTGCCGGTACATCGGTTCCATCTCTGGTATGAATATACATACAAAAAACTGCTCTTATAACTGAACGAGAAGTTCGAAATCAATGCTAAACAATTTAAATCCTCTTTTCGAATCTGTAGATGATGGTAAGAGAAAAAATTTTGTTTCGGAATTTGATAGGATTTCTAGAAATATCTAAAAAGATAGTTTTTGATGACAAATAACGACATTACACATAGAATAATGAAACAATTATCTCTAAAACACTTAGTATAATCTTTAAGACTCGGAAATATAACTGATTTATAGACAATAGCGGACTTTATAACTCACGAATAACTTTTACGACTCTTAATATTGTCTAGCTAACTAAACAAAACTCTCCGAAAGAAGTTTACTATGCTTATATAAAAAGATGAAAAATTTGAATGTAACTAAGCAAAATATAATTGATACAGTAGTGGCAAACAAGTCTCATTACTATTGAAAAAGCACCTAAACTTCAATTCTTTGGTTTCATATTTTGATCACAAATAGAGTAAGTCGAACTCCGATAACAAGGACCCCATGAGAACCTGAATGGCCTTCACATAAAGGAGCTCGAAGGTCGATACAAAGTTTTTCTTCCAACAAAGATATTTCAATATGGGAAATACATATCATTGCGTTTGATCATTTATACCAAAGTTCATTGTCGCCTCTATCATGAATAAACATTTTATATCAAATAGTTTTACTTTGCCTAGTTTATGAATTAATTTTTGAGTATTCTAGACATAACAGTTGATCGGTCTCGTCATCTTTTTTCTACAAACTTCATGATTTTAGCCATCAACAACTGAGAGATCCGTCCTTAAGTCATCCGAAACAATGACAGCTTTCCATCTCTGTATTTTACTGCATTGAAGTACTCTATCTACAACATAATATAGGCAGGCGAAGCTTTATTTGTTAACAAGAAGAAGTATGCTAAAGCATCAAAACCATGGAGAACCAGAAAACTGTCAAAAGAGTCATGTTTGAACTCTGGGAGAAAAAATGCTATGTTTGTAATTAACATATTAATGCAAAAGACTTGAAGTTCATATAGTTTTAACTCACTAGCGAGACTTCTTGCGACGACTGAAATACACCTTCTTGGTGGTTTATTTATTAATCCTAATATCTATTTCAGTGACGTACGTATTTCTGATCGGCTTGATGAAATTGATAAATGGCGCAAAACTCTTGAATATACAATTCAAGATGTTGATCGTGAAATTCAAGCTATTCAGTCGGCTAAAGAACAATGTGAACGTTATTTAGAACATATGCGAAGTCCACTAGGTAAATAATTATTTTAAAAAAACCAAAAGCATATCGAGTTTTATTTTTTTTTTAAAGATGTTTCATTGGAAAATTATGTCACACGTGATGGACGTAAAGCAATTGATAATGTTGATGATGAAGCTGAACGTGAATTAAAAAAGGTAAATTAATTAATAGTATAAATAAATAAACGATTTGAAAGCCAAACAATAAAATAATTTGATTCATCTAAAAGAATACATTGTTTTATACATTCGTTATATTGAACATATTCAATTGATTCTTGATTAACAAATAGAATACGTTGTTTTTTATAATCACATAATATCCAATCTAATGTACGTTCATAACCAGTTAAACCAGAGATACAACCAATATTATTTAAATCAATATGATAATATTCTTTATCAAGTAATGAATCATATACATATAAACAATAATCTTCATAATGTTTTGATGAATAACGACCATAACATATAACAATACCAATATAATTTTCAAATGCATGTAAACCATGCATTGTACCATCATCAAATTCAAGATCACAAACATGTCTAAATTCATATTGAGATAAACGTGATAGAACTGTTGAAGTATATGTTGATGTAAAAGAAAAATAACCATGATAAATTGATGATGAATTGCATACAAGATATCGAATTTGATTATTATGATCAAGACTAAATGGAAAACCAGGTAAAAGAATTTCATATTTAACTTTACATTGTCGAAGATTATAAACATATAAACTTGATGTTGATGCTACTAATAATTCATTTTTATATTTATTATAACATATACCTATGTAATTAATATTTGATGATTGAAAACATATTTTTTCATCACATTGTTCTGTTTCAATATTATAAATATCAACATGTGTTGAATTAGCTAAAAGAATTTTATTATCATAAAATTTTGTTATTGGTTGACAATAATATTGACGATCAAAAAGATAGATTATTTTCTGAGGATTATTTTGCCATAATGTTAAATTATTTAAACTAGAACTTCGATTATTATTTACTTTTTTTGGTATTGAAAGCTCAAATATAATTGTTGAACTTGGTAATGAACTTGTACGACGACGATGATGATCACGATAAGAAAATCTATAATTAGGTTTGATATTTAAACAAGTTACAAAACGAAGTTGACATTGTTCATCATCATCACCTTCATCATCACTTGATGCTAATTCAACATGATAAATAATTGGTGATGATAATGTTTTTGTTCGATCCTCAAGTTTTTCTGTAATTGTTGATACATATGCATAATATTGAACTTCATTCTCATTTGAAAATAATATTGCATTAGTGCAATTGATAGGTGGTATAATAGTTGTAGTTTCAAATAAATTATTTAATTCTTGTTTATCAGATAGAAGAAGTTGTTCTGCATATGATAAATATTGTTTATTATCATATTCTTTACTATTCCGTACAATTAATTTAGCTTCGTCGACAGCTGTTTTAATTTTTTCATTAATTGATGAGGATTTTAATAATAGAAGTTCTCGTCGGCGAGTTTCAGGAGTTGAACTATTTGTTCGAATACGTGGCATTAAGCAAACCTTGATAATACTAAACTAAGAAAAAAGCAGCGCACATACATGCATATATAAGAATAACAACATTCTTTTGCGTAGGAAGTCTACGTGATCGATGGTATCAAACGACAACTTCATCAACAAGTACAAACGGCTTTTGATCAAATTGCTCGTCTTAATGAAGCTAAACAACAACTAATTCGAGTATATTTTATTGAATTTAGAAATGCTTTCTCGATAGTTAATATTATTATATAATTTAGGATTTACAAGATAAGCATACAGCTTTTGGTATATGTGAAGAAAATTTACAATTAAATGAATTTTCACCAAATATTAGTTATAAACCTGATCCATGTCGACCAATCAAAGGACAAATAACACCAGAAGAATGGCATGCTTTTTCGAAATATAACAAAGATCGTGCAGAAAAAGAAAGTATAAAAAAGAAAGAAAACTAGAGTTTCTAGAAATATTTTTCATTGAAATGTTTTTTTTTTGAAGTGTATGAATCCGTACGTCTTCGTGAAAGTATATTTCATACAATGGGTCAATCAGCTGCTGATCTTGAATCACAAGGAAAAACAAGTGAATATGCATTACGAAAACGTCTTCACGAACTTGAACGAGCACTCAAAGAACTTGAATGGCAAAAGAAACAAGTAAGTCTTTTTTTCTTGAAATGCGATCTTAAAATTTTGGATGCTCCTCACAGACTTTGATATACGGTCTAAGACCGTCTATGAATAATAGGGAGATAAAGCAGCTTTCTTATGATCAATAACAGCAGCTACATCGTATTTTATATTTTAACCCGGCAGGGACTGTACTAAAAGCTTTTATTTTTAGATTCATGAATTTTTCTTATTGTGTATTTTAGACGGAGGAAGAAATCCTTAGTAATGAAAATGATATTGATCGTTTAGAAAAAGCGATTCGAGGTAAAAGATAAATGTTTTGAAAATATTATTGCATTAATTATTTTATTTTAGATAAAGAACCATTAATTAAATTAGCAATGACACGACAAGAAAATCGTCATAATAGACCTGGAATGGATTTAGTTCGTGATGAAGTTTCATATGGAGTATATTTATTTATTTATTTATTTACTTATTATTGTGCTTATTTCATATTTTCTATCTAAAATTTAGTTATGTGATGAAATTCAACAATTAAAAGCTGAAAAACGTGCCTTAGAAGATCAATTAAAACAAACAAAGTAATAGAAAATTTATAAAAAAAAAAAAATTCCTTTTTTTTGTTTTAAATTAATCTCATTTAGACATGCATGGAATATTCTTCAACAACAATTACATAGAATTGAAGATGAAATAGCTGTTAAATCAAATTCAATAATGCTTGAAAAACGAGCATTAGAAACTCGACGTCGTCTTAATACAGAAATAACACCAAATACAGAAACTGATCGTAATCGACAATTACTTAACATGGATTCAAGTGGCCTTCGTCCAATTCTTCAATCAATCTATTAAAAGTTTTAATCGAATTCATTATAGACATATATTTTTACTGTTCCATCTATAAGTGTGCATGTGTGTGTTTCTATATCCCATTTTATTCTTAATATGTCAAAAAGAAAAATGAATAACGCGAACAAAAATAATGCGATAACAAATTTTTAGTTAGTTTTTTTTATTTGAAGTGTCATTTCTTTGAATTGATATATATGAAATTGAACAAGTATGATCAAGAAATAAACACATGAACAAGCACTAATAAGAACAATCCATAAATCTGGATAACGTACGGGTGGTTGAATATAAATAGCAGCGATTAACAGTGGACATGTTATTATTATGCATAAAATTGACTAAAAATTTAAAAAAAAAGAAAATGCAATTCAATATAAGAAAAAATGATTTGAACATACGAAAAATAATTGAATTATTGATATTTGATTTAAATGTATGTATAATCGTTGAAAAGCAAGAATAGAAAAACCCAAGAATGTTAACCAGAAGATAAATACAAGATTATCTTTTATTATTAAAGGAAAGACGCTAAAAAAAACCAAATCTTTGTAAATTCAAACCTATGGATCCAGCATTGGATTGTTTCTTCTTATGATAAAGGTTCAAGAAATCTGTTCAGATTTATTATCAGTTTTCGCTCGAGACTATTGTCAACAGATAGAGCTCAATGAGTAAATAAAGAATAATTGAAGAAAATTTTTCAACCTCTTGAGTGAGCCTGCAGAAACTTGACAACATTGAGCAGATATCAGAAGTTTGTGTTATTTTAAAAATGGGCTTAAAATTTTGTGTAGAACTTCTGGATTAGGAGATAAAAGTCAACATTTTAGAGATCTGTAGACTAAGTTTAAACGAAATTCAATGTGTGAAAGTTTACGTAAAGTAGAAGCGACAATTATTTCAAATACAGCGAATGAAAGACTATTCCTACAAAAAACTCCAATGTTATTTGGTCAAACTTAATTTTCGTGTCTCGATAAGGTCAGCTCATAACTTCTAAACTAGAAGTTCTAGAGAAATATTGAAACTATACTTGACAACAATAAATCATTTTAATTCGAACTCAATTATTTTCATATTTCTCCAAACTTCTTTAAGAAGCTGAAAACTAAATGATCATTCTGTCAAAGCATTTAAGAATTTCAGAATGTTTAAACAAAGTCTCTTCGACATACGAGTATTTCAAGATACAGATGCTTTTCTACATAAACTATAGAAAAAATGCATCTTTCGGAATACTCAAATCTTGAAGTGACTTTGTTTAAAGGTTCTAAAAATTTTTATGGAAAGCTAGTTTAGTTGAACTTTTCATGTAGGTAAAGTTTCTGGTAGAATTCCAAAATTATAATTTTTTTTTTGAAAATTATAATTTTGATATCTCAGTTTGGAAGACTCATGAATCGAAACTAAGATAGAGTTTGCAACTATTTACTAAGGTCTATCTAATGAACGTAGTATCGAGTGAGAAGAGTTTTGCGCTTGAAAGAGTTTCTTGATAAATATTTAGACTTGAACTTTTATAAATTACACATTTGCATTTCTTAAAATCGATATCAAAATTAGAAATCTTCATTTAATTTCTCTATAAAATTAATTTGAATTTCTTCATTGTTCAAAAAATTTCGTTTACAAGCAACCAAACTAAAAGTATTTAGAAGTATCAATCGTTATACTAATACAGATCGATTTTGATTTTCTTGTTGTCATATAATATCGGAAAAGTATCAAATTGCTTACCTAATCATAGCAAATTGTAGAAAAGCAAAACATTCAGCAGGATATGTTGCTGAAAGCAAAATCAATGGTCTATAATACATATTCATTTCTACATAAAATAATTTGCAAAGAAAATAATAGAATACATACAAACATGGAAGTAAAATTGTTTTTTCATGAACTTGGAATGAGAATAAATAGAAACAAAGAGAAACATTAAACTAAAAGATTGAAAAAAATAACAAAAGACTACAATCAGTATCATTATTCAAATGAATAGAAAAAGTCTTACAAGACTAATATAAAAATTTCGAACTGTTGGTCGACGAAAAAGCATATAACATGATGGTAAAATACTCAATGATGTTGTCAATAAACTAATTACTTATATAAATAAATAAACGAAACTTGAAAAACAAAGCAAATATTTACCATAATTTAGCTAATGTTCCATGATCAAATTTTGATCGTAGTTTAACAATTAAATTAATTGTACACCAAAAGTTGGCAACTTTATCCTAACAAACAGTTTCATATACAATTTTGTTTTTAAATAATTCATTAGAGAAAAAGTTTACTTCATATAAACCTCTTTCGAATGGAAAAAGTCGTTTAATGACAGCAAGAGGCTCATGTCTTAATACTGGTATCCATATGATAAAAAATGTTGTAATTACAACGAGCCCCAATGATAAAAATGTCTTCAATCTTAATTATTAATAAAAAATTATTATCAGTAAGAGAAAAAAAACAACCCATCAAAATTAGTGGTCCATCCAGAGCTAGAATGCTATATATGTCGTTTGATACACTAGTCATAATGCTTGACAGATATTATAGGATATTCTAAGACAAACTTATGCAAATCGTTTTCTAAACTTAACTTGATATAGTTATAATTGTTGTTCATTTTTCTATAACCCATAGTTTTTATTGTTGCTTTTTTCATAGCTAAAAATGGTCGGTTTTTTTATGTCCAGACTATTTCTTGATTATATGATATTCTAGTGTATTTGATTCTATGTCATAGAATAAGTGAATATGAGCGTGAAACTTCCTGAAAACTTGCATTCTATCAAACTCAATATGTTTCATATATAATATCTTTCGAAGCCGCAAGGACATCGAATTTTAACACATAAAAATTTTCATAAAACTTGGTTTCTTATATACCATTCGATGTGCCGCAATTTATTCTACAAAACCACATATATAGCATTGTAGTTCAGAATAGGCTATCAAATCCAACAGGATCCTTTTTGTTTCATTTACTTGATCTTTCTTTCTTCAAAACAATATGCTGATAACAGATAGACAAATATAGGTATAGCATGATAAAGTTCCATTTGTTTGTAATTAAGTGATAATGTAAAAAACATAGCTGAAAAAAGAATTAAATTTTTTTGAGTAGCCATTACAAATGTAATCAATGCTAAACCAAGGCTTATAGAATTATATTGAAAATGACCATGATCAATTAGAATTAAAAGAGGATAAAAAAGATTTGTTAATAATACTGTAAACTATAAATACAAACAACAAGTTCAAAAGAAATAAATATTATAAATAAATAAATGTATTAACTTTTTTTGTTGCGGTATTCTTATTAAGTAAATCCGATCGATAAGCATAGAAAACAGCTGGATAATAGATAAGAAGATCAGCAATAAAGACTAATATGCAAAGTAAAATATTTCACTTAAAATGATTTCATTTCAATTTTTTTCTTTTACTAACCAGTATAACGCATGAATAGTTTATGTGAACTACTTTCATGTCCATGTGATTCTTTCAAAGCACACCATATAGGATTAATTTTATTCGAACTAAGAATAAAAAGTACATTTCAAATTAAATATTATTTAAAAAATTACTTACATCCATCCACAAATATATGAATGATAAGCTGTTAATAATGGGTAATCTAAACCCCAATAAGTTAAATTATTTAAAGATGAATCTTGATACCTGAAATAAAAATAATGATATAATATTTTCGTTTAATCTATTTTTATTCTTAACCATTCATTAATCGGTAGATTGACTGTTAATTCCATCCAATGACGCTGTGCTTCGAAATCTCCAAACATTGGTGGTTTGTTATACCCTTAAATAAAGAATTTTAGAAATATTAATAATAATTCTAAATTAGGTTCAAGTGGCGAAGCCTGACAAAATAGGCATTTTCCATACACTAAGCAAACATTTGATTTTTTTTATTTAGAAAGACCTTATTTTCTGCTCAATATTACTTTATTATCTCTCTAATGTCAATATAATCTGAGAAAATCATCAAGAGAACCTTACTCTCTCTCTCTCAATATATATATACTATCTTCAATAAGAAGACTAATACATTGCACATCATTCGATGCTGATTCTCAATATGAAGTTAGTCGTCAACAAGTGTTTCTATGTAAGTTGATACATTTTCTGGAAGTGTTATCCAATTAAAAGTTGTGAAACATTGCACAAGCTCATCTATACTGAACACATGTTTCCGTAAAAGCATTTTATGGCAAAGAAGATTGATTTATTTCGAATCTCGAGCAGATAAAAGCAAATGTTGTTTGTTTACGAATTGATAGAGTGACAGACACGATTTCAGATTATATTTAATTTTCTTAGAAATTTTTTTTTCTAATTATTTTTTTGGTTCACAATAGCAGTGTTTTGTGGCTAATATTAGCAAGAAAAACAATAACTTTTATATCATTAAATAACCCATAGATCAGAGTATATGTTGCCCTCTTGAAGTCGTCAAAAATTACACTTTCAATTTTTCATCAGACGTTCTCCGAGATGCCAATAGTGGATACTTCCTCAATCTTGAAAAACTTTCGTTTTGTTCCACCGGAGTTTCAGCATTTTATTATTGTTTTTTTTTGCTCAGCGATTCCAAAAACCGAACCTAATTTTTTAGCTAAAATCGTTTGGTCCACCTCGAAAACCATTCTTGCAATCCTTACGACTTTGGGACACTCGTAAATAATTGAAAGCATTTACCTGAATAAGGATATAGAGCAATAATCCATCGCATAGCAATAGCTGATGAAAGTAATCCGAGAAAAAGAAGGTAATCCATTCTGAAAGCAAAAATAATCCGATGTACATTTTAAAAGTAAGAAATTATCTTTAAGATATATAGAAAACACAAAATTTATTTTGTTGTAGTTATTTTATTTTATCTGACTATATTATCTAGTTAGTTTTTACATGAGCATATACATAAAGTCAACAAAAAAAAAGAAAATAAAGTAAAAAAATATATATATCTGATAAATATGCATAGTTTATTCATCATTTTCTTCTTCTTCTTCATCTTGTTCTTCTTCATCTTCTTCATCTTGATCTGGTTGAACATCATTTGAATCCTCATCAATTGTCGAAGAATTTTCATCTAAAATTTAATGAAAACAAAAAAATTCTGTGTTTTTTTGTATTAAAAATTTTTTTTAAAGATTTACTTTCATCTTCTTCATGTTGTTGACGATAAGTTAAATCTGCTAATTCATTTCCTTTTAAGTCTTTTGCTTTTAATTGACCAATACAAAATACATTAGCTGGACAATTATTAACATCAACCATTAGTTTAGCTCGACACATAAGCATTTCAAGTGTACGTTTTAATGCTGGTATGAGTCGTATACACGACATATGTTTTTGATCTTTTTTAACCATATTACAAAGTGATTGTAAAAGTCGAGTTGATTTTTGTAATATAGTTAATAATTGTTTTATTCCATATGTATCATGTAAAAAATAAAGATCTAATGTTGGCATTGCACGAGCTCGAAATACATCAATATATTGTTTAGAACAACGAAGAATAGTTGAAATAACCTAAAAGAATATGTATCACAAAGTTTACTAAGATCAAATAAAGACAAAAGTACTAGGATATTGAGAATACTATTAAAATAAAGCAAAAAGGAACTGTTTGCGCAATTCCCACGGGATTAAAATGTGATATGCCACGTAACTGCTGTTGCTAATCAGAGAGTGATTGTTTTCTTCGATCTATTTTGGGACACATTTCTTCACTATACTTTAACTTGAGTCTTCAGAAATGGAATAAGGAAGAAGTAACCGAGGTGTTATTGATATAAGGTCTGTGAGAGAGAGTGTCGGTTCAAATATCTACCTCTACACTGCAACACTCCTTGTAAATCGTTTTTACAAATGATATATAATTCGAATCAGCATAATTAAAATTGAAACACAGATGTTGACTTTTTTTTTTCTCTATAAAGCTCAAATCTTCAGACCATACAATAAATATCAAAATGAAGGTATGCATTTATTATTCGACTGTATATTAATCGAACTCGGCACACATTGAATATTGTTGTACTTATGTCTATTGATCTCCGTTGATGGCTGGCAAATTGATGAGTACCTAATTCGAGAATTATATTTGCTTTCTGTTTCTTATGTAGCAATAAAACTTTCTCTGATAGTTTTTGATAAACGAATAAAAAATATAGCAATTATTTGAACATTTACTCTATGTAATTTTGTTTAAATGAATCCTTCGTTTCTGATATGGTTGATTCGGTTGTATGACTTTTGAATAAACGAGACCTATGGATAGACGCTTCTTTTTCGTTGATTTTGCTATTTAGTATCATTAAACATAGAAAAGTTTCAAACAACAAGATACTTCTCTGACATTGAACACTTGTTTTGCTATTATATAGTGATATTACTCATGTTTTATAAATATCTTGAGAAAGAATCAACATTTGACAAAGGAAATCTGCAGGGACGTAAAACTCAACTAAATTATCTTGACGATAAAATGGTCAATTTTTCTTATAGATATTGGATGGAAGCCTTTGAAAACCATTTCTCAATCAAATTTAAGTTTCAATGGGATTGATCGATAGCGAAAACATTTCTTTGTCGATATATACAAGATTGACTTCTCTAGTTTATTCTATTCAATAGTTATAAATGGTTTATTAGTTGTTTTTAAATCGATTAACTGATCACTAGTCAACCAAAACTATATTGAGTTTGGGAAATTCGACTGTACTGAGTGGAACCGCGATGTTTATGTCTAGTTTCGATATGATTATTAGCTGCTAGATCACGATTTTTATAATTCAATTTCTACAAAGCTTTCAATGTCAGAAAGAGTGTTTTCCAGATCTTGCCATTCTGACGTGGAATCGTTTCAGAACGAAATTATTCGATTGAGCTTAGTCGGATACCACAAATACCATACTCTCTAGAATGGCTAGTAATCAGTAGCCGACTTGAAAGCGTTTAATAAAACTATTGAATGGAATATATTAGATGATTCAGCTCTGCTTAGATCGACAGAAAAGGATCCTTGCTATCTATTGACAAAATAAAGACTTACTCTTGGCTCAGAAATCATGATTCAAAATTTCTACGTAATGCCTACAGAAAAAATCGACTAATTTATGGTTGAAATAATTTAGCAGAGCTTCAAGTCTCCTTAAGTTTCGAACTAGTTTTATGTTTCAGATATTCAGAAAACATCGAGTTGTATTATATTTGAGTGCCACGAATAGTTTCAAATGACTCGTCTATCTTACTTACCATAGCATTTTTTGCATATATCTGATCAATAGTAACAAATGATACAAATTTACGAAATAATTCATTAAGTTCTAACCATTCTGTACATATATTTTCGAGTTCATTTTTTTTCTTTGATTCATTAGGTAGTTTAATTGATCGAGCTTTAATTATAAAATGTTTAAAAAGACAACGAAAATAAACAATAAATGTTGATTTCATATTCCATGTTGATAAATCAACAATTGCATTATCTGATGTATCATCATCCATATTTTCATGATCATTTTTTGAACCTTTTTCAGCTCGTATAAAAATTTTTAATGAATAATGTATTAATCCATCAATAATAGGATTTATTTCATTTGATTCAACATGAAGTAAATATAAATTAAGAAGTATTTCAACAGCTCGTACAGATGTTATTTTTGATAATGATATAACTGTACTTGAATTAATATCAAGACTACATTCTTCTAAAAATTGACGACATTTAGCAGTAAATATTTTGTAAAGTTCATCCTTAAAAAGAAAACAATATATATTGAAGTTAAAAAATGAATACAATAATAATTTTTCAAAATACGACAAATGTCATGTTCTTATGTTAAAAAAATAAAAAAACATGAGAATTTATGATCTCATAGATGGAAGAATATCCATGCTTTTCAGCTACCTTGTGGTATAGGTTGCTATCTAGCAGCAGATTAAATAGCCTGATACTTTGCTTACAACTATAACTAGCTATAAGTCTGAAAAGAAGGTAGTACTTAATAGATATAGAAGACTATATAAAGAAAACCAATCTTTATTAGTTATTGGCAATATAACTAATTTTAGTTCTAAAAGTTAATATCGGATCAACTGAAACACTAAAGATGAAGCTGTTTTATTACTTTATAACGTCAAATACTATTATAGAAGCTCTGTACAAAGTTTTTGTTTTTATCTTCTAAGAAATATGTTTGAACTGATTTTAGTCTCAGAGATTAGGGCTACGAGAAAAAAGGTGTTTCCATCGGAACTCAAGAAATTTCCCTTCAGAAAATCGATTTTTTTTCTCAAAAAAGATACTTTTTTAGAGAAATATATAGGCACGAGTATTAAGATATCTAGTTTGCAAATTCATGAGAAAAGCTCTCGATTTTTAAAGGTTTTTTCAGAAATCATGATGAATTTCTAGTACTCTCTAGTGAAGAGACCAATATCATATTCATAGTAAAATCTCAAGTGCCAACTCAGTTACGGCCCCTTATCGGCGCCCAACATGTAACTAGAAGATCACCCCATAACAGTCTAGATCAATTTTTAATTGGTACGTAATATAATCATATTTGATGCTCATGTCAGAAAGCTCCTCAGATAAGTTTACAAAGAAAAAACTCTCAAAAACTTCTTTTGCATCGATTGTTAAATTCTGAACAAATTTCTTTTTGATAACGTTCGTTCTAGTGAACTGTGATTTTTAATCTACTAGATATTAAGAAAAACCGTCGAAATAGGGAATAGTGAATTCGTGCCTATTAACATGAGAAAGAAAGTATTTACTCAAATGTGAGAGATGCTAACAAAAAAGTAAACAACTTAGATTATTATTAATCTCTTAAAAAACGTACTTGATGTGTTTCTTCATCAAATAATTGAATAAATAATTCCAGAGATTGACAAAGACGAGTTGAATCAATCAAATTAAGAATATCAGTAAATGAAAAAAATTTTTTTAATATTCGTACACGTTCATTTTCTTGTTCATGTTCTTCTTTTCCTTTTTCACTTATTTTTTTTGTTAATAAAATATGATTCATAAGAATTTTTAATAAATAATTTAAACATGTTTCATCTTTATCTAAATCTTTTTGCCAATTTATTTGTTTAACTTTAAATAAACTTAATAAAAAATAAAAACTATCAAGTGCATAATAAAAAGCACGACTAGCTATATCACGACTTTGATCACGATCAATTAAACAATTTATATCATCATCTGTATCCATGGATTGATTTGCACTATCATCATTTGTTGTACTCATAAACATATGAATATATTTCATTGTATTTATAACTTGTATTAAAAACATTTCAAAATATTCTAATGTCATAAAATCAAGTTTATCATCATTATTTTCTTCAAAACTTTCATCACTATTATCATTATCATTACGTATTTGTTGAGTTTGTAATGTTGTTGGTGCTGTATGAGTATCAAAACGTTTTTTAATTATACCTATGGATGATATTGATAAATTATTATTTGTTAATAAACGATGAAGATCACCCATTAATGTTGATACACAACGAAGAATAATTAAACGTTGTTTGCCATTACTTTTTGGTAAACGTTCAAGATATTTTGATATATATGGAAATGTTATATATTCAAGAGGACGTATATCAAATTCATATATATCAAATATTGATGATTGTTTTGATTTCGTTTCTGAATAAAAACAAAAATATATATTAAATTATAATGAATGCACCATAAGTAATGCTCTCCGAGTCATATTTATCTTGCCTATGTTTCATTGTAACATTAAAGGTTTTTTGAATGGTAAGTTTTATTCTTTGATATTCATTGTACAGATTGATATATTTTGAAGACTTAATATCTTTTTCTTCAACAACTTCTACTCATGAGCGTAAATTTCGAGGTAAGCATCAATCGAATTTCGAAAACATATCACTTGATACTGTGAATCAGGGCTCGAAACGGGCCAATTTTTGATGGCCCAGCCCGGCCCATACCGGGCCAAGAATAGTTCATGCCCGCCCGGCCCAACCTCTTCTATATTAGAGCCCAGCCCGGCCCGCCCGGCCAATTAACCGTGCCCGCCCGGCCCGGCCCGAATAACAATGGCACTATTATCATTATAGTTCTTTTATAAAGAAGATTTTCACGTGACGGAACCCAATATCACTGGATTTAGAGATGGTTATTTCTCGTTGATTTATTTTAATTTTAAACTTGTTGAATTTTAAATGAAGTATAGATTTGAACGTTGAAGAGTTAAATAAATTTTAAATTTGATTTATTTATATGAATTTCAATAAGTGAAATTTAAAATAAATTTAACTTTTTGGATGTCAGAACTTAAACTAATTTTAAATGTAAATTTACAAATTTACATTTAAAATAAATTTAAACTCTCGTACCTGAAAACTTAAATTAATTTTAGATTTAGATTTTTAAAAATCAATTTTTGGACTTATTAAGTTTTTATAAATGCAAAGTTGATCATCCCTACACTGTTGTAATTTTTCAAATCATTATAAGAACGTTACTTATGATCATGATGATCACGACTTGAATAAGGTTAGACAATTCTAAGTCTTCAGAAAAGCCTGGTAGATAAGTCGAATTACTTACTGAATCAATAGAGTAAGATGAATCCATCGACACTTCAACTTCTGGAATACTGCTATTTATTAGCACGAACCTCACAGCAGTGAAACACCAACTGGTCAAATTCAATGAGTCACATGGGTTGATATTTCTACTTTCTCTACTAATTTTAGTATACAGCTAAAACTGTTCCACTTAAATACTGTTTATGTGGCTTAATACAGTTAATAGTTCACTCCATTTTCTCTGTGAATGAGGTGTTATCATACTGAATAAATACTTTGTTTTCATTTATTGCCTAAATGAAATTTCCAAAGAGTTCGCATGGTGAAGCTTCTTGATCGTTAACAATCCTGAGATGTACAACCCATGTAAAAAAATGTCAATGCAAAACTTAAATAAACCGATTATTTTTTTTTTTTGTTAAAAATCGATTAAAACGATGCCACTTAATTCTTACTGAAAATGAATTTTTCAACATGAAAAATAGATTTCATTTGATTTTACTATTTTAAATCGATTTTTAGTCGAATAATAAAGTCCTATTGATTGAAATTGGTTTTTAGAAACTGATCAAGAATGATTAAAATCAAATGATATCTATTCTTGAACCTGTCAAATCAGATTCTGACTGGATCCAAATGGTGTCATTTTAATTGACACTTGTTCATAAAAAAATTAATTCTAATCTAATTTATCGATATTTTTTCTTACACAAGTCAGTATTAATTGATGTCTATCTTAACGCCTGCTATACGTGTCAAAGTCTAGGCTAGTGTGATAATCACGATCTGCTAAGCTAGGCAGTTCGAAAAAAACAGAGGTTCGAGTTCCTAACTTAAAACCCGAGAAAAACCAGTTTTACGACCACCACCATTTAAATCAAGTGAAAATTAACTAGTTACTCTAATTTTGATTAAATGATGACAATTCCACCTTAATCGATTAGCTAGGAAGAAGTCGACTAGAATCATTTTTTTTTGTCTTGTGTGAGAAATTTCCCTTGCAAAACAGAAATAAAGTTCGGGCCGGGCGGCCCGGAAGAATTTGAAGCCCGCCCGGCCCACCGGTCTTCGTTGAGGAGGCCCGCCCGGCCCGGAATAAAGACCTTCTCGGGCCGGGCTGGGCCGGGTCTGGGCCGGGCCGAGCCGGGTCGGGTCACCGGGCCGGGTGGCCCGTTTCGAGCCCTGCTGTGAATATCAAAGAATAAAGTTTACAATTCAAAAAACACCACTTGTGTTAAATCTGATTTATTAGTAAGACATATAATTGATTTCAATGTAGGTCTCTATTGTTAAAATACGCGCTGAGTTTTAGAAGACTTCGCGTTCAATATTCTACAAGACCGTCTATTTAATCTTCTTATTTGTAAAAAAAAAGATTAAATAATATTTTCCTATCCTAACATATGCTAATTCCGAGTAAAAACCAACAAGAGATTCAGTTATTTATTTGCTAAGAGTTAAGGCTTTTAAAGAAATTTTGTTTGTCATTTCTTGCCTACAAAAAGCTCTAGCTATTCCTTAAATGGCAATAAACTTACAATAATCAACTACTATTTAGAAAAATTATTTGCTTTTCTAGCTATTTGGTGATGTCAAATTAACTGGTTTGAATACTGGGAAAATTGGATGAAAGTTGGCAGCAACTCAATGTTTTTAACAAATACTTCAGCAAGTTGTCAAGACTAACTGATACTAAGTTCAAAAAAATTGAATGATTCAACCTGTAAATATAAATTATTAATGATACACTTACTAGGTTTAACTTTTGGCTTTGATACTGTTGTTGTTCGAGATTTTTTCTTATTAGTATTCTCTTCATCTTCACTTTTACTTTCTTCATCTTCTTCATCATCTGTTATTGGAACAGATCGTCTAAATATGATATGTTTTTTTTTTGTTAAATTAACAATCGTATCAATACAAATTTTTACTTAGTTCCTTGTTGTTTATTTGGTTTTACTTTATTAATTGTAGTTTTTTTTGGAAATTTTTTAATTTTATTTCTTTCAATATTTGAACATATTGGTTCATAAAATCCATATTTTTGTCGACATATTTGTACACAAATAGAAAAATGTTCTTCAATATCAGTTAATTGTTCAAGTCTTGTTGTTATTAATGATTCATTTTGATTGATAACTAATGAAAGTAAATTACATATTTCACGAAATAATCGACTAGCATAATAATAAACATCACATAAAATATTTAATGATAAATTTGAAAGTTCATTTAATTTTTCACGATAATATTCTAAAGATTTTGGTACATCAATATCAATATCATTTGATGATACTATATCAGGTATACGTAATGAACATTGTAGAACAGCATCAACTTGATCTATATTTGACCATGATGCTAAAACAATTAAACGTAACATTGGTGCTAATAATATTGGTGATGAACATGTATCACTCATTGTTCGATATTGATGATATTTCGAAATAATATTTGCTAAATTAAGTATTGCTGCATTTGTTGTTTGTCCATCGAAATTATAGACAATACGAGTTTGTTGTGCAAAACGATTAATATCAAGTGAATTTGATGTTAATGATACATTACTATCATTAAGAAATGCTTCTTGAAACATATCAGCTGCTGATATAGCAAACCAATTAATAGATTGTGTATCAATTTGTGTTGATGATGAATTAAATTTTTGTTGTTGTTTTTGTAATTTTTGAGTATTAGCTGAACCAAGTATTGTTGCTAATTCATCATAGAATAATGCTAATGATTGTGGACATTGCATACCAGATGATTGTACAAGACCAAGAAGATCTTTTAATTCATTTTCATGATTAGTCATTTTTCCATCAAGACGAATATTGCCTAAATAAATTGATCAATCAAAATGTTCGATTTTTCGCTGAACGTTTTATTAAAAAATATGATCATCAAGAATATGAAATAATTATTAAAATTAAAATAAATCTTTCAAATGATATTCAGAATTAATTTAATCCTATAGGCCCTAGAACAGCTGTAGAAGAGTCACTAATAAAGAAATCTCCTAAAAAGAATATTAGTCTCTCTTATATGTTAATGGCCTAGAGAGCTCTATTTGATGTTCTGCTATTCGTTCAGAGTCATTTTAGTGACTTGACTGCCTATGTGATAGAAAAAGTAGATTGAATGGCATGAGAACCATTATCTTTTTCTTTTTTATGACACTACTGAATGGACAAAAGCATCTTTTAAAGCCTCTTATTTCAGAGAAGGAACGATTGAATGAACTATTCTTTTTTTACTAATCTATAGCTCATGAAGTTTACTACAAAAGATGTTTTTGAAGCTCTAGGATCCTATGCATCATATAGTTTTCGTCATCGGTCTACACATGGTCACTGCAGTGACTTGTACGGAATAAAAAGCTAATTCTTTTTATATTATGTAGAAGGAAGATTTCTCTATCAACAATAGTATTAATATACTCCTAACTAACGGCAAAACATCTTCGGATGTCTCTTTTCGATTTTAATGATTATTTTGCTCAACAAGGCTACATATTATTCTAATAAAAGTCCTAAAAAGATAAGGGTATCGGATTTTGTTCTGAAATGTGGTATCCTATAGAAAACTCAACTAGACTAACTTCAATAAAATATTCAAAAGTCTAGAACAAAATCTTGTCGAAATACGAAGCTTTCCAAAAACACATTTTGCATCCACTATCCATGAAAAGGATCAATATTTTAAAGAGATTTTGTTGAAAACTAGTGAATATTGTTACGGAAATTATTCTAGTTGCATTCTCTACATGTTGCAAAGTTTTAGACTCAAACACAAAAATACGATTTTTCCGAACCCCTGAAATCTCTAGAAGGAAATTCGATAGTTTAGTCGAATCTTAATAAGAACACAAATCATTTTGGGATTTTATTACAATATTTAACGATGTTGTTCTTCACTAATTATTGGATTTGTTATAAATCGTTAACTTGTCTTTCTATTTTCTTCTGTGAAAAAAATAATATAAAACAAAAAGAAAACTTAGAATTATATAATCGTAGAGAACTACCAAACTTCAATAGATCGATTAAATTCTTAGATTATTTTTTATCTAGGGAGAATTGTTAATCCATTGAAAAAAAACCGATTGATCTTACCATTGCTTGGTGCTTGTGTTAAATCTGCTACATGTCTAAGTAGAAGTGAACGAAAAATTTCAATAGCACCAAAAACACCACGAGCTTTTTCTTTATATGGTTGAATTAAACATTTAGTAACAAACATATTCAGATCATTATATACACCTGTATTATACATTGAAGCAAGAATTGAAAATACCAAACGAAGATGATCACCCTAAAAACAAAATTATCCATTACTGTTTAAAATTGTTTCCAAAACAAATCGAACAAAACATACACGAAATGTATCAATATATTCAAATAAATTTTTTAAATATGATTCACAATTTAACATTTTTGTTTTATATCGATAGGAAAAACGTTTTAATAATTTAAGTATATGTAATCGTTGTAAATATCGATTTTGAAATAAGATTGCCATACGAACAAGTACATTTATAATTTGTTCATGAAAATCTGGTAAATATTTAACTTGATCACTAATTGCAAAAAGTAAATCAATAAGCATAAAAGCTAATTGTAAACCAATTTGTAAATGAATTAAATTTGTTGATGATAATGAATTATTTGTTGTTGTTATTGTTGGAAAATTACCAAATGATAAATGTTGAAATATAGCAATAGCAAAACGAAATATATATTGAGCATATTTAATAACAAATGATATATTAGATGTTAAATGTAAATTAATTGAACGTATTATTGATGAATCTTCACCAAGTTTTTTAATAAATGTTTTTAAATTAGTATAATATGAACGATTTGTAAGAAGAATACCAATAAAAAAATCAAATAAAAAAAAACTATTGATTTTTAAACATAAATCAGCAGTTATTGGATGTTTTTCTTGGCATGTACGAAAAAGAATACGTGATGAATGAAAATAATGTTCAAATCGTTCGAAAAGACTTTGTACTGGTTGAAAATTATCTATTGTTGAACTTGTTAAACGATCAGATCTAAAGAGATTAGAAATATTTTTTCATATGAGTTATTTCAATAAAATAGATTCAATAGAAATTTTTATACTTGAAGAAGACACAAAAAGATCGAGAAAATATTCATTCATTTTTCGATCGCTTGAAGACAACTGGTTAGAGTCAAATACAGTTAATGAAAATTAGATTTCTTCGACCTTTTCAAATATGTGTTTAGATTTTTCTTCTCAGGTAAGTTTGGACAACTATCATCAAATGGTTTTTCAAAGTTAAAAACAGAGTGGTTTTGAAATAGCGACTGTCGATTCGATTTAAATCGGACATTAATTCTGTCGGTTTATATAGATTTGCTATTATCATAGTTGTATCTTAAGATGAAGAGAATGACAAGGCTTCAAATATTTATAAAAAACACTATTCTTCCTAATATCTGTCTTCTATACAAAGTTTCAAGTCAACATTTTAAAATTAGCTTTCCTGATGTTACTGAGAAGGGCTACAACATTCATTCAAAAACTACCGTGAAGTATACCATTTACGCAGCAATAATCTAAGAGCACGAAGTCATTTCAGAATATTCATACATAGCTCATGTTGGTTAAAATAACGCAAATAGCCTCGACTCGAAAGGGATTTATCAGTTGAAGGACAGGCCGCCATGACTAAGTAGTTGTTTTGTTCGATACGTGTCCACAAGCCATGAAACAATCTTGAACAAATCGCTAAGGGTTATTTGTCTCAAATCATCCATAAGATAGCATGCTGACTATGTTATGATGTACGCTTGTCTTGTGGCTAGTATTATTTTAGTCAGTGTGTATGAAGATTTCAAGTAATTCAGCGGAAGGCAGGAATATTCTTCTTCTTTAGCTGGAGCACTTTCCTTATTAAGACAAAAAATAAACTTTAATTGAGTTTCATGTCATTTCAAAAACATTTTACACTCTCGATTTCTTTTTTCTTTGTAGACCTTGAAAATAGTCTCAATATACTTCCTATTCTAATAAATTGTCTAGATATTAATTATTCTGTTTATGAATTTTTCTTTACCTTCTACCAGATACAGTAGCAACATCACGAAATAGTAAAATTGTTTCAAACATATTAATTTTTGTTGATGTTTCAAATAAATAATTAAAACATTCAACTTTAACATCTAAGATACCTGTCATAATCATTGGAATAATTTTTTCACGTATACGTCTATCAGTTGATTCATTAAGTTGTATTGTTGTTAATGTTGATAAAACTTGTTTAATAACATCAATATTGGTTGAATCAAGTTTTTCCTCTAATTTTGTTACAATATCCGTTTGTAAATAATCATCACAAAAAATATCTGTTACAAGTGATATCATTTGACAACGTACATCATTATTTGTCACTAAATCAATAACATCTAAATAAAAATAAAGTAATTCTTTAGCATTTGTTAATTTTCCTATTGGAAGATAATGAAATGTTTGTAATATAAGACGTATCATTGATAATGGTAAATTTTGTACAATAACACGATCACCACCTTTATTATCAAAACGAACGAGACGTTTAAGTAAATATTTAGCTAAAAACATTTGTAATTCATCAACACATAATAATATACGTATAAGACTATCTTGTTGTTGAGAACGAAGTGGTGAAACATCATCGGTACTTGATGTTGGAAGTAAAGATGAACGAAATATAGAATCATTGGAAAAGAAAGATATTAATTCTGTTTCAAATTGTTTTAAAGATATTGGTGGTAATGCTGTTGTTGTTGTTGTTGTATTGCAATTCGTGTTTGATGATGAACGTAAACGTTGTGATAAATGTTTGGCCAATAGACCTTGATCGACTTTAAGTTCAAGCTAAATAAAAAAAAAAAAAAACAAAATTCTAATGAATTAAGAAATACTGATTTTATTTCAGTTGAGACAAATTTTCTTTGAGTTTATTTTATGTTCTGAGTATCATTTTCATTTGAATCATACAAACATAGTGACTGAATTTTCAACATGTTATAAGAAGACACTTTTCCTCATGTCTATATAATGTTGAAAAAACTAATAATAGCTATTTGTAAAAGAGGTATAAATACATATGTACAAAATGATCTCCGATCTCGCTCATGTCTAGATACCATTGGTCGTATAAAGATAAAAAAGAACAACAGAAGTCTTAAATGTTTACAAGTAAACATTTTTTTTTTGTGTACTTTTGACCACAGTCAAAACTAGCGGCATAGCCAGGAATTTTTTATTTCTTGGAGATTTACTAGCCAAAATGTTTTGAGGAGTAGGCAATCGTCACTATTTTCCAAAACTCGGTGGAAAATAATTTTCCGAGCCGTGTACAATCGCTCCTGACTGAATACGTCGTTGGACTGAGTGGTTCAGTAAACTGACAATTGTCTCATAAAACAAACAGTATCTTAAAAATATTAATAGTATTTTTTGAGTGCTTTTGCGGATAAAATTACAGGCTTGTGATCGTTTTGAAAGCATTCATGTCATACATGACTGAAAGAGATGATTGGTCGATATAAACATTGAAAACTGTCTCGTTGTTTCGTTTTTTTTGTTTTCAATTCTCTAACTCACATGTAATTCATCATTGTTATTCATATTTTCTTCATCAGCCATTTTTATTTCAAGTCCACATTCATCAAGTATACGTGTTATAAACATATTTGTTGCTTGTGCACTATGTTGTGATTGTTGTGGTGGTGTTGAACTATATTCTTGTATTCGTCCAAGTGATTGAGTTGATTGTTGTTGTGCAACTTGTTGTGTAGCACGAATTTCATGTTGACGTAATAAACCCATTTGACGATTCATTTTCTTTTGTTTTGTTTTTTTTGACAATCTAAATTTTACTTTTTTATTTATTTGAAAAATTTTTATTTTTATTTTTATTCATTGCAAAAAGTCAATAAACTTATGATTTTGTTTTTTTTCTTGTGAATCATTATTATAAGTAACAAGAATACAAATCAAAAAGATATACGTTTACGTGTGTACTAAATAAAATCTAATCCAACAGAAAACTGTTTTCATATCTATTTCATCTAATACACACCAATGTATACAAAAAAAAAAGAATTCACACAAATATATGATAAAAACAAAGAATAAAAAACATATGTATAAGTCGAAATCGATATTCGTCAGAAGACTTGCCAACTGAGCACAATTATGACTAGAATACAAATGGCTGACTATATTCAGCTCAATTAATAATACACTAAAACAAAAAAAAATACTTTACCAACGGAAAAATCTAATAGAAAACCTTAAATAAGATTTCATCTATCTAAATCGATCATTGATGATGATGAATAAAAAACAAAACAAAACAAGGAGATTCGAACAGCAAAAGAAAAGAAAAATAACAAAACAATCACAATGGATTAAATGATATAGCGTATTCATTGAGGTAAGACAAATAAATCAATAATGATTGCTATGTGGTTTTCTTGCAAAGATATATATTCACTGTTATAGAGAACACTTGAAGAAATAGTCAATAACTGAACAAAAAAAAAACAAACTAATTAAAATGTATTCTTCGATTTCGATGACAAGTTAAAAAAACATCAGATGATTAAATAATGCATCACTGTTACCATTGCATAATTATGAATTGAGCACATATATATATACATGTCAGTATTTGCTATTTTCTTAAACCTAAAATATAGAATCGAAATAAAAAAAATTAGAATAATGAGTTTTTAAGATTGAAGAAAAAATGAATTGACGATTAAGAGCAAGCTATATAGAAAGCAGAGTATAATTCAAATAGAAATCAAATGATAATTTTTTGAAATTCAACAATGTTAAGTTTCTGCTTTTTCTATAAACATACAACTCATCAAAATGAATTTGGATATTTGCGGCAAGATGAAAAACAGGACATTCGAGTAAATTATTTTAACATTTTTTGCTTAGCTTGATGGAAACAGTGAGAATAGCCTTAATATTGAAAAACGAATGAGCATAGGTAAAAGCAAAAAACAAAGAAAACTACTCGTTGTATTATTCATATCCGAACAGTCTGTCGTTATTATCTCAATTGTCAATGACTAAACTGATTGATCCTATAGTTTGTTTAAAAATAGTTCCTTACGAAAAACAAGTAAATCTTAAATTCTGTAAGAAATTCAAATAAGCAAAATATGAGAATGTTGTTACGAATACTTCCTATAGATTTAATAAACTAACTAACTCTATGCTTATCATTAACTTTGTTAATGATAATATTTAATTGTTTATAGTAGAAGACAAAGAAGGGGGTAATTTATGAGATGCAAGGTTTGCAGCAATTAAAATCATTTCTTCTCCTTCACCTTCACAATTCGTATTATTTGTCTGTGACGATGTATTATTTTGATGGTCATCTGATAAATGTATATCTTCATTAATATTATACAATTTTGATTGTCGTTGATATTGTGGTGTTCGTTTATTTGATATTAAAGTAACATGTGATTTATCAGAATCTTCTTCATCTTGATTTATTTTGGTATAAGATTCTTGACATTGAAATTCCGATGGAACATGAAATAATTGTTGATGATCATTTAATTGATTATCATTCATAGTTGTATTATTAGAAGGTTTCGTTATTTTAGATGTTGAATTTATTGTTGATCGTTTGAATAAAGCTGATATTCTTGTTAAAAAATCATCTGATATATCATGTTGATGTTTATTTGCTTCTTCGTATTGTTTTTGTGCTCGAGTTATTCGAACTTTTTCATCAATAGCATGTTGTTGTGAAATAAGTTTTTGTCGATTTCGTTTTGCAAAACGATTATACCAACGTTCATCAATTAAAGTTTCTATTTGTGATTGTGTTTCAATCAGTTCATTATTTTCATTTTGATTTTGTATATCATTATGTTTTATGATTTCTTCACATGATTTCGATTTTTCTATACGATGTGATGTAGGTAAGGATGTTCGTATATGTACAAATGAAGATATGTTTTGTTTCATACTAAGACGTACATGATCACTTGGATGTAAAAAACGATAATAAAGAAATTGAAATAAAATAGCTAACCAAAAACCACAACAAACAAATGTTACAAGTGAATATTTAAATACTACATTTGATTCAGCTGAATGTATTGCATATATGATTGACAAAGCAATATTTTCTATATAATATATTGTATAAAAACCAATGTAATGTGCACGAGTATCACCTTTGCGAAGATTCTAAGAGAAATAAAGAAAAAAAAATGCCTTATAGAAGAATCTTTCTCAATGTTAAAACTCTATTCGATTGACGATTGAATGTATAAGCCGTTTCGGGCTGGAAAACTTGCAAAAATGATAAGAGATAGAGAGCAGATATCCGATGGCCGATTCAGTTTGGAACTAGAAAAACTCGACTATCGGATTTTCTCTTTCTATTTTCTATCACCTGCGCAAGTTTTTTGACCAGAAGCTTACAGATTCAGGCGCCGAAATCATTTGTCCAAGTTATAAATATCTAAGTTATAAGCAATATTTCCAAACTTGCTTCTGAATCTTCATGTTCTTGAAAAATCAATGACGTAATGGACTAAAATTTATGCTGTAGTTATTCCAAGCATTGGTTTTAATCATGGGAAAAGATCAGGCCAAAAGAAGAAATATTTAGAGAGAAAGAAGATTTTGCCTCTTAATTTCGTCAGTGTCATATTTCATTACTTAACGACAAAAGATTTCACACTATTTTCGAGTAAACATTGTGTATCTATTATTATAAATCATGAGTATCAAAGAAAAAACGAAAAGAGCGAATTTAGAAGAACCTATTTTTTCCATTCGTTGTTCTAATTTGTGTGCAATGTGTTTGACGATATAGAGGATAAAAGAAAGTAAAGAAAAATCTCTTGCTTAATACTCTGAAAAGGAAAACAGCGTATCTTACCTGACTCAAAAGAATAGAGAACGAATGAAGTAAAACTAGCTTTAGTAATTACTTCGGTAACAGGCGTCTGAGAAACTGTCAACTCTATAATCACTAACTGCTGATCAATTGTTCAATGCATTTGAATGAATATGCACAGAAACTTCGTATGATCAAGAGAATGCAACGATGCTGAGTCAAAGTTTTCAAAAAAATAAGATAGATGATTAAATTAAACTTAAACTCAAGTATAGCAAATTTTAATTATTGAATATCTGAAAAATTCACTTTTAATTTTTCGAGAAAACTAAGATTCAGGAGTCAAATTGGAAATGTCGTTTATAACTTAGAAATTTATAATTCTTTCTAATCACAACTTGTACTAAAATCAAGTTCGGATAATTCATTCTTAGGATATGCCTTATCGAATCATCAATCGAAAATAGTTTTAGCATCTAGTGTGAGGTTTCTTCATAATAAATTCAAGAGACGAGTAACTTCATTGAATTTTACATTTCAATAAATAATCAAAAGGAAATTATTTATCGACTCAACTTTGCTTTATATAAAATTTCTCTTATAAAAATTTACCATATAACAAAATATAAATATATATGAACAAACAAGATTGTAACATTTTTCAAATATTGCTTCTCGTGGATTGTATTTTGTTTGATCACTAATACAAAAAATTGTACGCTACAAAAAGACAATAGAAGATTTTTCAAGGATATGATGAATAGAAATGTTATTTACAAAACGAAGAATCCAAAAAAGCATTGCAAACCAATGTGCAAATATTATAATCCAAAACCATGAACGAAATGTTGCCGCAAACATAGCAAGCGCCAATACTCTTGGAGTTATCAAGAACAAATACCAAAACTTAACAGAAGGAAAAATTTCATGATTCATCACAAACAAAACTAAGCAAAGAAATCTTTTCTTTGACTTATACCCATTGAATAATTGTACTCCACCATGATACTAATTGTGGAGCTGGTTTTCCTTTTGGCCAATCTTGTGGTGAATGTGTTAATTGCATGTGTCGCCAACATCGTGAATAACCACTGAGTGCATATGCTAATGATCCAAGTGAAGAAACAATTGATAAAGTTTGTTTTAAAAATAAATTATCAACTAAAAAATACAAAAAGGTATCAAATTTTAAAGCTTATGATCAATTATAATTACATTTCATTGATGTTGAACCAAGTCTTAACATAATATATAATTGTAATGTTACTTGTGAACCAGAATCCATAAAACAATCGAATACACGTAATAAAGCAATATCAGCATCAATTAATATTTGTTTAGTTAAATAAAAACGTTGCCATTTTGGATTATGACGTTTTTGAAAACCTTTCCATGTATAATATAAACCACGAATATATCTAAATCAATCATCCGTTTAAAATTGTTTTATTCTATTTTTAAACATATTTCTTCATCAATACTTTTACGTAATCTTGCATCAATGCTATTTAGAAGCGGTTCATATATTAGAATAAGACTTTATTGATATACAGTTTATCATGATCTGTGAAGGAGAGGTCTAAATTCTTGTCACTATACTTAAACATACTTTAGACATTATTTGAATTTGCATATGTATTACTAATACTCAACTCTGATCACTCAAGAATAGTTAAGCAAATGATTCGTCTCAAAAGAATTTTATTTTTAAATAAATCAAAACTCGGATTTTTTCATTTCTTTTATTCAGAATAATAATTTTGATTGCTACATATAAAAATTAATTAAATATTTTTTTCCTCTTACTTCACACATAAATCTAACTGTAATACAAGTATAATAATTCGAATAATCCATGTTAAAATATTTGCAGTTGCAGCTGATATTTTAAAATATTTTCCTTGAGCGAAATCTTGCCGTTGTTGATGTTGTTGTGCTTCTTTTTCTAATATTTGTAGTTGTGGTTTTAAATGTGATAAACGCGCATCAGTTTGATCTTCTTCATGATAATCATTTGTTTGACAATATGAATTTTCATTTTGATTTAATGGAACTAATTCTGAAGTTTTATTATAACTTTGTTGTTGATCTTTTTCAACTAGATCATCGGATGATGTTGTTTCATACAATGATGTATGACATTGTGTTGTTGTTTGTTTTTCATTTGCAGCTGCTTTTAATTGACTACTATCCATATACCAAACAAGTGAAAATATCGATAATGTTAAATTTGGTACAATAACACACATTAATGTTAATATAAATAGCCAATAAGCACCTTCTAAATAATACGCATGTGCTAAAACAAGATCAGTAACCATATCAAAAAAGAATGCAAATACACCCCAAGCATAAATAAAAACTTCAAAAACATTAATTGTCATTGTATTTGGTATAAAATCTGCAACCATGGTATTAGGTGATGGTTGAGAAAACAGATGTGATTGTAAATTATCATTAGTATTCGAATTTGAAATATATTCAACTGGATATGGTGGAAATACTGTTTCAGTCACATTTCCTAATGTTGAACGACGTTTCATCATATGAAGTTTTTCTTCTTCATTTAATGGAAAATGTATTTGTTGTGGTTTATTTTCATCTATTAATGATAATCTATTTGATGCAATAGACAAAGTTCTCAATGTATTATTATTATCTGAATTAATAATTGTATTATCATCATCATTAGGTGGTATGGGTTCAGGACAATGTGTTGTACCTGTTACAGAAATAATTTCTTTACCAAGAAGACCTAATGGATTAGCACGATATAATTCTTGATGTGTTAAATCTTTTATTGATTGAAAAAAATGAAGACGACCTGGTGCTGATGTAGACACTTGAGAAGAATTATTTGTTGTTGATTCAGTATCAAATGTATCTGTAGATGTTGTTTTTGAACGTGGGCGATTTAATTCTTTTGTGAAAGTTGTTGAAGAACTTAATTGTTCAGCTATAGAGGATACGGGCACTTCTTCACGTAGAGTTATTACAGTTGCTTGTTCGTCTATAAATTAGACAATATTATGGACAACAGTTTTAATTCATTGATATTATTTAAGTTTTCAGGTGACTGCAATCTCTCTCTCTCTTTGTAGTGCTATGTATAGATTCCATGTATTAACTACATGAGTGAATAAGCAAGATGCTCGAACAGAAAGTTTAGAAATGATGATTATACTTTCTATTATCGAACATTATTTTCAGTTAATAATAATAAATCAGACTAAATTTCTTGAAAAATTCAGAAATTTTGAAGAAAGTCTTTTCGTGATATGAGACTTTCAAAATATACATGATGTATGCACCATCCATGGAGAAGGGTCTATATCTTGAAAGTCTCACAGGTCGAACAGATTTTTTTCAAAACGTCTGATTTTTTTTTATGAAAGCTAGCCGAAAATAGATATAATAAAAATTCGATAGCTAAGTCACATATCAATAGGAATCGAAATACTTTTAGCATTTTTATTAGAATACTGTGTAGTATCTATAGGCGTAAAAACCATTGAAATCGGACAATGGGTAGCTGAAAAGCTTCTCTTGTCAGTGTTTTTAATGGCAAGTGTTCATTCTTCATATGTTAAGTCATGAACAACAACACACTGCTTGTTAAACTCATGAACAAATTTCAAGAAAAAAGTCATCACAGTGGCATTCTCATTAACATGTAGCACAAGAAGCATTATGTATACTAATCGAAAAAAAAAATATTCAGAGCTTCTCAGGATCGAAGTCAAAAAGTTTGACTCTACAGGTCTCTACTCTCGATATATATATATATCTATATGCGTTGCTTCAGACTGTACTCAAAAATCAGAGTGTATGCAATACATTTTGTTTGTAAGATGATTAAATGAATTTTTAAATAGTAAAATAGTAAATCTAATTTATTCTATTAAAGAATACTTTACATTTTTTTCTTCTATTCTCCAATCTGTCTATGATTATATGAGGAAAAGGAAAGAAACAAAACTATTTTTTGCTTGTCATTTGTTTTATTATCAATAGGTATTATTTGTCAAATGAAAAACCTTTGCCAATATAAATAGAGTATAGAAAAACAATTTTTTTTAGGTAGAAAAATTGGATCAACTCAAAGATAAAGAAATTGTAGTACCTGGCTTTGATGCTGATTCAATAAGTTGTTGATCATTGTTGATTTGCTTATTTTCATTAACTTGTTCATGTTCATTTATCATTAACGACCGATTTAGAATCGGTGATTGTCCATCAGAATTTCGATCGAACATCTATTTCATCAAAAAAACAACAAAACTACTGATCACAAAGGAAATCTAAACTTGTTCTCTCACTTTTCCTCAACATGACGTAAATATAAAATAAAATGAAAAACGTGAAGATAAATAATAATAAGTGATTAAACATGAATAAACACACTAAGATGAAATGAAAATTTTATTTAATAAACAAAAGAAAAAAACTTGATGATAAATAGAAATAAATTCATATTTATCTAGAATAGAACAAAAAATACCAACAAAAGACAAATAATAAACTTAAATTTATTTTCTTTATTATAATCCTTCTAATGTTTCATGTTTAAGTAATGTTTGTAAATTACTCAGTTTTTGTCTCAAAACATTTAAACAAGATAAAACAATCTAAAATAAATAAATAATCATTTATTGATATAAAAAGAAAAAGAAAATTTACTGTTTCTGGTTTTAATGCACCTGTTGATTCAACATTAAAAAAAAATTTATTTGGTACTTTAGTTGCATCAAATGGTGCTTCATGTTTATCTTCAGGTAATTCTAAATTTCATCATATCATATAAATATATTTTCGACTGAACAAAAAGCAATCTATTTTGTTTATCTTTACCAGAATATTCTGAATGTGGCCATTCTTCAGGTACTGGATAAATCGTATGACGAAGACTATTATCTGGATCATATTCAAATGAAACACCCTAGAAGATTTAGTTGATTAATAGTTTAATTATAAAAAATAAAGAAAATCTTTTACACAAGTTGGAATCCATTTAGCATGTTCTTTACCAAAACCTTTTCTTGCATGAGCTTTTAAACGAAGTTCTTGACCTTGACGAAGTTTTACAATTAAAATATCTAAATAGAATTTATATTATTTGGTAATAAAAATTCTTAACACAAAATATTAATCATTTTCAACAATTATGCAAGCTATCCATATCTTTTCTTTAATAAAGCCTTTCCTTTCTAATTGTAGAGATGTACGTGGTCGGATAAGCATCAGAGCTTGAAGCAGATTACTCGGTCCGAATTTGATTTCTTTTTTTCAAAGAAGATTTCTCATGTAAGAAAATAGAAATACAACCTGCTTCTAATCAATTTTATTCTGATTTTTCGACAAAATTTCTTACACTATCAACTGCATCCTAGAATTAAAGGTAACTTAAAACAATAACTGATTTAAATCGTTGACATTGATCATTTTACACTAAGTAATTCAACCTTTATTCAGCCAGTGATAACTATGATAATAAACTTTTTACAATGTTCAAAAATAAATGTTTGTAGTGATTCTAGAATTTCATCATGTACAAATACTTTTTGTAAAAGAAATATACTTTTAATAGTGCCATTCTAACGTTAATCGGATAGAATTAACAAAAAAGTGGTTCAATTTCGAACCCTAGTAAGCATGTTGCAGGGTAGAATAAAAGTTAGTAAAAATCTTTTCAGTCAGGGTATTGAATACAAAAAAGTGTGTTCTACATATGTCACTACCTAATTTTAACTTTTCAATTGAATAAAAAAGACTTACGATCAACAAAATTGTCTCGTCCTTCATCATCATTTTTAGCTTTTGATGTTACTGGTACTAAATGTGGATTACTTGTTATAAGATCAGCTGATGTAACCTAATGTTAAATAAATTCAAAATAAATAAATCTATTGATATATGTATTTATTATCTTACATTTCTTGTTTGATCTTCTCTATTTCTTACATCAAGTGTAAATTCAACTGAACATTGTGGACAAAAACCTTCACATGAACAATCACGATGATAATTCATTTTATCAACAAGTTCTTCACTATATAATGGAATTAAACCAATACGATGAGCAAGAAATTCATCAAATAAAACTGTTGTATTGGAATCAATTTGTACAGAATCAATAGCTATTGTTGGTGTTTCAGCAATCATAGCACGACGTATAGCATTAGCTACACTTAAATCTGTATTTTCAATAACAAATTTTATATTATCTTCAGTTAATTCAGTCACTTGAACACTTGGTTGATTAGCGTATGGCATTATACTATAAGAAATTATTCAAATGACATAAAGAAAGAAAATACGTATCGATTAAATGGTTTGCCAAGAAAATGAATCAGATAAAAAACGATCGAACCACAGACATTTAATATAATTTCATTCATTTGCTGATTACGCGTGACCAATAAGATTTAATGTATTCAATATGTCGCTCTCCTGCAGTCAGCTCATTAATATCTACGTATATGATAGTAGCTTGTATTCGCGAATAGTCATCAATTTTTCTGGTAGACACAAAATAATAATTGATTCTCTTTCTACACTTCAATCAATATAAATGCCTATCTTATGTTATGTTTTTTTTCTACACAATTGATTAGAACATAGTTCGGTTGTTGCATGAAACATAATCCGTATCGATAAGAAGAGAACATGAAGAACAAGAAAAGAAGTATAGACAATAAATAATGATTGCAATAGACATTATAAAAAAAACATTAAATACTAGAATGAAATAGAGAAATCTCTAGTCAGTGAATTATGTTATGTCATTTTCTTGTCTTTTATTTATCAAGATGTAACTAAAGGCAATGTCACTAGACGAAGTGTTGTAACTTCTTGTTTTCTTTCAATTGATGTTCGATGGGATAAAGGTTGTGGCCATTTTTCAAACTGAAAAGAAAAAAATAAAAGACAAATCACAAATTTCATTTGAATATTTTCCTTTAACTTACACTTCCTTGTAAAGGAAGTCGACCAGCTGCATATCCAAAATGCATTGAACTTGCTGTTTTAGAAAATCCAAAACCTGATTTTGATTGTGGTACTTGTGTTGTCTTTGTTGTTTTTGTTATAGTTGTCGATGCATCATCATTGTCATTGTTTGACATCGTTAAACGTGTTTGTGCTCTTAAACGTCGTCGAGATTTTTCTGTAAGATTTTTATGTACATCGAATGATGAATAATAAACTTCAGCTAAACTTAAATAATGATTTGCATTGTGTGTTAATAAACGATCACGTAATGTTGTTCCTGTTCTTGATAATGATCGAGTACGTACAGGTACTTTTGGTTTTTTTAGAGTTATTACTTGATTGATATTTTTATCATTATTATTATTATTATTATCATTATTCTCATTATCATCATCATTGTCATCATCAGAACAATCTGAAGCTGAAAGATAATTTCGTGCATGATCTTCATAATTTGTTATTTTAACAGATGATGTATGTGTTAATTTTTTTGTATTTTCATTTGAATTTCTAGCACATGGTGTTATAGATACAGCACGAAGTGGTGGTGGAATAATTGAACTTAAGAATATTGTTGATGATTCTTGTGTAGGTGTTTTTGGTGATGGTGGTGGGCCACGTGGAATAAATAATTGGGATGTTGATGGTGATTGATCAAAAACAGATGAAGCACGAATTTGTAATTCATCAAGTATTGGTGTTTGTTTTGGTATACGTATTGATGGAGAATATTTTAATGAACTTGGAAATGAATGATGAGAAGGTTGAATATTTAACGATGTCGTTCGTGTTGGAAGTTTTGGTGGAACACGTAACTAAAAGTTGAACATGTTAATTAATACAAAATTAAATTAAAAAAAATATTGCTCAATTAATTTGAGTGATGCTCTGCAAATCTAAATCTTAGCCCAGATATATTCAAATTGCACGAAATCTTCAACCCTATATCATGACCTTTTCATGAAATAGTCAACAAACATGCGTAAAAAAAACCTTTATTGGCAATTCAAAATTCTTTGTGGGTCTTCATTCTATGTGCATGATTTTTTTTGTGTGAAAAAATATGTCAAGATGCAGAGCATGACAGAGCTCTTTTATTTTAAAATTCCTACGTTTGGAGCGGAAAAAAGTTTAATACTTCAACAAACGCTCAAAAAAATGACGCTCTCATTATAAAAGTATTTTTTACATAATAATAACAAAGATTTATTCGAAGAAATAATTTTAGATGACTTGAATATACCTGACCCGAGATCGATTTTTGATGAAGGAGTCTTAATTGAATTAAATAATGTTAGAAAGTAAAAAAAAAACTTGCTTAGTTAATTTGAATCAACAAAAAATGATTTATTCATGCATATGGAAAATTACCTTTTTTTCAAGTGATTGGCTTTCTGGAAGAATCACTTGACATGGTTCTGATCTACTTGTTACAACAGTATTTTGATCATTATCTTCGAGTGGTCGTGGACGATTTTTTCTATATGGTGTTGATACTCGACGAGATAAACCTCTATCATGTGTACGTGGGGCAGGATGATTATTCAACATATCTATATTTTGATCATTTTCATGAAATAAATCTGTACAAAAGATATGAAATGAACGACGACATTGGCAATCGGGTGATGTAATAAGATGTGAGGGTAATTGTACTAGATTCGGTCGAGAAATGTTTCTGTTTTTTAATAATAAACTCACACCTTCAAGAAAATATAAAAAGTCAAACAAATTGATGAAACAAAAAGAAATCAATAACGACAAAATGGAACACTCGACAACGCCTACTTACTAAAAGCAATAGATCGTTTTTCATCATCGATACTTTCCATCTCATTATTATTATATGGTTTTTTCACATTCCAATAACTTAAATCGTCCGATTTCATTTGATTACTTAAATTTAATTTACAGTAATAAATACTTCATAAACGATCTTCTACACTTACCATTTCATTGTCAGAGCTGGTAGTTGTTTTCGGATTCAAAAGGTAGCAGATCACTTCAAAATTTAGTTATAAAGACATACAACATACACCTTTTAGATTGTAAAAAACAGAAAAAAAAGAAAAGCAATAATAACAAGAACAACAGCAACAATAAGAGTAAAAAAGAATTCGATAGTAATCTCATCAGATGAGAAACTACAATATTGATTGTTCTGTTCTATTTTTCATTTCTTTAAAGGAACTCAACAATATATATATATATACATTCGTTTATTTCGATAAGAATATAGTTCTTCCAACAATATTTTTTTCTTTTCATCAACATATTGAATTTCATTTGATGATTGATGTGTAACGATGTTATTTTTGCCTCAACGAAACGTTACATTCATAAGAAATTTTGTATTTAAATAAAATATTCATACCCATAAAAACAAATTTACATATTTATATAGATATATATTTATGTTGTTTTTTTCTCTACTTTTCTATTTTTATTAAATAAAGAAGACGAATACATATTTGAATAAAAGGTACACATAACAATAGGATACTGCATAAAAATGAATTTGTTTTCTTTTGTTTTAGTGTCATCTTATTAGTATGTTGTTTATTTGTCTGTTGGGATTATAATCTAATAAAAAATAAAGCGTACGCATACACTAAAGTTGAGATACAGTCTGATACTACAACAATAGTCTAAGAGAAAATGTTCTATTTGTTTAAAACTTTTTTAACCGATTTGATAACATTTGGAACTTGTGGCATAGAGTTCTGTTCCAAGGTTTTCGCATATGCTAATGGAACATCGGCACCAGTGACACGTATTGGTGGAGCATCAAGATAATCAAAAGCATCACCTAAAATAACGAAAAAAAACACCGAAAATATTGTTGTATTTTCTATTATTTTTAACAATTATTTCGTTTTCTTCTTTAAGTTTTTACTTTCTTTCTTCAATAGGATATAGGTAGACTCAAATATTTATTTCTTGTTCCATCAGATTGATAGATTTTTTATTGTCTTCGACAATGAAAAACAACATTTTTCTTAGTTCAGTAGACTTAGAAAACGTTTTTGAGGATGTATTCAATTTTCTATTTGACTAAATGTTAGATTCTACATTGCCCATGAGCTGAAATATTATTTTTTTGTAAGAAATAAAGAAGAACTGTACAGGAAACAAACTAAAAGCTTTCGAGAGTCATATTCACGTTCTTAGACTCGGATCCAACAAGCTCTAATGATTAAGCTTATATTTTCAAGAAATAGTTTCAATAAAGTGAAAAAACCCACAATGGAATTGCTTTTTCTTCTTGCGAGCACTACTGCTTTTTTATTATTCTGTTTTTCAGTAGAGTAGATCGAAAATGCTTCTTTCGATAGTCAAAATTAAATAAAAACAATTGTTGTAGTGTTTTCTTTGAAATAAGTGGCACACGGTCTTATGAACCATATCAGCTCTCTGCAGTCCAAAAGGTTGGTTGAAAATAAGAAGTACTTGCTGTATTTTTTTATCTCAATTGTATAAAAAGATTCGCTCTCTTCCTTCTCAGTGTTCTTAACTTCTCTATGGAAATCTTATAGAGCCCTATATAAGTCTTATAAAAAGTAATAATTTCGACAAAAGATGTTTTCATTTCTGCTGTGTTTCTACTCAAGGGCAAAACAGCACATTAAAAAGAGCAAATTTCAAAAAGTTCGACCCGACATTTGGAGAATTGTTGCGGTTTTCAATTTCTAAAAAATAAAAATTATTTTTATGACAAACATACTTTCACATATTCTTGCAATAACTTCACTACCAATACCACATTGAGACCAACCAAATTCAACCGTAACAAGATGATGAGTTTTTTTAACAGACGTTTTAATAATGTCTTCATCAAGTGGTCTTAATGTTCGTAAATTAACAATCTGAGAAAGAAAATAAAATTACTTTAAGAAAAAAAAAGAATTTCAAATTACTTCGCATTGAATTCCATTTTGTTCAAGTTCTTTAGCAGCTTCCAAACAAATTTTAAGACCAATTGAATAGGAAACAAGTGTTACATGTTTGCCTTCACGTTCAATTTTGCCTTTACCAATAGGTAAAACAAAATCAGCAGACAGTGCTTCATCAGATATAGGAAATTGTTGACCATATAATAATTCATTCTCCAGAAAGACAACTAAAAAACAATAAAACATCATTAAAAAACAATAGAAGTAAAGAGTTACAAACAAACCTGGATCATCATCACGAATAGCAGCTTTAAGTAAACCTCGACAATCTTCAGGTGAATAAGGTGCAATTACTTTAAGACCAGGACATTGACTGTACCATGAGGAATAATCTTGAGAATGTTGAGCACCCACACCTAGATTCATAAATAAGAAAAAAAATAATTCATAGGTTCGTAAAGATTTGTTTTATTACCAGCAGCTGCTCCGTTTGGTCCACGAAAAACAATTGGTACTTTAACCTGAATTATATTTCAAAAAAGATTTTTAAAAAGAAATTTTATTTTATTTTTACTTTTCCCGACGACATATAATGACTTTTAGCAGCTGAATTAATAACATGATCAATAGCTTGCATAGAAAAATTGAATGTCATAAATTCACAAATTGGTCGAAGGCCAGCCTTTAGATTTTTAACGAAATCAAAAAGAATGAACTTTTTTCATTTAGAGAAATCTTTTTTTTTCTTACCATAGCAGCACCGGTTGCTAAACCAGCAAAACCCATTTCAGTTATTGGTGTATCAATAATACGTTTATCACCATGTTTTTTCCAAAGACCTTTTGACATTTTATAAGCACCATCATATTGTGCTACTTCTTCTCCGATTAAGAAAACTCGTTCATCACGTGTAATTTCTTCATCCATGGCTTGTGTTATAGCTTCACGAATAGTAATCTAAATAGAATACTTCTATTAAAAAATAAAATTAGAATTAAAACAAACAGTTTTTTCAGCAAGAGCTCGAGGGGTAATAGAAAATGATCGACGAAAAAGTACCATTGAACCATGGGACTAAAACAAACAATATTGATCAATAAGATTAAGAATAAAAGAAAAACAAACAGTATTCACTACTTTGAAAAGAACATTGACTAGATTCATGATGAGAACTTGTTCGATTTTCTAATATTCAAATCTAAAATTAAAAAAACCTAGTTTCTACTTTCAACACAATCATTCAAACAAATTTGTTTATTCTCAAAACGATTGCGCTTAGTGTTCCAGTCTACTAGGCTTAATAATAGGTATAAGTAGCGCCATTTTTTATTGGATATGAGTTTACCATTTAATAAGTGTCGCTACTTGTTGTTACGCGGAGGTTGCAATATTTTCAATGAATGCATGTTCTTAAAGGATAAAAATCGACAAAATATTAAGTAGCAAAGTAATTCACACGTTGACTACAAACAGTTATCATTGATTCATAAACTAATAATAAAACTATTTACCAACGACAAAATAAATGTCCATCGTATTTTTGATATAACTTTTGATAGAAACAAGATGGAGAGCGGCGATTTTCACCGTTGGAAAGAGGAGATAAAGACGCAGCGAAACATTTATTACAGTTTTTTAAATATATTTTCTGAGACTTTTTAAACCAATTATCTAAAAAAGCTAGCGAAAAAAATAGTTTTTATCAAAAGAAAAAAAAAGAAAAAAGTGCTTTTTCACAGGAATTGCTAAAAAAATCGGCTTATAGTTTCGAGTAGAATACCTATAACTCTTGAACGATTGAAGCTAAGAATCTAAGCCTTGCACAGTTTTATAGATCTTCAATTGGCGCTTTCAATATACATCAGATAATTGAAAATTCACTGTAGTCATCTATCAACAACGTTGTTTTACAAAAAGCTCAATTGAAAATCCTACAAAAAAATCAGGTTAAAATGTCTGTAACGTGTGATTCGATGCGTCTTTATCTCCTCTTTCCAACGGTGAAAACTGCAGCTCTCCATCTTGTTCCTATCAAGCGTTATATCAAAAATTCGATAGGCATTTATTTTGTCGTTGGTAGTATAATACTTCACAACACGTACAGCTACTTTAGTACCGTTTCTGCTACTGTCGTCTATAAAGGTGATATTTGAACTATTAGTGACGATGAGAATTGATAGAAAAATGCTTGAAATATAAAGACTTTTGATACCAACTACAAATTAACAAATCTTGAAGGATTACAGCGGCTTTCAAACTAATGACAAATGGAGGGAGCTTATGTGATAATATATAACATGCATCCCATCATCACGTAACAAAATCAAGCTTGACATCGTACCTTTTTTATTGATAGTTATGATAAAGAATCTGGTAAGACATATAGATTGTTAGGAACATGATATTTCGAAGAAAAAGCGTGTCATCACTCGCGAGACTTGTTTTTTTAACTATTTCTTTGAATATAATTACCGAATGCATAAATATCAAATTGTATCAATGAAATCTCAGGAGTTCTAATATCATTTCGAAAATTGATTATTCTCTCATACAATATCACCAAACTTTTCGAAACTTAGGCAGATTATTGGACCAACATAGTACTACTGAGTTGTGAGGTATCCAGTGCTATGGTAACAATATGATAATATGTCTTTTCTCTTTTATATGTTGTCAAAAAATCGAGCACTTATACACAATTTAAAAGGGGATATCTGAATATTCACTTTGGCGTCTAATCCATAGATAGATTCTGAACCAAAAACAACAAGCACAGCAAATTTTGATACCTATGCCTTTATCTTATTTCTTTTGTGTTATTTGTTATTGATTCGCAACTTTGAAATTTCAATGAAAGAATAGAATAATGTTAGTAGAATTTCGTAGCATCATTTCAGGCCATAGAACCTAGAGTTTCACAGTTTTAGCAGGGTACGTTAATACAATAATGTCACTTGACTGCAATTGATTTGTTCATATTGTAAACAGGAAGAATACGTTTTGTAGTTGTTTCACAATTGTTAGGGTTCATATCAAGATGCGTCTAGATAATATGAACTACTAACTTGATAAACATTTGTTTTTATTTCAAACATGAAAGACTATTTACAGTATAAGCAGATGTGCAATCAGTTTACAATTTTACTCGACAAGATTGACCTTGGATCGTCCAAGTGTCAACTTATATGAGATAGCAGAAGTTGATACTTATTCACCAGAAAAATGTAAAATATTCATAGACTTGGCACACATTTCTTCATATATTTTACTTCATTTCACAACATTTGCTTTATATGACTGTTATTTAATAATATATAGGTTATTCAAATGATCTTAGATGAGTGTTGCAAAGCAATGAACTGATATTGCCCTAAGTATGTGAGATAATACTAGACTATATACTTGATTTCATTTAATTTTAAATCGTTTTTTTGAAGTCAGATACTCAATGAATAGTCCTCTAGGTTTTGAAAACTACATTTAAGACTCTGCACCGCTCAAAAATCAATCTCAGCCTGGGAACGTCCAAATGACATGAAATGTTCAGTCCAATATCATGATGTTTGAGAGAGACATTGGTCAAACAAGAGTAAAAAATAGCTCAGTTGGTAACCGAAGTTTCTCAGTCCAGATCCGTGTGATGTATTTAAACTTCTTTTTGTTTGAAGGAGTATGTCAGAATGCAGCACACCACAGAGCCCTTTTGTTTTTAAAGCTCTTACTTTTTACGCGGAAAGAAGCAATCACACGTTAAATGACTTACTAAACCTCTAAAAAATGACGCTTTTTCTAAAGAGATGTTTTCTTATAGTATTAAGAAAAGCTTATTTTAAAAAAAGGACTATGTAATACCCTACGTCTTGGCATGCTCTTTGAAATCGAAAATAAATTTAAAATACATCACATAAACCTATACTGAGAAATTTGCGTTGCACGTTCGCCATATAGTGAACTGAGAAAAAAAGGAAAAAGATTTTCGGTTTCTTCAAAAATGGCTTGTTTTTTGAATAGAGGATGACGGAAATTTTCAAACATTTTTGGAAAAAATGAGGTACCGAATGATAATTGTCGTCGTTAATGAGTGATCAGATCACAGGCTATCTTTTCCTTCATTTATCTCAACTTTGATCATTCTGACGAAGTGACTTTTTCAATGAGAGTCTTAAACAAAATTGAAGTTAATTAATACAAAAAAAAACACTATTGTCTTTTGTGTTCTTCAAGAAATTTTTCGAAACTATATGATCTACATTATGTAAATTCAGCAAGAAAAAAGCTTACGACACTCGGTATTCCCAGGCGGTCACCCATCCAAGTACTAACCGAGCCCGACGTTGCTTAACTTCAGTGATCGGACGAGAACTGGTGTATTCAACGTGGTATGGCCGTAAGCATACAACAGTCTTCTGTTTCTCGACGTTATGATTTCCTAGACTTAAATCAGTTCTCAATTAGTATTCTTATCCAAACAAAAATCAAACATTGTTGAGAATGATATATCAGTGATCGAAGGATCTGTTTGGAAACTATACGTGTTTTCTTTTTTGACCTCTTTCGATCCAACATCTTTCCCTTCTCATCAAACTTCCTTCCCCGTAAAGTGCCAAAGTTTATTTGAAATCAATTTTTTTTCCAATTGATTATTTTCATAATTTGTCTCTACTTCAATAGTTCATTTTAATTCTTTTCGAAGTTCTAATGTTCGAAAATCAAAGTAATGTTGAAAATTCAACTAGATGACTAACTTTATTCGAACGCTGGTTTTCATTTTCTTCAATATTCATTCATTTTATGCATCATAAAGATAATCAGATAAACTGATAAAAAAAAACACCTAAGATGTCATAAATCTTTTCTCAATGTATTATAGCCGTTCAAGAATGCATCTGAAAAAAATTTATAGTCTGCTAATTGATTCGAAGCCATTTATATCAGATACAACAGACACCTATCTAGTATTTTTAATTTGTTTTAAAATTGTTAGTACTACCGATCTACTATCATTGACTTATCGACACTTGAGTCAGTATCAGAGGTCCAAACAGGCCACAAGGTCTACCGGCCTGCCTGCCTGTGACAGGCACAGGCCACGATCTTGAGGTCTGCGCCTGTCACAGGCAGGTCACACCGACCCCTAAGATAGGCCAGACAGGCCGCTTGAAAATGACAGACCGCCTGGCCTGTCTACTTTTTCTTCGAAATCGAAGTTTCATCTGAGAATTTCATGATTTTGTTAGCAAATAGATACAACCTTCATTAGTTTTCAAACAATCACATTTAAGCGCGGTAAATCAAACAAATACTGCGGAATAAGTATTAAAGATACTTATAGGAAATCAATACCCTTACCATCCTGAAGAGATGATGAGCACAAATATTCGTAGGTATCATTATCTGCTTGTCATGTTTCTCAAGTTTAGTTAAATTAATTAATTCTAAATCCTTTTTTTATGTTGCAGATTTACCACTGATTGCATTCTGTTTCTCTCTTGATCCCAATAGTTTGAGTGACATTGTCATCTGACATGAGAAGTTCAATGAAAATATTTTTGAACAAAAATCAGATATCTTCCGCAAGTTGACTAACTCAGCATTGTTTTTATTTTGTCTACGTATCACCAATGTTCAGTCCGTAAACTCTTAGTCAGTACTGAAACTTTTCAACGTATGCGGGTACCTGTGAAATTGTCAAAACCCACAGACATCACCAACTCTTAAAAAGAATAGAGTTCGAAATTGATATTACTTACACATCCATAGTACGTCGCACGTTTTTTGATTCAGCTGAAAGATAGCCTTTCTTTTAGATACAGACAGCCATAATTACTTTCACTTTTACTTATACAAGGCCTTAGGAAATCAAAAATCGGATGGTTCAGAAGACATAAATAGCTTTCTATGAGAAATTTTACTATTTATATAATATTATTAATTTTCATTTAAGTTCATGTTGAAAGATATGTACCGTAAAATTCTCTTCAAACATTATATAATGTTTTATTACAAAGTATGACAAGAGACAGCTACACGATAAATATTCCTCCGAAGCTACCAGCTTTCTAAAGCATGGTGTAGCTTTTCTTAACTTTTTGCTAATCGGCGACAAAAGTATAAGTATATGTATATATGAAATAAAATTTTCTGATGCTGTGACGAATGCAGATCTAGTCTTTATATAAGAAGTGATGCAAAAAGTTGATTCTAGGTTAAGTAACATCATACATTTTTAATAAATTAGGAATCGATAATGAATTGACTTTGATTTGTTTTTATTGTAATCGATTCGCTACCAATTGACAATCGACAAAAGAATAATGATTTTAGTCATTTCATATGTATCTTTTCTGACTTTTGCATGAATTGTTTTTTACCTGAAAGTGTGTTCGCAGTTTTTACAGGTAGGTATTGTAGCTGTCTCTTTAATGAAGTTACTTGCTTATTCAGAACGATGCCAATTTTCGCCGATCGATTTTGACTAGAAATCGATCGTTCATTGTAGTAAACGTTTTTCTAAGTGAACTGAAAACTATGCTATTTTTATACTTTGGCTGACTACAGGCATCTTTGTAAATGAGGGTGGGTGTGGGTGTGGATGGGTGTGGGTGTGGGTGTGTGGGTGGGTGTGGGTGGGTGTGGGTGTATGGGTGGGTGTGGATATGCGCGTGGGTGTGGGTGTGGGTGTGGGTGGGTGTGGGTGTGGGTATTGTTCTTCCTTAACCCACACCCACACCCTCGCTCAAGAAGCTGTCACATAGGATGACTGATTATTCACATGATAGAATTATCATTCACTCATCGAGTCCAACAGTATTGTCTTCGGTACAATATTTTTATTTAGATGGTATTGATATCGATTTACCAAGTTTATTTGTCATCGCACCTATCCCAGGTCAAAGAAAACGGCATCGTAAACGACCGTAAACGGTATAAAACGGCGCTATTACGGGCCGTAATCTGTCAGCCCGTTTTACAACCACCGTTTAGTGCAGTAAACGATCATCGTTTTTACAAGAAACGGCCATCGTTTTTCGCCGTATTTTAGTCGTAAAATGGAATGATGAAAATAATGCGAGAAGCAATATTGTATAATATTGCACAATATTTTATGGAGACCTTTTTTCGGCATACCTTTTTACGGCTAAAATACGGTGACAAACGATGACTGTTTCTTGTAAAAACGATGATCGTTTACTGCACTAAACGGTGGCCGTAAAACGGGCTGACGGATTACGGCCCGTAATAGCGTCGTTTTATACCGTTTACGACTCCGTTACGAGCATCCGGAATGATCGATCTGGGATGCTTCGCACACTTGATGTAAACTTTTACTTACGTTAGACATGACATTCACTAAGATTCCTTCTCCATCATTTCATTTATATCAATTGTCAATCAAACTCTACAATGTAACTTGGTTGAAGATAGTATCTTTACTCTCGTTATTCCCACAACTAAGTCATTTGACATTGTTAGCTGATCATGTATGAGAAGGTATAGATGATGGTATTGCCTGGGCACCATTGCTACGAAAATTAAACATTTTCAGTTTCAATTTTTGTTCGTTCCAGATCGGTTCATGCAACAGTCAATCAATCTCGATTCATTTCGTACGAAATTCTGGCGTGAAAAAAATGATTTGTCACCTATGATAAAACCATAGATGGTTTTTTAATGCTTTATTCGAATCCTCTTTGCAACGATGACTATTCATTCGAACTTATACAACCAATTATAATGACAGAATCGACTGGATCACAACCAACATCATTTCCTCATAGTCCTTATTTGAATATGAACTGGTCTTTTCTGACAAACTATGTACTTATACATCGATATACCCATGTTACCGAATTGAATTTATCAGAAGATGGTAGAGCATTGATCAATACTGTCCCATATCTGTCACGGATTCTTGATGTAACACGAATCAATACATGTTCGATAAGCTCTGGTTGGTCACCAAAGTCAGTTAATCAACTCATCGTGTTTTTGCGCCGATTACCTCGTTTGTGTGTACTCAAGGTGCCTATTTCTGTTCTCAAGTTTCTTTTTATTCACAAGTGGCCTCATATCATATATTTGAAAATCACATATGAAATCGACAACAATAACCAACTACTGTCTGAGGTTGCATCTCAATCTACTCTTGAACACGTTAAGAATCGTTCTATTCTCAAGTTTGGGAATATTCTATAGATTTGACAATTTATCGATTATTTATTTTTTATTTTGAAAATCATAACCAAACAGTTAGTCCACAACCTCCCTCTTCAATAACAATTAGAGGTTTCATATGAAATGGTAAACATAAAATACGACGATGTAGTTCTTTGATAGATGCCCGGTAAACATCAAACATCGATTCCATGAATGCCAAATCATCATCTTCATCTTTATTATTTTCATCATCTTCTTCATCATCTCCGTCGTCAATAATAGGACTAGTAAAATCATTAGCAACATCGATGAGAGCAGGGTCAAACTCAATACAATGATCAACAGAATCACGTGGCGGCATTCCACTGTCTCTTCGAAAACAAATACCAAAATGAACGAACATTGGTACTGTTTCTGCAATAATCTGACAACTAATATCATCAAGACTTGTATTCATGTCATTGATAACGATATGTAATGAGGTGAGCATCGGTAAAGCTGAAAGTGAACGCAATGCAGATCAATTGCTTGACACAAAATTCGGCATATTAGCACGAAATAGAATTTGAATAGATCGAATATTAGATGGAAATGAGGAGAAGTTTTTCAATGCAACAAGATTATTTGTCAATATAACATGACGAAGAGCCATAAGATTTAAACCAGTTGGCCAATCATAAAATGATAAATGAACTGTGTTAATATGATCTAATTGCACAACATGAGGCATTGAAATAATCGATGGTAATGAGTCATTTTATGATATACTAAGTGTACGAAGTCGAGATGAACTAATAATGGATGAGTACGATGAAGGTAAAGCAAATACTTCTACTTTAGTTATATATTGAATTGGTTCAACCACCTCGAAGAATTGTTCAAATGCCCATGGTAAAGTATACCAAACATCGTAAGCCCATGGATAAATATTGAACTAGAATAAAGAAAGATTAATGCATCAATAGCTTGGAAAAAAAATCGAAAATTTAAATTTTGATCATTTCTTAATTTCTCATCCGGATGTTGTCAAATAAAAATTGTGTAATAATACAATTACTCACATAGCAATTGATATTTGTCAATTCTTGGTACTACCGGGATAAGCAACTTAGAACACAGGTTACACCAACTATTTGTCGTGGATGAAAACGACTACCATGTGGTACATAATGACTTAGTTGAATACCTAGAGAAGTATCATCTATAATGAAAGCGAATTGAACATCGATTCGACGATCATCAATGAAAAGTGACGATCTATTGATACAATTTAAATCATCGACAGTAATCAAAATAGCTAAATTCATTCGTCGAAGTACGGGCATTACATTTGGAGCTGTGAGTGATGCAATAGTTGATCATTCAATTTTATTATAGGGAAATATCGATTGAACCAAAGTGAATGTATGCAAATTGATCATTTTAGACAGTACCAATCCTTTAGGTAAACTATTTTTTCTTCTCACATGTAGACCACGCATTGTTACATGCAATTGTTCTAATGTAGTTGAAAGTGTCTCTCTTGATATAACATGACACAAATGTGGTATGTCTTCCATCGGTACACGAAGATAATTGAGAGGGCTTTGTATTGTAGTAATGTACCAGTTCGTGAGGCCGAGTCCAATATCTTGACCCAAATCAAGCGAACAAAGTGCACTCAAATGTGGCAAAACATTTTCCACAAGTGTTGAAAGACGTCCTCTAGGGTGCGAAATATAACCCGTAAAGCCCATCTAAAAAAATAAAAATAATTAATCGAATTTATTAGTCAAGAAAAGAAAAAATTTTTGCATGAGAATATTGAAGAGAATTCATCAAATGACATTTTTTTGTCAATTCACGTTTTCATCTATAGAAGTAACTCATTGACGATTCATAATGTAATTGAACATTGCTAATATATACTATTAATCCCTTAAAATATAGAAAAATAGAGATGAAGATACGATTGAACACTATTTTCTATTCTATATCTATGACATCCAACTGTAAATATTCAGTTCTTTATTCTAATTAATGCAAAAAAAAAATCTTGGTGTCAGATATATGGTAGTATGGAAATAGGAAGATACTAAATAAGATATTTTCAATGATTTTGTTTTCACTTGAATATTAGTTTGAAAATATTCTTGAGTAATACATACTGACATAAATAAATCGTTTGTTTCCAATGCGAGATGTATGAGTGAAGTTGAGTGCCGAAGGATAAAATTAGTAGCATCTATAAAGTCACGTAAACCATATAATCGTAATGTAGTCAAATGAGGTAAATAAGGCCAGCGAGAAAGTTGAAGAGGCGATGCTTCTATGTCAATGATGAGTGCTTCAATTTGATTCAATGGAAATATAGTAAGAAGTCTATAGAATTTTGACAGACGTGCTGATGATAAATTGATGTGACGAAAGAAACCTCGTTCATTGATTATTGTTTGAATACGATTATTTAAATTGGTAAATGCCCAAAGAATATCGATTGAAGATAAATAATTAAACAGATCAATAAAGAATAGATCCGGCAAATCGTCGAATTGTGTAATTAATGCCATCGAATGAGGAAGAAAAAAAATGATTGTATCTTTTATAGCTGTGTTCAACAATGTGCATCACTGAAAAATATTTTCATGGTTGTTTGTATTGACCTCGAACAATGAACAAGAATCTTTTGTTCAATATGTTCGTTACCATCGATAATATAGCGAGATGAGAGCGAAGAATTAATGATTCTGATTCATAGGGCAATGTATTAGCTGTGTAACTAAAATATTTTTCTCTTTTCTCTTGCTTTCCCCTCTATATTCGATGAGTAATTGTTCGTCAAATACAGTGGCGAACATGCAAGAGAAAAATATCTTAGACTGTCATTGCAATGTATGATAATTTTTCAAAACAGAACTACTTTTACTTATTCTAAAAATAAATCAATAATTAATGGAAAGATATTGACTTTGTCACAAGTGTTTAAAACATGTGATTCTTATTTTCTCGCCATAGTCTTCATTCTCATTGTCAAATAAAATAATATTTCAAACTTGTCTGCTGTTTCGGAATCGGGAAAAAAGTCACTATTATTATCTCTGGACTTGAGTCTCCATCTGAAGAATCAATAAAATAGATATAGAAACTTGATTTTTATTTCATCATTATTTATTCTCTAGATACATGCCTGGAGAAAGACTATATCTATAAAGATAGAGATATAGTGACTAGAAACTACTTACAATGAATAGACAGTGATTAACTGGTGACAACTACTTGTTTGAGATGAAATCAAACATAAAGAGAAAAAGAGTTCATATGAATTACATAAAATCGATCATGAGTTTGATGACATATAAAGTGAAAGATATATTTATAAGACATCTGAATATTCATATGATCTTATTTTCTTTTCTCTCTACAATCATTAGTGTATTATGCTCAGATTTATCAAATCCCTTTTTTAATAAGCAAATATCGACCCAATATTCATTTGAAAAGAGAAGAATTGTAAATGTTTTTTTTCAATAGATTTTTATAGAGACAAATTGAATACTGATGCATACCAGCATTGTCAATAGGAAGATAAAAAGAGACATAAGATAATATGTGATTGAATTTTGTTGTGCATAATATTTGAGAATTTCTAATCAGTTTTCTTGAAAAAGAATAGTATTGAAAAACAAAAAGAAAGTAGTTAAACTAATTGGTTTGCTAGAAAACAGAAAGTGAAAATTTCCTATTATTATTGACGATAAGAAATTTAGTCGATCATGTGTAATATGGCAATATGATGTTGAAGATAAAGTACCAAGAGAAAGATGAATTATTAGATATTTCAACTGAACATTTTCATCTTGAATTAATGGCTTACCCTAGATTATGGACACTATAGAAAGCGAGGAAGATGATTTAAAATAATTTTAATAATAGTTTAAAACGTAAAATTACGTAATTTGCTGACATCTTTTCTATTCCATATTTTCGTTTTCAAAATTTTTCTTTGTGTTTTCCTCTCATATATTTTCATTCTATTCGATATTTAGCTTCTGCTATATTTTCCTTTTCGATATTTTCAAATCATTTGAACATCCATTTATTCAAGAACGACAGCGAAGAAAAAAACACAAAAAGCAAAGAATGTAGGATTTTCTATTTCTATCATAACTGTTCAAAGATAAGGAAAAAAACAAAAATCATTTATTATTAATTCATTTTTTTGTCTTCTTGTATAATTTAATAATATAAAAAATATATTTTAGAATGAAGAATTAATTTGTTTATCAGATTATTATACAATATTTCGATGTGATGTTTTAAAACGACCAAAAAATAGCTTTAAAATCTCTTAATCCATTATCACGAGGATCAGGAACAATAAAACAAAACAATAAAAAAAATTATTAATGAACAATAACTTAGTGTTTTCTCTTTAGTATTTTTTCTGCGTTTTCTTTCCTAGATTTTTTTTATCTGTGATACATTTCTGCTTTACTTCTTCATCAACAATCCAGGTCGGACGATACGGTTACTTTACGGACCGTATTACGCCGTATGAGTGAATGCAGTTTTAAGGACCGTACTACAGTGACTTTTTCACCGTATACGGTACCGTATTACTGCATCCACTCATACGAAGTAATACGGACTATTTACGGCCGTAAACTAGCCGTTTTTTCATCGTTTACTGTCCAAAAACGACCCCGTAACGGGTACCCGTTTTTATCGACACAGGAACGTGATGAATGTAAGTTATACATTAAGGTGACATCTCCATAAATTTTTTTTATTTAGCTTGCATTGGGTCGATCATTAGGCGACCGTACTGTAAGTAAATACAGAACAACAGAAGTATAAGAATATATATTTCATTTCGTTTAGCGATATTGTGTCAATTTATCACATACAAAAATGTGTTGTTATTGTGGTGATTGGATGTATCCAAGTGAAAATGTATTAAAAATTGTTTATTATAGTGGAGGTTATAATGTAAGTTGTGCATAGGGTGTTCAAAAAGTTCTCGGGACATCGGTATAGCTATACAGAGAGACGACATTTCATCCATCTCTTTGTACTACATATTGGAGATATTTGTTATGATATTCCATGGAAAGTTTCATCACTTTAACTCACTCTTGCGATGTTCTTTCGAAATAAGCAATAGATATGAAATTGACCTTCCTGGTTATTACCTCTGCTACGTTTTTGTAGCTGATGATTATCTAGTTTATCTTGAATACATTTCAACAACTGATAGTCTGAAAGCCTAGCTCGAGGTGATTACATCTGGCTAGCCATAACATCATTCCTTTCGCTTTAGAGTAAATAATGACGTTATTTTGCATGTTGTTCAAACAGACCGTGATGAAAACTCATAGGACCAAACCATGACAATATGTTGTCATTTGTTAACTTTTTGGTTTATGCATGTAAACATTTATCACGAATCTAAATAATATTACTAACCACTATAGAAAGCACTATATGATAAGGAATGGCTCGAATGTGACAAAAAGTTTACCTGTATCATAGTTTTTGATATTGTTAACAATATATGTCGTTTACAAGACTAGTTTTTCTGATCGACCTGCGTTTCGATAATGATTTCGGTCCAACATTGTGATGCTAGTCTAAGTCTGATACACAGTAATAGTATCACATAAAATCCATTCAACACTTAGAAACTTCTCCAATTTTTTGAGAGCTCAAAAACTTAATGAAAAGCCAGCAATAACCAAGGAGATCATTTCCATACCTATTGTTTATTTCGAAAGAACATCTCAAGAGTGAGTTAAAGTGATGAAACTTTCCATGGAATATCATAACAACCATCTTCAATATATGGTGCAAAGAGATGAATGGAATGTCGTTTCCCCGTATAGATATACCAATGTTTCGAGAATTTTTTGAACACACTATGTACAACTGAGTTAATCTAATCATGATTTTCCTTCTTAGTACTACCACAACCACCATCCATGTCGTCCTTCACCTGCTGCACGTCGAGGTCTACCCAGGTCGGACGATACGATTACTTTATGGTTACTTTACGGACCGTATTACGGCCTTATGAGTGGATGCAGTTTTAAGGACCGTACTACAGTGACTTTTTCACCGTATACAGCCGTTATTTCACCGTATACGGCACCGTATTGCTGCATCCACTCATACGGAGTAATACGGACTATTTACGGCCGTAAACTAGCCGTTTTTTCATCGTTAACTGTCTGAAAACGACCCCGTAATGGGTACCCGTTTTGATCGACCCGGGTACCTACTGCACATCGAGGTCCACCTGCTGCACGTCGAGGTCCACCTGCTGCATGTCAAGGTCCACCTGCTGCGCGTCGAGCTTCATCTGCTGCACGTCGAAATTAAAATAAAACATATTTAAAGAGTACAAACATTCATTGAACAGTGTATTTGATAAGACCATCATAACTTGTCTTTTCTCCACATTTAGCATAGATAGTTACTGCTGTCGAACCAACTGTGATTTTTCTTTCTAAAATAGGATCTCTATAACCTTCATTCTTGATGCAATTTGAATTAATTGTCAAAGTAACATCTTTTGCGCCGGAAATTACACAATGAATAGGAACAACAGAATCTTTCTTTAATATACCATCCATAGGTGTATAAATTTGACATTTTTTAGTTTAAAATTGAGTATAAATCATAGAAAATTTCATTGGTCGACGAAGTTTAGTAACATCAAGATTAAACTTAACGACTGACTTAGAGAAAGATTCTCTATCATTAGTTCGTTTAGCATAAACAATCAATTCATGTGAACCTGTTTGTTCAGGTGCAAATAATAGGGTGTGGGTGTGTGGGGGTGGGGGTGGGGGTGTGGGTGTGGGGCGTGGGTGTGGGTGCGGGGTGTGGGTGTGGGTGTGAGTATGGGTGTGGGTGTGGGTGTGGGGTTGGGTGTGGATGTGGGTGTGGGTGTGGGTGTGGGTTTGGGTGAGGTGTGGGTGTGTGTGGGGTGTAGGTGTGAGGCATCTCTTAGCCAACACCCACACTCACGCACATCCACACCCACACCCACACACACCCACACCCACACACACCCACACCCACACCCACACCCACACACACCCACACCCTCTTCAAGCGACATCACTTCTTTTTATCTAATCTCGTTATACATATCATGTATATCTTCCATTGTACAATCAGGCTATTCTATGATTGGCGTATGAACGTTCAGTTTAAGTTAAGTCATCTCAAAAAGATAAAT